TGGAGGGCGATTCGATAACTACTTTTAATAACGCGGTGGATGGGTATTTGAGGAGGACGGGTTTGCAGGGTTATGGGGAAAGGGCTGGGGAGTGGGATTGACATTAATTGCTCTATTCAAAGAGCCGGCACAAACTCGATGGGCCGAATGGCCTCTTTTTGTGCTGTACAATTCTATGATTCTATGATTCTATATGATTAAAAGATAATAGAATCATACAACATCAAATAAATCATTGAATGATATAGAATTGAATGAATCTTGAATGATATAGAATCTTATATTATTGAATGAATCATTGAATATTATAGAATCATTAAATCAACAAAGAATAAGTTGTTCAGTCCATAATTTTTGTGGTGCTGCTGGATAAGTTGGAGTTATCTGCTCTAATCAAAATTCCCTTGCTCCCTCCACATATTCTTTGATAATTTTTCCAAATATGCATCTGTTAAATGCTAATATTGATTCAGCTTCAACTGCCGTTTGTGGTAAATTATTCCAGATAGTGATGGTCAACATTTATAGTTGGCCAACAAAATGCCATAAAATAAACTTTCTTCTCCGTATGATAACCCTCAATTTTTTGCTACTGACCTTTTGCTACTAACTTGCCAATTCATGGAGGTATTGTACTGTTTCTATTTACTCTTATCAAAACTCATGTTTATCTTTGAGTACCTGTGTTAGATCCCCTTTAACCTTATTAGTTCAACAACAATAATAATTTGTATTTATGTAGCGCCCCTCACGCAGGGTAGTGTCCCAGAGCGCTTGGCAGTGGCGGGAGATGACCGTAGGCTCGGTCAAATAGGAAGGTACAACCTGAAAATGAGGAAGGAAGGAGGAAAGGGAAGGATAGAGGAAGAGTGTTCCAGAGTTCCAGTGGATAACATTAAAGTCGCTCCTCCTTGTATCGTCCTGGTGATTATCTTCTGCAAAGTCTCCATTACCATGTATATGTTGCTCACTTAAGCACAACTTTTCCAGGCTGAGTTAGTGTTTAACTCTACCAACTGAGCCATTCCCTCTGCTCAGCCCTGCTTCATGTCACCTGCTTTCAACACATCTGCCCCCACTCTCTGGTACTCCATCCTAGAATCCTTTCAACTCATCCCTTACCTCGCCTCCTTTAAGGTCCATCTCAAGACCTTCCTCTTTGACTCTGTTATCGGTTATCTTTCCCGCCCTCCCCCACCCTGCCCCCCAGCTCAGGTGCAAACGCTGTACTGTTAAGCAACTTGCGACATCCTCCCAACATGAAAGACACTATATACATGTAAATTTGTTTTGTATTTTAATTAGTATCCATTATTATTAGTAACATAACTAATTTTAATGTCCTGCTTACCTTTAAAGTCAAAAGCTGCATCTACACTGCCATTGACTTCTGGCCAGTCCTCTATCATTTTTCTTTACCTGCTATCATTTCTTCTTTGATTTATTATAACTATAATGAATAAATGAGCTTACAACAAGATTGTAATTCAAGATATTGATCAAATGACAGCTTTAATGATTGCATAGAGGACTCAGTATTGTATATTTGCAGTGCAACCCAGTTTTAGCCTCGTCATCTGAGTCTTAATTTCTCCTTCTGTATTAAAAGCAAAGTGTGAAAAATGACTAACGTTTGGGTTATCACGTCACCCCAATACCAGTCCTGGTCTCCCAACACATTACAAGACTGTTATTCTTTGCAGTCAAGTGGGCATTATTCACGTGTGAGCCTTGACAAGCCACTTGACTAAAGGGGGTCACAGCTGAGTCTGTTTTATCCCCAGCAGTCTGCCACACACTCACAACTAGTGTGCAATAAATGGACCAGGAGCGGGAACCGTTGCTGGGAAGGATGTGGCCAGTTTAGCCTCCCATGCAGCCCAACTAAGACCACCAATTCATCATGGAAGAACCTTGAACCTTTTGGTCAACGAGCTGCAACTCCATCTACTGTATCATAGGATCTGCCCTGAGACTGTAATTCGTAGACAATGCATTTTATAATAATAATAATCCTTGCATTTGATATGGTGTCTTATCAAGTTGTTGAGACATCTCAAAGCCTTTCACAGGCTATACTGTGAAGTGTAGTGATGAAAATTTGGGGCGAAAATTTTACGTGCAACAGTAAACAGTAAAGAAGTTCTTAGTTTATTTCACAGTATTGAAAGAAATAAAATGCAATATTATGCCTTTTTTTCAGCATTAAAGAGCTTAGTGAAAACGTGTTTAAGCCTTCAGTATCTCCAGTACTTGTCCGATAAAGAAGAGAGTTTCTTCGGTATCCTTTATATGCATTACTGCATCTATCTTGACAGATTGTGGAAAACCAAAATCTTTGACTGTTTTGGTTTTGCTTGGCCATTATCAGAATTTCTAATAGTCCAATATTTGATTCCTGTGTAACAATATAAACAATTCGGTTAGCATTAGTAATCCAGTTAAATTTATAACAGGACTGCAATTATATTCCAACATGTTAAACAATAACTGAACGTTTAGTGGCCTTTTTACAGCGCAACCCAGTTATAAGGTAGCCCTCTGGATCCAATCTTGCAGGTTAAGCAAAGAACTGATAAAACTTGTACTTCCATTTTGTCAGGTCATTGCTAATGTCATTTCCTGCATATTGAATTGCATCCCATGGCCCAGAAAACATTGCTGACATCACTCTCTCTGCAAAGTGTCATTAGTGGTGTTTTCTTTGCAGAGTACACAGCAAGTGACACCACTGTTAATCTTTTACTTATTTTAGGTTCCGGGAGTACAACAGGCAATAATACAAGTCAAAACTTAAGCAGCAGTTTGATGGACTGCCTAAGGATATATTATTCTTCTTCTTATATATTATTATAGTTATCGTCCTTATAAATGATCGGATTCTGCACAGGTTTTTATTCAGTTGAAACCGTCCATTTTACCAACACAACAGCAACAACAACAATAACAAAGTTACATTTATAGAGTGCCTTTCACGTCGGGAGGACGTCCCAAAGCGCTGAATGGTCAGGTGTCGGGGCCTGAGCATGGGGGAGGGATGGTGTAGGGGTAAGGGAAGGCAGAGAGGTGGGAGGGAGACCAAAGGCACGGTCGAAGAGAAAGGTCTTGAGATCGACCTTGAAGGAGGCAAGGGAGGAAGTGATGCGAAGGGACCGTGGGATGGAGTTCCAGAGTGTGGGGGCAGAGAGGCTGAAAGCTCGGCCACCAATGGTAGGGTGGGTCGGGTGGGAGATAAGGAGCAGGCCGGAGCCCGATGAACGGAGGGAGCGGGCAGGTTGGTAGGGAGTCAGCAGGTCAGAGAGGTAGGCGTCAGGTTCGACCCCCAATTATCCTTCCTCCCCCACATCCGATCCCTCACCAGCACTGCTTTCTTCCACCTCCGATGCATCACCTACCTCCGCCAATACCTCCCCAAAAGCCGCTGAAACTCTGGTCCATGCCTTTATCAGCTCTCGGCTGGACTACTCCAGCGCCCTCCTCACCGGCCTCCCATCTACTACCATCCATGAAATCCAAATCATTCAAAACTCTGCCGCCCGCATTCTCACCCGCACCAAACTCCACTCCCCGATTACCCCAGTCCTTGCCCAACTGCACTGGCTGCCTATCAGAGAGGATCGATACCCGTTGCCTTCGTTCCTCCGGGTCTGGCCTCCTTCTCGTCCCCCGAGTCCTCCGCTCCACCCCCAGCGGCCGTGCCTTCAGCCACTATGCCACGAGGCTCTGGAACTGCCTTCCTCACTCCCTTCATCTCGCTCCCTCCCTTCCCATTTTCAGATCTCTGCTGAAGACCTTTGTTTTCGACCGCGCCTTTTGTCACCTTCCCCTCCCCCTCCCACTGGCTCAGCCCTGGGATCTGTTACTGTAAAGTGCTCTGAGGTGCCGCCTGGTGTGGAGGGCGCTATATAAAACCAAGTTGTTGTTTGGAAGCGCCTGGAGGTAAAAGTTTATTTAAAATTACAACATATTATTATTCAAAATACAGCTCCATAATCATATTTTAAATGTCTATCTGTTTTATATTGATCCTCCTCAGCTTCAGATAATTGTCATTCCAATAATAACCTTCTTATAGTTAGCTATAAGAAGTTAATTATTGGAAGCAACTAATATTTAAAATGTATTTTCCTCTTTTGGAGGTTAATGCTAACCACAAAGTCTCCATACAGGATGAGGCAGAAAATATGACTAGATAAATTAATGGACCATTCATCAGGATGATACCAAGCATGAGACATTTTACTTATTAGAACAGGTTGGAGGAACTAGAGCTGTTTTTCCAAAAGGAGACCTGATAAAGGGTTTTACAATTTTTACAATTATGAGGGTTTTGATAATGTAAGCGGGGAGAAATTATTTCTACTAGTTGGTAAATCAGTAACTAGAGGACATAGATTTAAAGTAATTTACAAAAAGCAAAGGGGGGTGTTAGGAGAATATTTTTACACAGAGAGTTTGTTAGGATTTCGAATGCTCCACTTAAAACAGTGGTAGAGGCAGAATTCATAATAGCTTTAAAAAGGAATTAGATAAGTATCTGAAAAAGGTTACTGTAAAATGGAATCGAGAAAGGATTAAAAAAAGGAGCCAATGGATAGAGGGGACAAATAGTCTCCTACCATGCTGTATATTTCTATAGTTCTAGGAATGACAAACATGGTGATTCAAAATGCCAATACGATTTGTCTGACTATTAAAATCATCTATTCTAGTAGAAGTTATGTTAGTATAATACTACAACATTTGAAAATATTTTCTGAAGTTAAAATGAGAAAGCTATCATTCAGAGCAATATATTGGGTGGAGGTTCTGGGAGAAAAATGTTGAATAGTGGTGCCTATGTAATTCTGACTGTACTGATACTGATAGAAGATAATTTAGTCCTGAAAAGAAATGACCTTACCATAGAGTGACTGGATTTTTTCAACATCATCATGTGAAAGAATCAACTCATTCATTGTAGATTCAGAGTAGAATGGAAACATTACAGATTCAGGATCGCTGGTGTGGAATAATCCAAGTTCATGTCCTATCTTTGGGACGTCCTCCTGACGTGAAAAGCGCGATATCAAATGCAAGGATTATTATTATTATTATTATTATTATTATTATCTCATGCACAGCTACAAATAATAAGTTGTAACCTGCAAAAAACACCATTGAAAGATAAGTATCCATAAAGTATTCATGATCACATCACTTAATTCATTAAAAATAGGAGTCCTGTAGCTCAGTGGTTAGAGCACTCGCCTCACAAGCGAGCAAGTTTGTGAGCAAGTTTCCTTACTCCACACGCCTGATAATAATCCTTCCAAAAAAATTATAAAATTGGTCACTCCAATCTACGACTGCTTGTGGGATACTGCTGTGCGCAATTGGCTGCAGCTTTTCGCCCACAAATATACAGTCAATTCACTTTACAGGCTATTTCGTGAAGCGCTTTGAGACGTCTTTACCACAATTTCTTTACTAGACTTTTCTGAGGGTTTGGAATTAATTCACATGAGCGGCTATTAAGGCCGGATCAATGGAATCATTCAAAGAGAAAGAGAGTTGGAAAAAGCAACTTCGAAAAATGGGGAGCATTAGAAAGAAACGATGGGCTGAATTACATCTTTCTGTGCAGAAAATTTCTATAGTACTATACAGATTCTGAGGGTTGAAGCCAGGATCCTTGACTTAATGCTCTTTGAAGCAACTTAGTACACCATCTTGGGAACTGTTGACCTCGAGAGCTAATGGAAATTTATTGGTGATGCGATTTCGTGACAGAAAACAGAAGTTGAGTGAGAATTCATTGATTAGATTAAGGCAATTGTGAAATGTTTTAAGAATTACTTGTAAAGAACCAAACATTTGAGCTCATAAATACCTGATTGTGAACCATTATATCTAACCTGTTACCTCACAAAACTCTAGGTTAAGATTCACAATGGAAAGTTTCTTTAAATTGATGGACACAAAGAGCTTTAAAATAAAGTACTGGTTTCTTTACAGAGGACTCAAATTTTGAGTTTAGCTGTCAGTATAATATAGTGTAATTCTGTGGTTGCTTCCACAGTTTCTCGGTCAGAATGAGAAATTAAGTACCAATTGATAGTGGAACCATCAAAGCATAAGGATTGGGATTAAGTATAATAATCATGGAATGTTACAGCACAGAAACAGGGCACAGAAATGTGCATGCTGGTGTTTTCTCCACATAAGCCATCTAGTTTAATTCCACTCCTGCTCACTTCATGTACCATTAAATATATTTTTTAAAACATCCAATGTATAGATCCGGAATTGAGAACATACACTTGTTGGACAGATAGAAAGGTGGACGTAGGAAAGTAGAGATAATAAAATAGCAAAATTACAAGAGTGCAATGGCACCCAAACGAAGAGTATTTATTTCTAAGGGAGTCTAAATCTACATACTAGAATGTCCTAGGCTCCAGGATTCATCCTCATCAAAGTGGATGGCACCTCCATTGCCTAGTGCGGGTTGGAAAGCATGAGCCAGAAATCCACCTGGCCCATCAAATGAACTACTATCATTATGATCTGGAAACAGAAACACCAGTTTAATAAGCTCCATCCAGGAGTCCCTCCACCGTGACCCCACCCCAACCCCCCACCCCAAACACACAAGCACACACACCGTCAATTGTGTGAAGTACTCAAGACACCCTGATGTAAACGGTGCTGTGTAAATTGTTGCATTTAATCTCAAAACCTGTATTAATTACAGTCCTGTGCTCATACCTCCAGATTTAAAGGAAATCAAGATGTCAGCTTTCTTATGTTTTTAACCTCACGAACTTCAGAGAAATGGCATCACTCCATATTTTAAAAGTCTTTTTAATAACTTGATCCACTAACTTGACCTGCAGTCTAGATGTGTATTTAAGTATCCTGAGGAAACAGAGTGGTAGGTATGAGTTGTCATTATACAAGTAACCAGAGAAATGTTGCCCATCAAATTAAATCTGTACCTGAAAGTTTTTGAGGAGATTTTCCATTTTGGATGAAGTCCATATTTTTCAGAGTCAGAAAGCCCACACCAAGGTTTCTTCATCATTTTCAGCGTTTTAGAATTTAATTTTCCAGTCACAGGGAAATGAAAAAATCTTTGCATTTCCTTAAGCTTTTCCTGGAAGTTATTTCCACCCGTATCTCTTTTCTTGCGCGAACCATTTGTTTCAAATTTGTAGAAATGCTGGAGATAATCCTGAGAGAGAACACACATTAGATATTGATTACTTTACATACTTTACAAGCCCACTATAAATACAAGAATATTTCTTATTTCATAAACAGTGAAATGGAACATATCTGATTGAATCAAGAAGGTACCTCTGCATATTTCCTGTCACCGGTGAAAACTGAGGATAAATTTGGTAGCGTAAATAGGATCAAAGTCCAGTGGCTCGTCATCTTGGTTTCTGAGGCAGACTGCGTTCTCTGGATCCCTTAATGCTTCTTTTAAATCATAGGAACACTCCCGAGAATGAGATTGCTCAAAACTAAAAGATTGCACAGATCAATTATTGATAGCTGTTTCCCAAGAAATGAGATTTCCAGGAATGAGATTGCTCAACACCAATAATCTGATGGATCAGTTCTTGTTATCGCTGGGACTCTCTCCCTCAATCTCTACGCCTTGCCCCCTCACTCCCCACTTTCAAATCCCGCCTAAAGACCTTCCTTTTTGACCGTGCTTGTGGTCACCTCCCCACTCCCTCTCTGCCTGGGTCGGGGTCAGACCCTGCCACTGTCAAGTGCTCCAGGTCACTACCCTACATGATGGATGCCATATCAATGCAAGTTGTTGTTGTTGTTGTTATTGTATCTGATTCATGAGAGTTTACTGAGAAACTTAATCGGATTGAAAATACCATTTACATGCAATCTGAACACTGAAGATTCTAATGGACTTCGTTTATCTTTCCACCATCCCCTGCCCAGCCTTCCACCCCTCTTGAATCCAGCACGCAGTTCGAGGGATGCAAACCCTTGATTGTCCAGTACCTTGGGACTCCCTCTTGACCTGAAAGGCACTATATAAATGCAATTTGTTATTGTTGTTCTAATTTACTCCCGTGGATTCGAAAGATCTTGCCAAGGATAAAATTAAAGGAAACAGTTGCCTTCTTTCTGTGTCGTACATTTCTATGGTTCGCACCTCTGAGTTAGGGCTTGTCTTATATGTTACATATTATTACTCATACATTATTTGTACACTTGTTGATTTACCTTCAGATCCAGATATCTGCCATCTTTATTTTACAATTTTATAATTTTGGGGAATAGGAAGAGGTCATTCAGCTCATTCTAGCCTGTACCACCAGTCTGTTAGTTCTTGGTGAATCTTTTAATCCCAATGTCATGCCCATTCACCATTCACCAAGGTGTCCTGTAGCTCAGAGCATTCGCCTTGCAAGCGAGAAACTTGGGTTCGATTCCCGGCAGGGTGAAACCTTGGGCAAGTTTCCTTACTCCACAATAATCCCTCAAGAAAAAAAAATTGGTCAATTCAATCCACGACTGTTTGTGGGACACTGCTGGGCGGAATTAGCTGCCGTGATTTGCTCAAAATATACAGTCAATTCACTTTAAGGCATATTCTGTGAGACGTCTAGAAGACATGAAAAGCGCTATATCAAATGCAAGGATTATTATATTTTGTTGTTGCAGACAATCTCTTGGTGCAGTCTTCCAAAATGTACTTTACTGTAGCAAATGAACAACAACCAACAATTTGCACTTCACGCAGGGTAGGGTTTCAGAGCACTCAGAACATTCTAACCATTTCACACATGGCATGTCACACAATGTTATTAAGGGACAGTGAATCCAATAGATTTCTGTCTTGCTTTCAGCTGCTATGCTCTGAAACTATTGAACACTCTTCCTCAATGTCCTTGTCCCTCTGTGCTGCTACTTTTAGTGTATTTGGGAATGGCACATTTGGCACAATAGATTGTGAAATGGTTTACATTGTGAATGTGTTTACACTTGTGATAATAGTGGAGCTGTTGTTTCTGAGCTTACCATTCATGTAATGCAACTAGGACATTTAATCATAGAATTTGACCTTGGGAAGCTACTCCGTGTGCTCTCTATCATTACAGCAACTCTTTTGATGGTTCATTTCTTTTTAATGAATAAACAACACAAAGCATTTTGACACACACAGAGTGGAATGATCCAAGCATACAACCTAGAGTCTCATTCTTTTCGGACTTAGTTTATTCTCCAGCTGTTGGGATCTTTTCTTCATGGGACACTGCCAGATTTCATAATGTCTTGTCCTTTACAGTTTGTCACATACTTCAGTTTCTCATTCGCTAAAATGTTTAATGAACATTAAAGCAGAAGCCCCATATGCATAGTAGTTAACTTGCTGGGCTCGCAAGTGAGAGGACCCGGGTCAATTCCCGGACAGGGCGAAACCTCAGGCAAGTTTCCTTAATCCACACGGCTCTGTTTACCTAGCAGTAAGTAGGAATTTGGTTGTTGGTTGATTGCTGGGGGTAATAATCCTGTCCAAAAAGAAATAAAAAATGTGATCACTCAATTTACGACTGTTTGTGGGACACTGCTCTGTACAATTGGCTGCTGCATTTTGCCCACAAAATATACAGTCAATTCCCAATGCACAAGTATTTACTGTGAAGTGCTTTGAGATGCCTAAATAATGTGAATCGGTGATATATAGTAATAATCCTTGCATTTGATATAGCGCCTTATCATGTCTTTGAGATGTCTCAAAGCGATGCAAAGATTATTATTATTATTATCTTGGAACTCCTATAATCTAAGATGATACTTCAGTGCGGTGCTAGGAGAGTGATGGAGGTGCCATCCTTTTGATGAGATGTTAAACCGAGCCCCGGATGTTCAAGATTCCATGGCTTTATTTGAAAAGAGAATGAGTTTCATACATCCATGAAGGGAATCACCAATGCTTATCACCTTTATGTGCAGATTTCCAAAGCAGATTGCAAATGTATGTGTATTCTGCGTAAATTTAGTGTTTCTGTACATTTTGATTTATCTCTTCTTCAAGACTTGATTCAATTTTGCTTTTTTTTCCCCTGTAATTTACTTTCTCTGTAATTACCAGTTCTACTAAATGAATTTTACTTGACATCCAGAACAGTTTAAAAACAGGCACTTTTATTACAGGACAATAAGAGAGAGAAAAAAACAGATTTAGTTCCGAAAATGCTTTTAGAAAGCCGGGCATAGCAGAGATAAACAAAAAGCAACAATGATTTCAGATCATTGTTAAAGAAGTTAAACCTGTTGTTATGCAGAGAAGAACCCATTCTGGGGTTATTTTCTTCCATTTGAGGATAAACATTTCTTTTTCTTCTCTGAAGATTGTATCAAAGGGAGTGCACATCTTGTAGGCTTCCACTGAATTTACTGTTTGTGAGGGCTGGGCCTGTATAGTCCATTTTGAACCAATGGAAAAAACCTTTCAAATAAAGTTCCTCCATGTTGAACTGTGATAACTGAAAGCAAGCTAGCAGATTTTAAAAGTTAGACATTGATAGAAGAGTAAAAATAAATACAATTAAAATATAAAGAAGTCAATACAGAGGAACCACTGATACAGGTAATGTTTAAAAAATGCAGTTTTGAAAAACATGAATTTGTCCATTTTATTGGCTGGTTCACACGACTTGCTTTGCTTAGCTGGTGGTCGAACAAATGTGAAAACCTTGATCACCATTCTTCTGAGTACGCAAATTAAACTATTGAACGTTCCACATATTCCTAGAAATTGACATTCGTCTAGTATGGAATACTCTCCCCGGAAAGATACACCCTGCCTACCAAATCGTAGAGAATATAGGCAAAGGCAAGAATCAATGCTTGCAACTTGCTGGACTTTAACCAACTAAAGCCATAATGCTCACCATTGTGAACAGTTTGCCACACTTCCCGTTGCTTGCTAAGCTACCCTACCCATTCAGGCTTGGAATACTGCAGACCTACCAGGATCAGGAACCGGACTACTCAGAACATCAAAGATGATTGACTTGATTCTGATTTCCATTGTTGGATATGCCACCATGAAGCCACATCAGCCCCAAAGTTCATTCATTCATCTCTCCACACCCCGGATGGAAAGTTATTAAATATCTAACAAATGCAGGTTTGAGTCTTTGCTAAGTGAATGCTTAGATCTGCAAATCCACAATCTTGATGGGAGAACCCATCATTGGTGCTAGATTTTCCTCCAAAAATAGTCCATAGACACTAGTGTCTACAGCATTCTTTAATTGATAAAGTATGGGAAACATCATGGGTTAATGTCTCTATATTTTGTAGCTGAAATATACCAAAACAATCACTACATTTTACCCTAAAATCCTATGAAGAGCTTGGCAACATCCTGCGAACATAAAAGGTGCTATATCAAATCAAGAATTATTTGTCATTCATTTTCTTACCTCGATTGTGTACTTAAAACCCATCATGAGCACATGCTGCCAAGGTTGGTAAATTTACCAAAAAACAACAAATACTGTAACTCCTTCACGCCACTGAGGTTGATAAATATGTTGATAGATGGAGAATAAGCCCCAGTGTTCCAAAGTTATGCAACTGAGCACTAATATTTGCAAGTGGCACAAGTCACGAGACTACAAATACAGACCTAATGGACAGGAAGCATATTAAATCTCTGAAGTCAAATGACATTTAAAACACATGCACTGTATTTAAACCAAAATACCATGCAAGTTGATTCATTGATATTTTACCTTTTTAAGAACACACGTCAATATTTCACGTGCAATTTTTAGAAATAATCATCTGCCAAAAAGGTAGTCTGTAAAAATCAGGGATTCATTTCAGCCAATTTAAAAAGGCACCATCTTGTTTTATTGTCTGAACTTAAAATTATCCTGTTGTGGAAAAATTGTTAGTACATTATTGATCCTAGTTCTTCCACATTGCATTTTGACAACCTAGGTAAAGCCATTTGCCTGGAAGGTACCTATTATATTCTTTACCTTTATTGTACAACTAAAAGGCTAAATTTTTAAGTTCTTGGCATATAATAATCCTTGCATTTGATATAGCGCCTTATCACATCTTCGAGACGTCGCAAAGCGCATCACAGAATATACTGTAAAGTGAATTGACTGCATATTTTGTGGGCGAAACATCAGTAATTGTCTTGGTACACCCAGATTGAAAACGTGCAAAGCATTCACTCTTTGCAAGGTGAATTTAAAGTTTTAATCTAAACATAAATGTAAATATAATTCCTATTTGTGACCCAAGACAAACAGAGTATATATCACCTTCAGAAGAAACAGTGAATTCAATAATTTGTCAGGATAATTACAGGAATGCAAGTTCATAATAAACTGAAACTTTGTGTTAAGCCATCAACTGGTCCTGCATCAGATTATTTTTGTGAACAAAATTGGGGGGATGCCTTATTTCAAGTGCAATAAGTGTGCAGTAGCTTCCCTCTTTGTATCACTCGCCAAAATATATCTGTTTAAATGTGATACAATACAAAATTACATTTCTAAAGCACCTTTCACATTTGGAGGACGTCCCAAGGCGCTGAACAGTCAGGGATTGGGACCCAGGGCGGGGTGGGGGTGGGATTGGGGGCAGAGAGCCTAAGAGGGTGGCTGAAGGCATGGTCGACGAGGAGGGCCTTGAGGCGTGCCTTGAAGAAGGTAAGGGAGGGAGCGAGGCAAAGGGAAGGGGCAGAGAGGCTGAATGCCTGACCGCAGATGGTGGGGCGGGCTGGGCAGGGGACATGGAGCAGGCTGGAACCGGCTGAGCGGAGAGAGTGGACAGGTTGATAAGGGTTAGGAGGTCGGAGAGGTAACGGGGCAAGGCCATGGATGGCCTTAAAGGCGAGGACGAGAATTTTGAACTCAATCCTCTGAGGGATGGGAGCCAGTGGAGTCGGGCGAGGGTGGGTGTGATGGGGTCATGGAGCCTGGTGCAGGAGAGGACATGAGCTGCAGAGTTTTGGATGATCTGCAGATTGTGGAGGGAAGAGTTGGGAAGGCTGACAAGCAGGGCGTTGGCATAGTTGAGCCTGGTGGTAATGAAGGTACGTATGAGGTGGCCTGAAGCGTGAGACAGTGGCGGAGCCGGGCAACATAGCAGAGGTGGGGGAAGGCAGAGCGGGTCATGGCACGGATGTGGGGGTGAAAGGACAATTGAGGGTCAAACAAGACTCCTAGGTTCCGGACTGGCTTAGTAAAGTGGAATGTGCATCCGTGGATGCTTATCCTGCCAGTGCCCGAGGTGCAGAGGCGCTGACGCCAGCCAATCAGAAGGGTCTCGGACGTGGTGATATTCAACTGAAGAAAGTTAGCTCTCATCCAGGACTTGATGTCTGACAGGCAGTCTGTCAGGACAGCAGTGATCCTGGAATCAAGGGTGGAGGCAGAGAGGTAGAGTTGGGTGTCATCCGCATACATATGGAAGTTGCCCCATGTCTGCTGATGATGTCACCAAGATGGAGCATGTACAGGTTGAAGAAAGGACTGAGGACAGAGTCCTGAGGAACACCGCACAAGACGGTGTGGGGGCTGGAGGAGAAGCCGTTTGTGGAGACAAAGTGGAGCTGGTGTGAGAGATAGGATCTGAACTATTCAAGGACAGAACCTTGAAAGTTAAGATGAGAGGTGGTGGAGGATACAGTGTCCAGTGTCAATGGCAGCAGAGAGGTCAAGGAGGACGAGGAGGGCGGAGGGAGCCCTGGTCACAGATGGACAGAATATCATTTGTCATCTTGACCAGGACTCCGATTGGAGGGGTTCATAAATCAAGTGGCAGGAGAGAAAGGAGTGAAGCTGGGAAGCAACAACTCTCTCAAGGACCTTGGAAACGAAAAGGAGAATTGAGATGGATAGTAAGCAAGGGTGGATCCAGGGAAAGTTTTTTGGGGGATAGGGTGATGAGAACTGTTTTTAGGGGGATGGGAATGGTGCCAATTGACAGGGAGAAGTTGATGAGGTCTGAAAGTAAAGGGGCGAGGAGGTGGAGCTGGGAGGTAAGGAGAGGGATAGGGTCAAGGGAGCAGGAGGTGCTACTCCCTCAACCCCATGATTAGGACAGAGACTTGACACAATGTGTTTTCTTAGCTTTAAAAAGGGTTTTTGAAAAAATGGTGATTCTTTAGAAGTCTTGATTTAAAAAAAGATATTGGCAAATTGCAAAATGTTTCAAAAAGTCTGCATTCAAAATTTAAACACAGAATGACCCAACAATTGCCTATGGTGCATTAAAAATTCCATAAATGTCAAACAGAAAATAATAGAATTTAAGTGCCAAAATGCAAGATATTTAACCTGTTCAGACATTGGCAACAGACCTTACTGGGAAGTTCAGAAAAGAAAGAAATCAGATGTTAAGAAATTGTTAGGGGGGTTGTGGGAAGAGATGCTGCATTGATTTGGTTTTGAAACTATAGGCACAAGTTCCAATTGTAAAAAATATTTTCCTTGTTTTCTCCATTGCCTCAAGTTGTCAATGCAGAATGAGGTGGTTTTCAGGCTTAAAGCATCAACTCTCTTATCACTAAATGCTTTCTTTTAGCTCAATAACCTTGAGCTGACATGCATTAGAATAGTTTGTATTTAAAGTAAGACTATTTTAGTAATCTTTACTCTTTTTACAGAAACAGTTCCTCAGATATCTAAATAGTGAAAGATGTCAAGGAGTCTGGAGTATAGAAAGCATTTCTTTACAAAAATTAAATAAGTTAGAGGCAATGAATATTACAGATGCATGTGCTGTATTTATATTCACGCTTGCAAATGGGATTTCTACGATTTCAAGCCACAAACTAACCCAATGTGATAAAAAGCCACAATGACACTTCTTGAATTACTGGCATGAAAAATTAGGAGTAATAGTTCATTAATACGTCACATACCTTTAGAGACAAGTCTTCCCGAAATCAAATGTCCAATAGTAAATTTTAAATTATGAAGTAATTCATATCCTATTAATAGAATAAATACCTTGGTAAACTGATGCAATCTTTTTAAGGTTACTGTATGGGAAGCACCTCAAGTACTTTACATCTTAAATACCATCCAATGACATAACACAAAAAAGGGATACGAGTGTTGGGTGGTTGGAGATACAAGACAAATAGTTTTTCAGTACAAATGTAGCATTGTTTTTTTTTAAAAACCATGTACGAGAGAGCTCAAGTTGTAATCACATTTTTCCAGCCATGACTGACAATTTGCCATTTTGGGTCAAATTTACATTAGGGAACCCACTCTTTGGGTTTCATAGAGAATCTGTATCACTGTGGCTTCATGGAGAATCCCTGTATCATCCCTTCTGCCTTCAGACACCAATCAATTGACGTCCAAGTGAGAAAAGTGTGATTGCACACACACAACCAGGGCTGAATTTTCCCAGCTTGGCCCCGTTATAAAAAGTTCCCAGTGAATGGCTTGCTGATACAGCCAGAGCCGACAGCACAGCAGTTACTCTGTGACAACTGAAATGGCACATCTCCAATAGCCTCTAGAAATGGATAAATTTAGGAGCTTCTCCTTAGATGAACTTACTTTGGTTACCCAGTGTACCAATTTTGATCAGGTCAACTTGTGAGTAAACTAGATCAATGTTCATTATCAAAGAGGCTATGTATAATGGCAGGAAGGATTTCACTACTACATTTTTCACAATACATTGAGGGAGAAGAAGTGATGCAGTAGGGGGGTAAATATCTGCATTAGAAAGATTCTTTCTGTGTTTTTTTTCTTAAAAAGGGGAGAAAAGTTAATTTAATATTTAATTTGAGGGTTTTAATTAGTTGTCAGAATGTAAAAATATGCAGTTCAATCAAATTAATTGCAACACTAAGGATATGAAACATAAAAACATTGTATGGACTACAGTGGGTTCCAATAAATGTCACTCTGGGTGGTAAAAAATAAGAGTACATTCTTTTTTGAATGTGCTGAATGTATTTTGAATGGAAAGAAAAATGTTCGATTTTTCCTCTCAGGAAAACAGCTGAAGAAAAATAATTTGGCAATTTAAATAAAAAGCAGTAACTGATGTCAAACTTTAGCCTCATTTGACAATTTTTTTTACTGTCTTAAGAGTAGCATTTATATCAGTATATGAAGATACTAATAAGCTGGCATTGTAATTACTATTGGAGCATATGCAACACAAAACCATAGCCCAAGCCTTATTTCGTAATAATGATATATATTGCTATATATATAATATATATACACACACATATATTATATATAATATATATTATATATGCTAATCATTAGCTTTGTGGAATAATGTCCCAAGTGCAGAATCTTATTGCTCCTTCGAAACCAGAAAAAATCAAATTTATACATTTGTATTATATGAATCAAGATTTTAAACGAACGTATTCTAGACAACCACACCCACCCAAAAAAGTGCTACATTTCAGAACGTACACTGGAATCAGTACATAATCAATAACATTCACAGTAGCCCAAAAAATTATACTGGACATATACTTTCAGTTTTCAGATGAGGCCAAGCTCAACTGTTTTTCATTCTTTACATAACTCTCTTCGCATCACTCTAGTAAAATGATTAACGGAGGGGGTGGGGGCGAAGGAACAGTGTATCTGCTAAATACTGGAACTTTAGGGAGAGTAATACTAATCCCTGCATTTGATATAGCATCTTATCACGTCTTTGAGATGTCTCAAAGCGCTTCAGAATATACTGTAAAGTGAATTGACTGTATATTTTGTGGACGAAACATGGCAGCCAATTGCACAGCAGTGTCCCACAAACAGTGGTGGATTGAAGTGACCAATTTATGATTATGTTTTTTTGTAGGATTTATCAGCCATGGAAAAGTGATCTGCAAATTGACTAACAACCGGATTCCTACACACTGCTGGATAAACAAAGGGGTGTGGAGTAAGGAAACTTGCCCAACTTTTTGTCCTGGCGGGAATCGAACCCAGGTCTCTCGCTTGCGAGGCGAGTGCTCTAACCACTGAGCTACAGGACTCCTGTAGTGACCAATAAGGAGAATTCCTATTCTCCAGTTCAATATTTCAACTTTGAATATTTGAACTTCGTTCATGACTGCCTTTACAAAGGAGATCCATTTGTAACAACATTGCAATTATCTTTAAGACACTAAAGAACATAAGAAAGGTTTCTTTATTCAAGGTCCCACAGTATCACCTATTTACAAAAGCTTCAACTAAACATTAAGAGCATAAGATTGCTTAGTTCAGGCTAATTTACAACTTTATACTCTGAAGAGTATATATTTGAAGCACAATACGACAAAAAGAATCTAACACTGTACTGAATGTACAGTACACCTTTTTCCTGGTCTGATGCAGCACGTTATCTGCCTCTTCTAGTGATTTTACAACCAATTCTACAATATGCAATCCTCAGAGCTAAGTTAGGGATTTCATCATCCAAAGTTGCTCTTCACTTTCACAATGTAACTACCAACGAGTCCCAGTGCTGGTTATATACCACTTTCGACCATCCTGACCTAGTGAGTGCACATGACCGATCCATTGTATTTAACCGGGGGGGGAGGGGGAAGGAACATTCAAAAAGCGCTTTTGGGAACAGGCAAAACATTCTGTGGATACCTCAACAATAATGTAACTAAACAAATTTTAAACACACATTTGTACCACTTGAATTATTCTCATCACATGGGCCTTGCAGTGGTGCTGCTGTCATTACCAGAAACCCTGAGCACACAGTCCTAGACTAGCACCAGTACCTAATGATATAAATTGGCAAAGGTGCTATGTAGTTACAACAATATCTGATTATGAGGTTCAGTAAGTTTTTGGTATGGTACCAGAGTGGAAAATGTTTTCAGATACAACAGCATACACTTCCGAACAAATGAAAACTACATCCATACGCTTCCAGGCCTGCAACTACAGTCACACATGAAACTAATGACGATTTCTGTTTCTAATGAAAACCTATTATTTTTTAATGTGCTTCATCAAAGTACTTCGTTTATGAAGTTATAAACAGATATCACCAAAAGCATTAAGACTCAAGACTGGATAAAATCCCATCAGGTGCCATAGTAAATGAATACATAATAAATGCTTAATACAGATGCAACTTAAACCTTCTCCCCACTTGTAACACTGAAAAGTCTGTAGCTAGCATAAAAGATGGCTTCTGACAAATACTTTCCGCTTCATAATTAAAGGTGTAGTTTGCTCGGGTAGCAAAGCATTATTGCTCTCCCTTAAGTACTTTTCCCCTCCTCCAACTTGCTACGATGACTGTCTTGCTTTCTGCCACTCAACAAATTCATCAAGCAGCACAGGCCCTGAAACAAATAAGGCAAACAGTTAAAAATTATAAATGTTTTGTGGTTATTAATGGTTTAAAATAGCAAAAGAGTGCAATGTACAATCTCCAGTTACACTAAATGCACACTTACATGCACCATCTTCATCATAGTTGCTTAGGTCTGCATGTACAGTTCTGCTGAACTCCAAAACATTGAACCACTGATCCTTATTCATAACTCTGTATTTTGACTGCTGTGGAGAATTCATATTGGCTGATTAAACATTTTATTGACTTGCTTTTGAGAAATACACAGCGTTCGTGTTATTTAGGAAAATACATTAATTTGAGATCTATCATATCACTTGATCTGAAATTAATGTATTTCCCCACAATTAGTTACTTACCTCCAAAAATTGGTGAAAGGCAGAGAACAAAGGCCATGTTCTTCCTAACAGCAGAGCTAACATAGACTTAGCAGTGTCAATATCAAGGCTACGCTGGTCTTTATCCTAAATAAAGCACAAAATAAATTTTATTTTACAATATTTTCTAAAAAGATGTTTATCATGAAATGTTCAATAAAGGTCAGTAAGCAGTTTTTGACTTACCCTAGCAAAATCAAAGGCATATCTGTAAATTTGTTTGAAAACTGACAGATCATTCAGTTGTGAGCGTAAATAATCAAATTTGCTCTGCAGCTTTTCTGTGCAGTCGCACCTAGATTCAAAACAGAACTTTTATAAGCACGGACACAGATACTTTGTGCACGACTGGTCTATTTTAATTTGGCAGAGTTGGTTTCATAACAATTTCCAATTTGTTTGATCCGTTCACATTGTATGAATTTTCATTGACAACATCAAGTAAAGCTTATGCTTAAAACCAGTAAAGTTTTTAGAATTCATACAGATTTCTTACTGTAGTGAGGTCATTCCTTTTAGCCACTCCTCTTTAGTGAAAAATCCCATGTTCTGAGCCTCCAGCTTCCATGCTAATACTAACATGATAATCTGCAAATGACAAAAACAAATTGAACACCATTTAGTTTTGGTACCCCACTGAATTACTAACATTACTAACATTTTCTACCCTTCCCTAGGATCACATGGATAATATGCATAATATGTTAGTTCAAAGTAGAAGAGAAAATAAGATTTTAATGGAATGGTTGGTGTACTTGGAGACCAAGGACTCATTTCATTACTTTGACAAAAGGTACTATTGGATTCATGACGCCTCTTAATTTTGAACATACCACTTTCGTAAAGGCCCATAGTTGTGTGACTGAAATGGCTGGAATATGATCAAAACACAAGATGAATCTTGCCATTTAGTACTTTTGTGCAGCTTCTGCAATACCAAACGTCACTGTAATGGTGCACTATTAATGACTTCTGCTTATTCCAGTTTTTCTGCTTTAACATTAAGTGCAGTTGAGGATTCTATGCAAGCAGTGAGAGAATAACAATAATAATCCTTGCATTTGATAGCGTCTTTCATGTCAGGACTTCTCAAAGCACTTTACAGATTCAAGTGTAGTAACTGTATTTTGCAGCAGCTAGTTTTTGTATAGCAATGACTAAAAGCCATGAAGTGGGCGACCAATTTGATCTGTGGGATTTTTGGCCAAGACAGCAGGAAAAACGTCCTGATGAAATGAGAGCACCCTCTTAAGGATGGCTTCAGCAGTGCAGGTTATTTTGAGCAGCAAATACAATTTGATAATTAAAGTTTCAGGCTTCCAACAGATTTCATGGAGTAAAGTTAATCAGCACCAGGTTCACTTTTCCATATACTGTGTGTGGGTGGCAGAGCTGTAAAACATATTAAGTGAATCTATTGAATCTGCCACAGAGTAGCTGTGCCTGTATAGAATTAGTTTCCATTTTAACTGTATAATTTAGGCAGCACAAAACAGACCTATATAATTCTTGCATTTAATATAGTGCCTTATCACATCTTCGAGATGTCTCAAAGTGCTTTTATACTGTAGAGTGAATTGATTGTATTTTGTGGGGGAAACTCGGTAGCGAAGTGCACACAGCAGTGTCCCACAAACAGTCATGGATTGAGCGATCAAATAATTTTTTTTTGAAGTGATTATTACCCCCGGAAAAATGATCCGCCAATCGACTAACAACCAGGTTCCCACTTAATGCTAGGTAAATAGTGGCGTGTTGAGTAAGGAAACTTGCGCAATGCTTCTCCCTGCTGGGAATCAAACCCAGGTCTTCCGCTTGTGAGGTGAGTGCTCTAATCATTGAGTTACAGGATTTCACAGGAGTAGCTATATTCATAGCTATATTTAGGTTGAAGCAAATACTATTTCATGACCAAACAGATGCCCAATAGAAAGAAAGGGCAAATGTATCACCCAAGACCTTTGAAGGATTTTTTTAAAAAAAATTGCCGGATTCAAACAATTACAATGCCAGTCCTGACATTTACATGGATTTTTTGGTAACAAAAAAAAGTGAGTGCTGCGAAAAGCCAGTAAAGGCGTTGCAATTACACTTAGCCGGAAATTATTGCTCGGGGGACAGAATCTCTCACCACTGGCTAGCTGGGGTTTTAGTGTACTAAACACCAACTGCTAAATCCAGGACCTCATATAAGGGGCTTTGATAAATTGACACGTCTGCTGGGTGTGAAACCGGCTGTGCCTCCAAGGTGCTCAGCTACAGATCAGTGTAAGCCCCCACCCCTGCAGCCACTTCTCCTTTTAATCACAAATCTGTTGTCACTGATCACGCCCACAACATTCTCCTTTGGAACGAGGATTGCTTTTCCAAACATTCTCCTTAGTAGTACATCTCGTATAGTTCTGAACAGATGGCTGCAATTAAATCTAAAGTGGCTGCATAAAAAAAGTTGTATAATGTGATACTTTTACTATACTTAGACTTTCATTATCTGTGAAGCTTGTAACATTCACACTTTATATTATCAGCCGAACACTTTCAACAGCACCTACATAAAGCTGTGAGATTACATATTCCCATCAACAGAAATTAAATGCATTTACATAGTGCCCTTCACGTGTGTAGGGTAGTGTCTTGGGAGTGCTTAACTTGTATGACCAGACTTATGCCAAACTTTACATTAGAACATATAAATATACAGACTGCACTTCTGGACAGCTGACAAAAGAGAAAGTCTACATAAGAGGCAATGTTTCAGGGAAGCTGCTGGATACAAGGGAAGCTGGACAACTTCAGCCAAAGCTTACAACATGTATATTCTAGAACATTTCGTTTTCAGCTAAACAGCAGCCATGAGGACAAGCAAAATAATTCTCAAATACACGATTTGAATAAATTCCTAGCCTATTTCCCTGGTTCACAGCCATGTGGTAAGCATAAGCCAACATTTCACAGAACATTTATACGTTTAACATCTGTACAATAAAAGCTGGACAGGAATCTTTTGCAATTTTGCAGCCAGCAACAGGTCACTTCTTTTGCTACAGTGAATAACCAGCTCAGCTCTGTCACAGTCACACTGCTGGCAGTCATTTGGATTTTCCCCAAGTCTTTTTTTGCTCCAAATAACTTTTACTATTTTAGGTTAGAATAAGAAGAGACCTAGGATAGGAGAAAAGAGATTTGGAAAAGGCTGTATCACAAGGAAAGTGAACAGGAATCGTAAAAATAACAACTCATTGGGAAATAAAACAAGATGCGTTTTTTAAAAAAAAAGCAACTCAAAATCCAAACTATGACTTAAACAAATTCCATGTACAGTAACTAAAGCAAACTACAAGAACAGGTCAGTGCTCCTCCCTCTCAATGGCACAATGCAAAGGGAATGGTTGTGCTATATTGTGCACCAAGACTACGACGAGTAATACATTTAGGTAAACTAGAATTGGGTCTTTCAAACTAGAGGAGTGAACAGATTACTGGGTAAGAGTGTTTTCTTGCTTACCAGCATTTTGTCCAAGTTGGGGGGAGGGGAGGCAAAAAGAAGCCTAGTATGAAGAGACGCCAGACCTCAGTGAGAGACACAGTCAGAGAGAGAAAAAAAAGAGGAAACAATTGTTCCCTCTAACTGACATATCAGTTGTTAACCAGCCCGGGAACAAGAGGCCAAGGGGCAGATGAGCCTGTATTTCCAGAAGAGTGTGCGAACATGGTATGTTGTTGAAAGAAAGATGGTGGTGCACATGGGACATTGAGCTCCAAGGGGGGGTGTGGGGGGGGGAGGGGGTGGGGGGACACAGCACAAGAAGGTTTGAAAAATGCCACGAAAGAAGATCTTAGAGCACAACTTAAGAAACCCAATTTTTAAAATCAAGTAACAATGGGCCCTGAAACAGATGAAATCTACCTATTAGTGCTGGACAACATTACAATACTGGTCTGGTCTACTTCTTAAAATTTACAATACAGTATTTATATTCTGTCTGCAATAAACATATCATGCAACATTTCAGTTTTTAAATACAGCTTATTCCCAAATTCACTGCTCCATGACATTACATTCAATAAATGTTCATAAGTGCTAAAAGTTACAGCTCCGAGAAATAATGCGTTAGAATCTCAAGTCATAGCTGCATTGTAATGAAGTCAGATCAATACAGAACCATGTCACAAGCCCGTTATCATACCAAAAACATCAACCAACCTAAGTTAACCACGTTTTGAGCATTTGCCACCCAAAAGGAAGAGTGATATTCTGGTCATTTAATGAAGCAAGTTGTGTTGGCAGCATGGAATACACTTTGTAGTCACATAAGAATATCAGTGGTAAGTCATTTTATACATGCCATTGCTACTGTCAGCGCCCTCACATGTCACAATTGCTTCCATTAAATAACTTCCAGTACAACCCTATTATAACCCATCAGCTAGGGTTTGATAAAATCCCATCTAGCATTATAACAGGACATGGGAACAGAAAACCATCCAGATTCCCCTGCTAGACCTGGGACAACGGTTCAAGCTCCATGTCGGGATGTGGAATCACAGTCTATGCCAGGGTTCTCCAACTGGTCAATCACCCCAAGGTGGTGCTCTTGTGCATGATCAAAACGACAAGAGGAAGGAGCGATATAGAACTGCGTAGTTAAAGAGTACAATTGAAAACAAAGCTAGATCCACAAAGTATTTCATATATCTGGAAATAAAAATATAAATTTTAATGTTTAAACTGCAGTAAATATCGCTCCTTCCTCTTGTTTTAATGACCATGTGAGACAAAACCTAGCGTTGATCGTCATTGTCTAAGCTGACAGTCCAGTGCAGTGCTGGTGGTGTGTTGCATTGTCAGAGGTGCTGTTCTTCAGATGAAACGTTAAACCGAGGTCCCGTCTGCCTGTTCAGGTAGACGTTAAAGATCCCATAGCACTATTCGAAAATAATTTCTCCTGGTATCCTGGTTAAAAATCTCCCAAATAAAATTGGTCAATCACTCCATGGCTGTTTGTGGAACATTGTTGTGCCCAAACTGGTTGCCACATCTTGCATACAATACTCAGTCAATTTACTTCACAGTATATCCTGTGAAGTGCTTTGAAACATCTCAATGACATAAGGCGCAATGCCGAATGCAAGGATTATTATAAAACAAACTGCAGTCATGAGGTGCATAAGAAGTGATGTCAGTGAAGACCTGATGATCCAGACTTCGACCATTTTTTAATTACAAAAAGCCAGCTGGTATTTTGAAGTGAGAAAATGTGACTTGAAGTGATCCTATATGCCTTCTGCATGCATTTTGGAGTAAGGAAATATTGGGGTCCCTACCCCAAAATCACTAAGCAAAACTTTATCATAATGAAGCAATTAATAGCAGGATTCTATTGTACTTATAGATTTATGAACAGTAGGAATTTAGCTAAAGTCAACTCTGGTGCCTCTTTCCCCCCTGCCCCCATGAAGCCAACTGCTTCACAAACTGCACAAATAAATTATACAAAGCTTTAAAGCTACTTCCACTCTAGAGTATTGCATGTTTAAGAATTTAATGGACACCTCGGGATTTCCCTGACGTTTAGAAAAGGATTTACTTACATTTTCGGGCTCTACGCCTATATCTTCACAAAATTTTTCCATTCCTTCTGGACCAACAACTTCATCGGTTCCTTAAGAGAGAGAAAAGCCATGTTCTTGTATTGTATCCAAATTGCTCAATTCTAAAGCACTGTGGGGTAGCTCCTGTATGCAAATCAACCAGACGTATTCAACTCACATACAAAGAACGCCTCATTATGCTCCCGATTTTGATCGAGTGTCTTGTCCAAAAGTACCTATTATGCATGGACAGAGATCAGACCAGTATTGCAATCACAAGCATGTGCTCTGCTCAGTTAGGGAGAGACAGCATAGTGCAGGATTAGCTGAGTAAAAAGTCCAACAGATGTTTTGGCATCTCTAAAACTGGAAGATAAAATCCCAATTCCTTGCAATTTTAAAATAAAATAATGGCTGAAGGACTCCATGCTGAAATGAACAATATGCATTGGAGCTGATTCCCTCCTCCTTGCTTTATAAAATAATTTAAAGGTTAAATAACTTCAGGTTGATCTGGAAAATAAATAAGAGGATGAAATTAATTGGGGTTTTCTTCAAATCCATTGTCTTGTGGAACATTTCCACAAGCAAAGATTAATTTCACAAAGCAGCAGTGCGAGTTTATGTATACCTAATTTTACATAATACTGCACTCTGTTACATCACCACTTTTAATCAACACTCAGTCACCCTTCACAAAGCACAATGTCCCAGGAATCCCTGCATACTATTAACTCACTTTCCATTATGAAACAAAAAAGCAAACCGATAAATCACAAGACAGGAGTGGTATGAGGTTGATAGTTATAAAATTGGTAATCATTGGAGACAGGGATTTTTTCACTCTCCGCTCTTGATAACTCAATAAGTCAAAGCCCTGATAGTAGGGTGGTCCTAGCTGGATAAGCAGCAGGTAGTTTGCTTGACAGCACTCACAATGGGAAGCTATGCAGTTTTATTTGGTTAAACTCCAGAAATACTCCAACACACATACTGGGGGTCCCAAGCCTTGGCCATTGCCAACCTGCAACAAATATTCTCTGGAATTAGGTAAGCACTGTGCATCCCTTCAGGGAGAGATTTTGCATTCCATTCCACGGAGAAATTTCCATGTGTAGGTTGCATACATGTGTGGAACTGTCTATTTGGAGACACGTAAGCATGGTGATGGGTTTCCGCATGTGTCAGACTCCCAGCTGACAAAAAAAATTGGAAAGCCATTTTACAACAGAAGACAATTGCTGGAAAAGCTGCATTTTAAAATCCATTGTGCAATAATCTTTATACAATACAAAATTACATTTGTAAAGCACCTTTCATGTCGGGAAAACTTCCCAGGGCTCTGAACAGTCAGGAGTTAGGACCTGAGTGGGGTGGGTGGGGGGGGGGGGTGTTTGGGATCAGGGAGCGTGGAGGGCAGAGATGGTGAGTCGAAGAGGAGGGTCTTGAGGAGGCAAGGGAGGGAGCGAGGCGTAGGGAATGTGTGATGGGGTTCCAGAGGGTAGGGGCAGAGAGGCTGAAGGCCCGACTGCCAGTGGTGGGGCGGGGCCAGGCGGGGGTCATGGAGCAGGCCAGAGTCTGCTGAGCGGAGGGAACATCAAGTCCTGGATGGTGATAAGAGGTTAGCAGGTTGGAGAGGTAGGAGGGGACAAGGCCATGGAGGGCCTTGAAGCTGAGGACGAGAATTTTGAACTCAATCCTCTGAGGGATGGGGAGCCAGCTGAGGGTGGGGGTGATGGGGTCACGGAGCCTGGTGGGGTAAGAGGACACAAGCTGTAGAGTTCTGGATGACCTGGAAGGCCGACAAGCAGGGAGTTTGCATAGTTGAGCCTATATGTAATGAAGGCATGTATGACGGTTTCAGCAGCCCGAGGGGTGATGCAGTGGTGGAGTTGGCAATGTTACGAAGGTGGGGGAAGGCAGAACGGGTCATGACGCACGTGGAGAAGAAAGGACAGTTGAGGATCAAACAAGACTAGCTTGGTGAGGTGGAGTGTGCATCCTTGGATGCTAATGATGCCAGTGCCTGAGATGCGGAGGCACTGGCGCGAGCCAATCAAGGGAGCCACAGTTTTGCTAACGTTCAACTGTAGCAAGTTGGCTCTCATTCAGGACTTGATGTCTGACAGACATTCTGTCAGGCCAGCAGTGGTCCTGGGGTCGAAGGTGGAGGCAGAGAAATAGAGTTGGGTGTAATCCGCGTACATGTGGAAGTTGACCCCATGTCTGTGGATGATGATACCAAGAGGTAGCATGTACAGGTTGAAGAGAGGACCTAGGACACAGCCCTGTGGAACACCGCACAAAACGGTGCGAGGAGTGGAGGAGAAGCCATTTGTGGAGACAAGTTGGGAGTTGGTGTGAGAGATTATCCACTGTATGTACAGTTATTTCAAAATCAATCAGGGATTCTTCTAAGTCAAGCCCACCCAGGATCTGAGCTATGAGCGTCTGCAATTGAGCCACTTCATCACACACTATATGAAAGGTGAGAATATCACAAAATCTTGAGGTCTAGAGACAATAATATTTTCCACTCAGTACTAAAAACAGTACAATTGCTTCATAATATTCCTTTCTATGATTCACATCTGCATTGGATTGGAAGAAGCAGAGGTGGATTACTGGAATGTTAACCTCAAAAAGAATAAAAAGCACATGCAGACTAAAACAAAGTATATACAGTGTGTTTTAGGTATCTTTCTGTACCAAAGAAATTAAGTAATGATACAATGTATTGCGTCATATTCAATTAGATTCTTTTATTGAAAGTGGAATATGATCATCCAAAAGCTGCCACAAATGTAAGCTTCAAATAACCATAACTTTCCATTGTAGTGGAACAAGTCAGCAAATTTATGAGAAATTCATGAGAAACCTTAAGCTTAATTTCACTGTTTATAAGTTACTTGATGGAGCTTCTATAAGCTTTTAGCAAAAAATGCTATAAACTTGACTTACATTTTAATATTGCTTGGATCCAATATCAGAAGGACTGTTAAAGTCTGTTTTAATCCCAAAATAAAATCCTAGGCATATTTCAGTTTTTTTAAAAAGTGTTAAAAGGAAGAAAATTGAGGGAGAAGGAAGTCTGACACAAAAAACAAATTCAGTGAAAATCAGGATTTTTGAACATCAAAATCTCAAGAAAACAAGCCAGATGCTAACAAAATAGCTTTGAGAAATGTAAGATTAATGTCACAATTTATAAGCTACCTTTTCGGAGACTTTATTTTATACTTTTAGCAACAAATGCTGTTTTCAATATTATTTCTGGTCCATTATTTTTAACATGTTTTAAATCCCAAGATAGAGTCAAATTATGTGCACTAATCGGGACCAGTGTCACTGCAGATAAGCAAACGTTGTGGGAATTGCACATCACATAAAATACAATTAGGCCACAGCAAATACTTTGTTCCCAATGTAGTACTACACTTTGTTAGTCCTCTCTCTCTCTCACACACACTCTCTGATTATCAGTGTTTTTCTTAGACCATTTTCTATCATTGTACCAATTAGTATTCAAGTTGACAAAATGCTAATGACCTTGTGTATTTGCAAACCACTGAATTCACAATGTGCTGCATGGAAATCCATGAATAAAAAGTATTTTTTTTAAAAAAAATTAAATGAGGAAATATTTTTAAGCTGATTAACATTAACCACAAAATCCAGCTTTTATTGGTGAAACCAAAAAAGTAAAACAAAATAAAAAGAATTTATATAGACCTTATTTATGCACTAGAATATGTTTGGAATACTGCACAGTAGGATTTTATCTTCTCTATGTTTGTTTCTAAGCTCATAGAAATTCTGATTATTTGGGCAGAAAGAGCATTACAAAACCATGATATACTGATTTCTACTGCTTTATTACAATTCAGAATAATACATTTTGCTAAATTCACAACCAGCTCTGCCAGAGAAAGGACAGGGCTGTAAACAGCATTCTCCTACTCTTAAAAAGAATGCTTTCGAAAGATTGTGTTGCAATAGGTTGGATAATTTTCTGTTAAAGACCTCTTCAAGACTCATAAAAAAGCACTTCGCCGATGCTCTTACCTGCATATTCGTAAAACCAAGCTAGGCACTTTTTGCTTGAAAAACTGTCATCACCACTTATTAATCTAGATGGTGTCTGTACTCTACAGAAACTTTAAAGACAGAAACTGGTTAATAAAACATTTCATGAAACAAAACTTCATATCAAATTACTCTAATTTCTAGAGTATTTTTTCCCTTCATAAAAAGTCTCACTTATTATTTTTAAAATCAAATTTTTCTACAACAACAGAACTTTGTTCTAACATGTTGTTGGGTCTCATAAAATCTCAATCCACAAGGCTCGATAACGGACGCGCTACACATGCATTTAGCTGGTAGACTTGGCTCTTGTGTTCTTGGCAGTTCCCGTGCTAAAAGAAAAATGGCAGACTTCGGGGTCATCAGGTCACCAGCCTTGCCGCTCCCTACTTGCTGCGTTGTTTGTAAGGTAAAGTCTTCCAGTTCATTAGGCTGCCACATGCGCAGCAAAGCAGGAACTGACAGGCACGACCTAAAGATGGAAATCGGCCATTTGAGCGTAAAAACGAACATTAATTGGAGTTAACAGTGCACACCACATTATAATCAAATTCACGTTATAGTGAAGTGATTTATAATGGTGTTGTGTGGTAATCTGCACTTACTATTAAAATTTCATTCTTAGTTATTCTTGCATAATTCAATTTGAAATTCCAGGAAGAAAACAAAAATCCACTTTGTAGCAATTGTGAATTAAAATTCTCTATTTGAACAGTTGTCAACTCAAAGGTATCGAAGTGGGATCTCAAAGTTATCTTTATCAAGAGATTTTGCACGAGACCAAATCTTTTTGGGATTTGCAATGGCCAGATTCTCAACACATTGAAATCAGTGCGAAGAACTACAGGTAGTTTTTAAAAAAAGAGGTTTGCAATTGAGGGTTGCAATGCCTGGAATCCCGATCCCATATGAAAACGATGCTCCCGAAATCCCAGAATTTATAGGAGAGAATCCTAGGATCAAAAAAAATCAGTCGCTTTCTGTCCATCACTGTGTTGTTTTCCCGTCTCTCTCTCTTTTGTCTGCCCCCTCTTCCCACACACACCTCACAGTAGTACTTTTCTGATAGTGTTACGTTCATCTGTTTCGCTGTCGGCGTTTCATTTATTGCTTTCTGTCGGTCTCTCTCCTGTATGTCACTGTCTCACTTTCTCCTTCTCCCCCTACATGTGGCCCTCATCTGTAGTACATCTGTTGTCAGCGCCTTGGGACATCCTCCCGACATGAAAAGCACTTTATAAATGTAACTTTGTTGTTGTGCTACATGTCAATGACTCAACTGTTTCTCTGTGAATATACGTCTATCTCTCGATCTCTGTATTACCTCTCTCTTCCCCTGGGTTTGTGCCAGTCTTTCAGTCCTTCTGTGTCAGGTTCCGTTTTTTGTTCTCTATATATACTGTGCATGTCTCTCTCGGTATTGGTTTGTGCTACTGAATTTTTTTTTAAATAAAAAAATCACTCTTTCTGTCAGGCCAGTGTTGCTGAGGTAGGGAGGGAAGTGAGTCAGTGACTATCTCAAGAAAAGGTTGCCGTGTAGTGCCGGAACTGTTGACTGAGTTCCCTGGCGTTTTTCCAAGGTAAGATTTAGCACCCCAGGATCTCACGATTTGTGGCATTAAAATCATGAAATCCCAGGATTCAAAAAAAGCACCAGGATTGCAATCCCAATTTGCAATTTATATTAATGGTGGTTAAAAGCCACTTATTTAACCTATTTAACCAAAGCCTATAAAAATTCTTATAACCAATTTATAAGTTTAAGTTAAACATTAAAAATTTTAATAGCCTTCAATCCAGCCAGAACACTTAAAAATTGAATGAAGTACCCACCTGCTTATTCTACATTTTTTCATGCCAGCATCTTCTGACCCTGAGGATTTTCTCTTCTTCTTAACAGGCATCTTGTGAGCACACCAAAACACAGAACAAGTGCACTGAGAGGAACTACCTGAAAAAGTTTGCAACATAACGTCAACTTTATGCTTCCCACAGGCTATGAATCTAGAAACAAATTCTACTGCCCTTACCTATATTTTGGTCTCCTTGGCCATTCAGATCTTCTTTTAAATTCTGTTTATAGATAAAAACAGACCTTTTTAGTATAAAACTTTGAACATGTGGAAAAATCTATCATTGACATGTGCAATATTGGTCAGAATTTTCAATTTCATTAAGTAATTGCTACTTTTAGGTTGGTCTGTGGAAAAGCAGTTTAGAAGCAGAAAAGCTTCATCTGAACCTTCACTAGGCCACCTAGCTAGACATTACTGTTGGCCTGACCTTTGTTTCCTGGCAAGAAACACAGAATTGTGATAAATATACAGCCAAGGTGGTCCTATGATTTAAACAAGAAAACTAAAATTGTGCAAGATCTAATGAGTATTTGAGGGTTAGTGAAATAGAAACAAGGGTTTTGCAGCCCACCTAATATTATTTAAGCTGTAGATGGGTTTGCAGACGAGTTTTGTACATTTTCAGTTTCCCTAAACATAGCAATAGAGATAATCAAACATCATAACACCATTAGTGTAAGATTCCATTTAACCTAGCAAAAGTACAGAATATGAAATGAAAACATTTAACAACACCGATTCGCACTGTGAAAAAGCCAACTCTGAGCCAGGGGGGAGGTGACAGTATGCACGGTTGAAGAGGAAGGTCTTCAGGTGTGACCTAAAAATGGGGCAAGGTGGAGGGATTGGCAGAGTTTTTAAAAATACCCTTGTTGTATTGTCCCACCCTTTTATTTTCCTTGAAGCGTTGCCAAATATTCCACCATTCCATATTATGTAGTTTGATTATTTATTTCCAGATCGTCCCATACTTAATTATTTTATGATTTGCAGGTCCTGTTTCCCTTGTAAACCAGGTGGACATAAAGGGACCGCCCTGCTTTACATTCCCTTCCTCACCCCAAATTCAAATTAATTGACTACTCAGCTTATTCGTTATGAGATGCTAGCTGTCATGTTTTCTGATATAATGTGTAATTACTCATCAATTATATTTTGTAAAGTGCTTTGAAATGTTTACTTTTATGTATAAGGAGTTATATAAGTGCAAGTCTGCACAGTTGCCACTTGTTTCTTATATTCTTTTCCCTACACTCACTCCTTTATGATTAATATTGTTTTATTATTTGTACTTATTTCTAGTTTAATCATTTGTATTTACAGTTATGTAACATCAATGGAGTATGGATACTCCCACTATCCATTCTGGGAGGGGAGAGCATTTTATGTTAAAAAAAGTAATTTCCATATTCACTACAGATCAGGTTTACAAGGTAGTTTTGCAGCAGAAAAGATGCACTAAACTTAGACTCGCATGACTAATGGGGCGCGGGGGGGGGGGAGGCGGTGGTGGTGGTCCAGCAGAGATCTAGTCCCACATGCATTTGCTGGCATCTTTTGGCACAGCCTTTTTGTATGTGAATAAATAGACAAGGCTGTTATCAAAACATTGGACAAGAATTCCCATCTTAATTGGCTTTCTGATGGTAAGGAGAATCAAATTTTTTTAAAGAAAAAAAACAAATCAGTACATAGAACACGCAAATAAAAACAGCTCTACCATTAATCCTCTATGTGGAATAAACTGGACATCTAAAAAATCTAGAAGTTCATTCGTGTTATTTATGCAACATTACAGTGATCTTTAGGTCACCTTTTGTGTTGTCAAACATAAACGGCAGCATGAACAATGAGTAGGTTTTAGTATGACTTGGATCTTTGCCCACAGTGCCACAACACTTGGTTATTCCTGATCTATTCCTTCTTAATATCTTTCATGCAACATTCTTCAATTCTGACCATCTGGAATAGTTTTCAATTTATTGATGTTCTTTGATTGTTTCCACAAGGTTCTCTATCCAACGTTGGGTTAAAAACTGCTACTCATCCACTGAGGTACAAAGCTGCGGTTCCAGCTCAGGGACTCCCTTATTTAGAGTGTATTCCTATACTTTCAGACACAGTTAATCATCACAAGAGAGGTATTTTAAATTTCATCTACATTGTATGCCACACTAAACAGAATCAAATTAGTAAGTGAACCAATATGATCTTGCATGGGCTTTAACTGCAAATAATGGTATTAAGGGAACTTTATATAAATAAATTTAATATTGCACTGAAGTATTGGATTAGTCAACAAAAGCAAATGACAAACAAGCACCTCTGAATCTCTTTACAGTATATTGAAGGCCTTTTCTGTAACAATGAATGATTTCAAGCTTACTATCCTTATATCAAAAGTCCATAATTGCTGGGAATTTACTCAACAAAAACAAGTGACAAAACTGTACTTTCCAGCTTTCAATGATTTTTGTCCAAGCTAAATGGAAACTCTATACAGTATATTCTATGGATTGCCTTGAGACATCTCAATGATGTTATAAGGCAATATATCAAAAGCAAGTATTATTAGTGACTGATTGCTCTCCATTGCACAGAACAGGGATGAAACCTGGAACCTTTCTGGTCTGTAAGGCTTCACTGCATTCCACTACTGAGAAATTTGAGGAAATATTTAAAAATCTCTTGTGGTAAATCATCAGAATAATATAAGGGTAGGCTGCCACCAATATAAGTTGACTCACAGAAGAAAAACTACAAATATAATCAATAGGATGCAATATTAAACTAAGCAACTCAAGGTTGTACTAACCACTCCTTGAATCCTTAAGATCAGAATATTGAACAGAGATAATTCAAACAAAATTAAGTTCGCAAAATATCCTCTGTACCCCAATATGATTAAATTTTACTCTCTGAATATTCTGCCCCCCCAAAAAAAGAAATTACTTTTGAACGGTTGGATCTTGAGAGAAAGATTCCGACAGTTGTTAATTCATGTATTTGGCCCCCATTGCACTTCAAAGACCGGATAACCTTTGAGTTATATTCCAATTTGCTTCTGAAGGGGGTCCAGGACTCCCAATAGGGGATCCACAACCAGAGGCAATCGTTACCGATCTGGTAATGCAGGAGAAATAATCCCTCCAAAAAAAAAAAACAATAATAAATTGGTCAATTTCAATCTACGACTGTTTGTGGGGACATTGCTGTGCGCAATTGGCTGCCGCGTTCGCCCACAAATATACAGTCAATTCACTTTACAGTGTGTTCTGTGAAGCGCTTCGGGACGTCCTCCCGACGTGAAAAGCGCTATGTATCAAAATGCAAGGATTATTATTATTATTATTGTTATTATAATTAGCAAAATGGAAAGGAAGTGGGTTACAGTTGTAACTCACCAGCCGGTTGAATGTCCGAGAGATTTGATGAAAGTCTGCCAGTATGAGCAAGTCTGACTCACTGCAAGACACGAAAATGCGACAGAGGGTTAGAAACGTTTGCGCTGCCATTTCCGTTGACATTAGTCGTGTACGGTCGTTTTCTCGCCCCCCCCCCAGTGAAATAAAATAAAACTCTCTAAATAAAACTCCAAGCCCTTTAACTCTGCAAATCTTACCGGACATATCAACAACAGGACCACAGGCATAACAAACACAGGGCCGGGGGGGGGGGGGGGGGGGGGGTGAGGGGTATAGACAATCAACACATATTTCTGACTAATAATAAAACGATTGAAATGCAAAACAGTTGTGTGGGAGAGGTCTCCGGCACTTGGGCTGCGTTTTGTACCCCCGAACCTCTTTCCCTGCGCTCGTCCCCAGTGTGTAGGCCGGTGCCGGGGCCTACGCAGACTCCAAACCCGTCGTCGGTTTGGAAATGGGGGGGTGTGGGGGTTCATTGCAATCACACACACACACATATATATATATATATGCGGTCATCTGCACTCTCCCCCCCACACACCGCCCCCTCCCCCAAAAAAAGAAAACCTTTCTAGCGCAGATGTGCTAAATATTCGTTGCGCTTTATTCGCTCCTCGGATATCCGACTCGGGGCCAAACTACCGAAAGGCTGCAAACCGTGTACCAGAGGAGCCCTCCACTCCCCTCCTCCCCGCTCCAACAGGAATACCGAGCCGGACCAGCGGGAGAATGACTCGCCGACCGTCTCAACAGCAACGCAGACGGGTAAAGGAGAGAACGGAGGCACCTTTTCTTTTCTCTTCTCCCCCCCACACCCCCACAAGTGAAAGAAACGCCTCTCGCCGCGGGGCCTCCGTACAGCAGCAGCAAAATAAAAAAAAACTGGATAGGAGCCACCACCGACCCCGACCGACCGACCGACCGGAGGTTTAAAGAGAACGAGCGTCGTACTCAATAAATGCCCAACGACTCCCCCCTTCCTGCATGAGTTGGTAATATTTTCTGCAGATTTCTTCTGATAGGAAGTGGGGGTGTGGGGGGGAGGGGGGGGGTGTGGGGGGTGTAAATCTCTCAGCTCCTGACAAAAGACTCGCACTTCAGCCACAGCTGATTTACTGTCTGTCTGTCTGTCTCTCCCCTCCACAACCACAACCACCGGTCTGGAGCCTCAGGGGTCCAACATTGCCTCAGTGAATAAAACCACGACTGAGATTCTTCTTAACACACAACAACACAGCACAGCACAACACCCGCCGCTTATTGGAATCGCGGCGTGTTGAAGAGACGCCGGGAGGGAGGGAGGGAGGGAGGAGGGTCTCCACACACCGGAGCCTCTCACCCGGCTCTGGGCTCTCCCCCGCCAGCTGCCCCGGAGCTGAGGGAAGCTGATGATGGGGGGAGCAATCCCCGGAGCTGCCTGCGCTCCTCTCCTCTCCTCTCCCGCAGGTCCTGTCACCCCCTCCCCCCCACTCCCCTGCCTGTCACCCCCCCCCATCCCCCTGCCTGTCACCCCCTCCCCCCCACCCCCCTGCCTGTCACTCCCCCCCCACCCCCCTGCCTGTCACCCCCTCCCCCCCCACTCCCCTGCCTGTCACCCCCTCCCCCCCCTGCCTGTCACCCCCTCCCCCCCCCCAGCCTGTCACCCCCACCCCCAGCCAGTCTCTAACGCCGGCACCGACCATGAATGAACACCGGAGCCGGGGAGCGGCCGCTGAACCACCTGCAAACCGAGAGGGGTCGCCGACTCCAGCGCTGCTCCTCGGCTCGCTGGTGGCCGGCGTGTGAGCGAGCGAGCGAGCGAGCGGCTCGGGGCCCCGGCTGTGCGTCCCTCAGAGCCGCGCTCGTGTCCCCCGCTGGAGCCGCTCTGAGCCGCTCACTCTCTCACACACCCCTCCAGCCCCACACACCGGCACGGAGATCACTTCCGGGGCAAATGGCGACCCCGCCGACAGGGTCGACCCGTCCATTCGCACGACAATTCGTACCGGGAAAAGGAGGAGTGGGGGGGGCGGGGGGGGGAGCAAATGTTTCGGAGCGATTAAAAGTCATCTAACAGTATCCAGAAAGTTAACGGTGTCGCTAAAGGTGATTTTTACAACAGATGCACAACGAGTTCGTTAGTCGCGGTGACGTTCCTGAGTTGAGATAAATAACTGGACACTTTATAAGCACACCACCCCTCCCTCCCCCCCCCCCCGCCATGTGAACCCGTCCCACCGCCGGGCGCTCGGCTCGGGCCAAGACACGACGCTACCATTCGGGAAACAGGTGGAGGTGGAATGACGAGGTCTTTAGTGGAAAGCAATCGTGCAGTATAGAAGCACCCGCGCACCATTCGGGGCTCCTGACCGGCAATAATATTGATTGTAAGATTTCAAGTCATTCTCCCCTCGCTTTGGTCACCCAACGCTCACATATCTAAACACTTGGGTTCCAGATTCACCTCCTCCTCCCCCACAAATAATTTGCCTTTTGGTTCAGTCCGCTGTAGGGTTCGCGAGACGCCGGGTTCCTCGGGTTGTCTTTGACAGTGCCTGAAGTCTGGGTGCTGACAGCGTGGGAAATGCACTCACAAGAGAGTGAGTCGCCCCGTTGCGAAAATCCTCTGAAGACGAGTCGGCGTCGGGGGGGAGGGAAAAAAAACCGTTCCGGAGCCCCAATAAAAGCGGCGAAAGCCTCAGGAGCGCGTGAGTGGCGTCATTTCCGGGGTCCTTTGACGGTTGCTGAAGCTGGTTACTGGGGACGCCATAACAACCGCCGCCCACGACACCCCGACCTGACGCCCCGCCCGCCCGCCGCACTCTGAGCCTCGGCACCTCGGGGATTACAGCCCCTGGGCTTTGAGACTCGCAGCCGCTGCCCTCCCGACACCGGGCCCTGAGACCCGACCTCCTGACGGCTGGTCAGCGGCACTCGGAGCATTGTCGCCCCGAGCAGCAGCGCTCGAGACTGGCGAGTGAATCGGCATCTCCTCCGCCAAGGCCCAGTCCGGGTCCCGGTACCTGTCCGGGTCGGTGAGTGTTGGCGCGGGGGTACTTACTCCGCGGCCCTGGACTCCTTCAATAAACACTGAGTCCTCACTGCACTTGAAGGTCGGATTTCGCAGTTATGAGTTGTTGTGGGTGTATTTGTGGATCTGTGTTAACCTGAAGTCCTGCAGTTTAGTGGTTGGGGCACTCGAAGTTTACAAAGAGTGGAACGGGGGAAAGTCTTTCAGCAATGCTGGTGCTGGGGTGAAGGATTGCATTCCACCCACTCCTCCCCCCGGGGGAAGCTTTAACATAGAGATTCTCGGATCCCCAAAAGGCAATTAAGCAAAAAGTGGAAATTTGATTATCGTCTCCACTATTCAACCCCCCACCAACGTTGGCGGTCAGGCTTTCAGCGTATCTACCTACCTACCCACCCACCCACCTACCTACCTACCTACCCACCCACCCACCTACCTACCTACCTACCTACCTACCCGCACTCTCTGGAACTCAGCCCCGAGTCCCTTTGACTCATCCCTTTCCGGGGCGGTAGGGGAATGGAGGTGTGCGGGGGCGGGGAGAGGGTTTAGGAGTTAAGGGAGATGAAGTAGTGGTCTGAGATGGCTTTGTTGTTAATGGTGAGGTCCGAGATGCTGAGGTCAAGCGGATGGACGTGGGTGGCCGAGTGGATGTGGAGGGAGAGGTTGTGAGAGGAGAAAGGAAAAGTCAGCGGAGTTAGAGCAAGAGGGGGTGAAGTGCAGATTGAAGGCGTCCAGGATGAGGAGGCGTTCAGAACAGAGGCAGAGGGAAGCTAGAAGGGTGGAGATGTCGGAGAGGAAGGTGGGGGAGGGTTTGGTGGGGGTGGCGATAAACGAGGAGAATTTTAATGGAAAGATTGGAGGGATGATAAAGAATAAGGTGCTCGAAGGAGGGGAAGGAACTGGAGGAGTAAGGGGATAGGCCAAGTGAGGACTTGGAGATGAGCGCCACACCATCACCATGGCGGTTATGTGGTATGGTGGAAGGTATAACCGGGTGGTGTGGCCTCAATCAGAGGGAAGGTGTTGTCTGGGGTAATCCAGGTTTCTGTGAGGGTGAGGATATCAATGTTTCCATCAATAATGAGGACTTTGATGGTGAGGGCTTTGTTGGAAAAGGAGCAGACATTTTGTAGGGTGAAGCAGAGGGGACAGTTGGCAGAGGAATGTGCAAGACGAAAGAGGGTGTGGAAGGATTGACAGGGAGGGTGGGAATGTGGACGAGGGAGAAGAGGTTTGCCCCTAGGGTCTGGGGCTGGTGGACCTTGCAGTGATAATGGGGGAATGGGGCAGTCAGTGTGGCTGCTGCTGGACAGCCAACGGCGAGTACTATGGTGAGCTTGATGGAAGATTTCCAGGCTGGAGCAGAGGGAAGCTGCAGGACAGTCGTGGGGATAGGAGACGACGAGGAGGATGGAGGGAGAGGGACAGAGCGGGAGTGATGCACGATAGAGGAAAGGGATGGGGGCATTTGTTGGGAAAGCAGCTCAGGTTGGGGGCGACAGACAAAATGTGCATGCCTTTCCTTGCCTCCTTCAAGTTCTGCCTCAAGACCATCCTTTTTTACTGTGCTTTCAGCCATACTACGGCCGTCCCTGGTGCAAACCCTGGATTGGAGTCCCGATGTGAAAGACAACATTTATAAATGTAAATTTGTATTGTACATACTGTATTCAACTGATTGCACTATGTGGCTTGCTACCCTCCATAGACCGCAATCCCTCTCCTACTGGGCCTTGCCACAAAGACCAAGTCCAATGTGAAGCTTCTGAGTAAATGAGAACACATTATATTGAATGTGATTAGTTAACAATAGTTTTTAACCCTGTCCAATGTAGCTATCAAGCACTGATGTCTTAAAGGTTTTGTTTTTAGTATCCACTTTATCAAATTTGATAATGTATTTAAGATGAAAATGCTGTTATGTCTGTGAGAGTATTTGTATTTTACCATGCAATGTTTATTTTCTATGGGTATACAAATTAAAGTAAGAAAAGTTAGTAATCTTTGTGATTTCAGGCAGTGGGGTGGGGCGGGGGGAGGCAGACCTCAGACCTGCACTGTTTATTACAAAAGTTAAAGTTAAGAATTGTTAAAATTGTTAAAAACAAGAAATGTGAAAGTAACTATTTATAGTCTAACAACTTTGAAAATGTTAAACATATACACATATCCCCTGTACCAATGGATATTGGTGCCTCTGTCTGTCCCTGTCATTCAGTGTCACAAAGACAGTGACTGACATGGACAGCTACATGCTCTGATACATAAAGAGAAACCCAAGGGTTTTTTAATTTTAGTTTATCGTTTTGAATTTCCCATGGTCTGTAATTATGCCGGTATCCTCATACTGGTATCATGCCAAACAATGGGACATTATATAAAAGAACCTGTATCCATCAGAGCTTCTGTCTGTCTCCATCATTCAATGACAGGGTCAGACACAGGCTCCAATACATAAATAGAGGCAAATTTAAAAATATGTAATTAAAAATATGTAGGTTCTGTGCTACCATTGATCTTTGAACATGATCAAAGGTCACGAAACCCACAAAAGTTTTATGTTTGAGAAAAATGGCTTAAAAATAAATACTTTGGTGGCCGCAGAGACTCTTTCCACCTCCCCCCTCTCCCACTTTGGATCCGCCCCTCTTATAATCAATTTACAGTATCAGAAGCCGATGTTGTATTTTGTTTATATATCATACCATATATTATATAAACAAACAATATAGTATATAAACACACAATGTACTATATAAACAAACAGTATATTATATAAACAAACTATAATATAAAGAAACCGTGCAATTAAAAATACAAACTTCCTTTAAGTACTGTTCCACACATTGTTGACTTAAGGTCAGTAAGATTTATTCCTGACTGTTCAAGAACAATGCTGTGATTTACATACTACTACATATCTTTTTATTAAGCTAACATAAGATCTAAATCATAAAAGGTTTGGATTCCAGAAGTCCTTGTTGCTGGGCTCAGGTGGAGCTGTATTCCACTGATCCTTTTTGTTTACAATAATAACATATGGGTTCAAATCGCACATTGGGACTTGAACTCTCATAGACTAAGATGACACTCCAATGCAGTGTTGGGGTGTGTTGACCGTGCCTTCAGCTCCCCTCTCGACTCTCTACCCCCTCCTCCTTCCCTCCCCTCACCCTGACCATTCCCCCCCTGTTCGGGTCCTGACCCAACTGTACAGCGCCTTGGGACGTCCTCCCGACATGAAAGGCGCTCTATAAATGGAATCTTGTTGTTGTTGGGGTGTGTTGTTTTGTCACAGTAGTGAAATGGAGTGACTATTTATTGCCAAATGGTTTGAGACCTCCTTCTGATGTGCTAAGGCACTATATCAGATGCAAGGATTATTATTATGTATGTTTAGGAAAGTTTCTACTTTATATCACTGTTCTAATTGTTTTTTATTTAAGGGATGACAACATGCCTGACATCCTAGAAGATCAGAGGAAAGTATTCATCCTCATAACGGCAGCAAATTATTTTGGGCTTTCCCCTTCAGATTCTCATATATCATCATTGCAAGTCCGAAGGGAACTGAACAATTTTCTGGATGATGGGAATGAGTTTGTTCTCTCATTACAGAAATCTGGAGACCAGCTTGTCATATGTAACAAGGTATGGATACGAGTCTGAATTTTTAATATTAAAAAAAATGCCTGGTAAAATGAGAATATGCAATGTTGAAACTTTCATTTTTTAAAAAAAAATGATTGCTACTTTTTTTCCTGTTTTCATCTCCAATTCTCTAACTGTATATCAGGCTCTCCACTTTACCAACAGAGTAGTTCGGACCAGTTGGTAGTGCTCACACCTCAGAGTTAGGTTGTGGGACTTTGAACTCACAGTTTAGATAGATATTCCATTATAATATCATAAAGTCCTGTAGCTGGGTGGTTAGAGGACTCGCCTCGCAAGTGAGAGACCTAGGTTCTATTCCTGGTAGGGCGAAATGTTGGGCAAGTTTCCTTGCTCCACATGCCTATGTTTACCTAGCAGTAAAGAATCTGGTTGTTAGTCGATTGGTAGATCGCTTTTCCGGGGATAATAATCCCTCAAAAACAAATTTGGTCACTTAATCCATGACTGTTTATGGGACACTCCTGTGCGCAATTGGCTGTCGCGATCGCCCACAAATATACAGTCAATTCACTTTACAGTATATTCTGTGAAGCTCTTTGAGATGTCTAGAAGACGTGAAAAGTGTTAAATCAAATGTAAGTATTACAATAATGGTGGGAGAGCATTGTACTGAGCACCATCCTGTTGTTGCCAACAAAATGTGGAGTCACTCTCTTGTTTATCTTATCTTGTATTTCTCTCCAGATCCAAATACATCTTGAAATTCAAATTAATTGGTTACTCACCTCATTGTTGTTCATGGGATGCTGTTGGTGCAGATTAGCTGTCACATTTTCCTATTTAATGAAATTCATTTTCATTTCTAATCAATGACTTGTAAAGTGCTTTGAGGAAATTATCATTCCTGAAAAGTGCTATAGGACTGCAAGTTATTATTATTCATTTTTACGGCTCAATTTGCCTATATCCTTTAGAATATTTAATCTTCATTAAGATCTCTCCTTGGAGAGAAGGCAGAGTAGAGATAGGTCAGTAGTGAGGATCCATAAAATGTTAGCCAGCTTTATAGCAGAATGTGATCGCAGGTCAGTGCTTCCGCATTTACTGTGCATATATACAGAATACTGGCCAACTTTCTAACATTTTTCAGCTAGCTGGCTGGCTTTCTATGGCATTTTTGATTTTTTTCATAATTAAATGTGGGGTCTATTCCCTAATCAAGTTTTAAGTGAACTTGTGGTATGACAAAGTGCATTATAATGGTGTTGCACTGTATGTTCAAACTGTGAGATGGCAATAAACAAAGCAAACTGGATACTGGGCAATATTTGTTCACCCCTGGGGAAAAAATGGCACTTCACTTTGGAGTACATCATATGAAGCACTTTGGGACATTCACACCCCACATGAAAGGTACAACACTAAATGTAAAGATTATCATTGTTATTATTATTCTTCACTAAGTCTGTTGAGTTCAAATTACCAGAAAATATAGTCAGGCACTAACTGGGGTGTTGTATATATTTGTTGTCAGCATGAACAAAAGGTTCTATAAATGGGCAAACAGCAGTAAGTTGAAGCACTGTGGGAATATGGAGGACAACTAAGTTTTTGTTTTGTGACAAAATACTGATTAAGGCAAAAGATGTGTCTCAGGAAATATCATCAGGATGGAGAATTTGATATATTTCAATTTGCAAGTTACAACACATTAATATGGTGCTAAATCATTTTTAAAAATTGTCATAACTGGAATCTAACTGTTTTCCAATTTTCAGGTTGAATCGGGTGATGAGAAGGAGAAAGTATTGGTTTTCTTTAAGATGCGCCCAGATGTCATTACTGAAGAGAATCTGCACACCAATATACTTGTGTCGTCCATGTTCGATTCACCCATAAATGCTCTTTATCAAGCAATACGTCAAATATTTGCACCAGTACTTTTAAAGGTAGATTATTGATTTCCATTAGTTTGGTCATGTGTTATTTGTTGACTAGTTTCCAAAGGTGAAATAAATAATAGAAAAAAATGTATTCTAGTTGTATTGATATATCCATGTATGGTAACTTCACATTCCTAAATCATAAATTGTATACTTGTAGAGCTACAAGCAAAATAGATTTATTGAACATTTTGATATTAATAGTTACAAAGAAATGTAACTTAAGGAGACTGTAAATAATAATTCATGTTTTAAACAGCACTTGTCATGCTTTTGGAACATGAAAATTGGATTGTGTCAGTCACATATGTTGTTTGAAACAAATGCTAGGAAAGAGCTACCACAACATTGAAATAATTTTTGACCTTTACATGCCAGTCAAAAACTTGACTATGTATAATTCCTGTTTATTCAGCATCATTAACTGTATTGATAAAGTACTTATTTCTACACTGGTTGGTAGCTTGCACTAACATCCAGCTTTTTCTGTAAATACTAGCCTTGGTGTGCATTAAGTCTGTTTTATAACAGAATGAAGCACCCATTTATAATCCTATGTGGCAGAAACAGATCTTACTTGGGCGAATAACCTTTCTGGGGTCTATCCTTATTAATTATGATAATAATATTCTCAGAGTTCTAAAACTGTCATCCTAACATTGCCAGCCTGATGTACTTGTTTTAAGTTGCGAATACATTAATTCAGGCTACAGGAAAATCAATCTTAATAAAGTAATTCTGCAGATTGAATCATGAACTGCAAATTCATAATTTTGATAATAATCGATTTCTTACTAAACTGGTAATCATTAAAGATTTAAAATCTTTATACCTATAGAAATGTTAATGTTTGTATTTTCATTTCCTCTTAGGATGAGAAATGGAGTAAGAGTTTTGATCCAAAGCTTCAAAACTTGCTGACTCAGCTTGAAGCTGGTCTGGGATCTGTAGTACGCCAATCAGATTATAGTCACAGAGGGAAGAAATTTGGAGAAGAGGACACGTCAGGTATAAATAATGATTACAGTAAAGACGAGTTTTAAAGAAAAATGGACATTTCCTTCCCCCTTACAATTTGCTTACAGCTAAATATTTATTTGTACTTGGTATTGTTGGATGGATCATGGATTCTTTGATGGATTCCTCTGACTACCTTATGATAGACAAGTAGAGCTGATTTATTCAGGATAAAGTGGATTATGGTGCTCTTATTATTTTTGCTTTAGGACACTTTACTGTTCACTTTACTTCTATCTGAACCTTGTTTAACTCCCCATCCCAACCAAACTCTTTGGAGATGGCCAATTAAAGTAGCCTGGCTGTTTGGATTTACAGGCCATGAATGAGTCTGTTGAGCACCTATTTGAACTTCTTGTGTCTCTTGGAATATCTTTTCTATTTGACTTGGTGTCTACCATACATTTACTCGGGCTGAATCAATTTTGTTTTGCCTCGGCTGCGGAGAAAACATTTTGCGGCTCCCAATGCATAATCAAAATATTGAAAGTTCTACAGTAGAACCCTCTTTTAACATGGTTTGGTTATAATGTAGTTTGGCACGTTTGAGGCGTGGACCATGACATTTACTTATGAAAAAAAATCCAAAATGCTCACAGGATGGCCAGTCATCTTGTCGTATCATTAGAAATGAAACTTCCTACACCCTGTACAATTGGCAGCAACCTGATAACCCAGAAGTTAATCATTTTACAGCATGGGAAGCCAGCATACATGTTTGGTGAATCCAAAAGTGTTGATTGCGTCCTGTTATAATGCTGGTTGGCATTTTATGGACTTCAACTAGAGTATGTAATAATAATAATAATCCTTGCATTTGATATAGCGCTTTTCACATCTTCTAGACGTCTCAAAGCACTTCACAGAATATGCTGTAAAGTGAATTGACTGTATATTTGTGGGCGAAAAGAAGTGCCTTGGGATGTTCTAATGAGAAAGGCACTAAATGTAAATTATATTATAAGGGATCCACTCTATGCATAGGGAAATAAATTCAATCAACTGTATGGGTAAAACCTGAAGGGTATAATTCAAGTGCCTCCTACAAATGAGGGCTGGCGTGAACTAAGTACACTGGATGAAAATCATTCACTAGAAAGCAGTGTGTAGTCTTTTGCCCGGATAGATTAGGCTTCATTTTTCAGGAGTGTGAGCTTTTTTGGAAGCATTAGCAAAATCTCAAAGCTGCTAGAAGGATTTAATTTCTTCCATTGATGCTACCTGTCAGCTTCTTGAGTGCAATAGATTGTTTAGGAAAGTTATTTCTTTCATTTGAGTGATACTTTTTCCTGAAGGGACTAATAATCTTTTGCATTTGATACAATAATAATAATTGAACACCAAAGTCCTTCACAAGATTTACTGAAAAGTGTAGTGACTGTGTATTTTCCGGTTTCTAACAGGAAGATCATTAGCTTGGATCCCAGATGAACCATTTTTTTTGTATAATGCAGGGGCAGACCCTTGGATCAACATCTCATTTGAAGAACAGCGTCTCTGACAATGCAGCGCTCCTCCAGATTGTCATCTTAGACTATGAATGCAGAGAGCTGGAGTGGGGCTTGAACTCACAACTTTCTGAGACATAGATGAGAGTGATACCAAATGAGCTAGGATGATACCTTTGAGATGATGGGGTTGTGAAGCTTTGGCTATTAGTTTTATTTGACATTAAAATGTTTGATCATCAAATTATATCTGAAGGAGTCATGCATATTCATATTATTAGCTGGTAATCCAGATGTACCTGGAAGGGTTAAGGGTCATTCTTTAAGGTGTCATCTCTTGGACCAGTGTCTGGAATTTAATTTAGATTCTATCCATACCTCAGTCACTTGAAACAATTTCCATGATTTCACTAGAGTTTTGTTGGTTGCTTTGCCTTCTAGGGGAGTTCTTAAAATCAAATTATTAATAACCCAATTCTGCATTCTGAATCTTGTAGTATTACATTTTGTATGCAGTGGATAAATGAATGAGGTCAGCTACAGTCTGAAACAAAAACAGAAGTCGCTGGGAACACTCAGTAGGTCAGGCAGCATCTTATGGAGAAAGGAAAGTGAGTCAACGTTTCGGGTCCATGACCCTTCAACAGAACAATCTGATATGGATATTTTATTTTGATTTGAAGTTTTTCCTTTACATGCAGTGATCAAGATATTGAACTACCCTTTTGCCTCTACTATCAACATGTTTGGTTCTCTTTTAAACCCTCCATGGCTTGCATAACCTTCTTAGGATTTGAATACACAAAACTGAAAATAGAACTCCAAATGAGATCTGACCAGCTTTGTAACTAGCCACACTTCCTTACATTTATATTCCATCTTCCTGGTTTCATCATCTTTCTCTGATTTTGACTAGTTAAATTTAATTTTTAAAACATTTTCAACTTGTTTCAAAGTGTAAGAATAACCTTAAGGCTTGATTCCTCTAACAAGAACTGAAGATTGGTTTGGTTCTCTGGCTTTTATAGAGCAAGAAATTGGTTTATTTTTAATAGATTTAATGCTGCAAAGCTGTTAAATGACAGTGACCTAAACTATTAAATACACTGTCCCTATGATTTCACATTCCTTTTTTGATGATGAATCATTCTAAATGTATAAATTTTGTGGAGTATAAACTTTGATCAAAGGATGAGGACTTTTTATAGAAGATCGGTCATGTGCATTGTAAATTGTAGAACTTAAGGCCATCATTATGCAATTTGTAGTGTTGAGTATTCAGTAGAGAGCTTGATATCAGTATTATGACCATTTCTGTCTCTCTCACTGCCTTTCTAACTTGTCCCTGTGTTGTGTATCTCTATCCCTCTACTTTCCTGGATCAGATGATATCTCCACTCACTTTGCTCAAGATAAAATGGCAAAGTTTGTTGCAATGCCAACATGCAACTAAAATTGGCTGCTGATATTACAGCCGGACGTTTACATCAGAGCCCAATGTGGATAAGCGGACAAACAGTTAACCAGAGTGTTGATCAGTGCCATTCAGCCATATTGAAATAACAAAATCTGGTAACTGGTATGGATCTTAAAGTTTCTACGGAAGATCATGGAGTCCTGTAGCTTAGTGGTTAGAGCACTTGCCTTGCAAGTGAGAGACCCGAGTTTGATTCCCGGCAGGGCGAAGCGTTAGGCAGGTTTCCTTACTCCACACACCTCTGTTTACCTAACAGTAAGTAGGAACCCGGTTGTTAGTTGATTGGCGGATCGCTTTTCTGGGGATAATAATTCCTTCAAAAAAATAATAATAATAATTTGGTCACTTCAATCCAAGACTGTTTGTGGGACACTGCTGTGCTCAATTGGCTGACGTGTTTCACCCACAAAATATACAATCAATTCACTTTACAGCATATTCTGTGAAGCGCTTTGAGATGTCTCAAAGACATGATAAGGTGCTATATCAAACGCAAGGATTATTAAATAATGCTGGAATTGTGTACCCAATTTTATTTTTCTCTTGAAAGGGATCCTGGAACCAAGTGATGAATTTCAGTTCTGGGCAGAAGTTGCTGCAACTGACAATAAATCGGAGAGAAAAGATAGAGCTCTTTATTTTCAAGATCTATTTCAAACCATTGCACAGGTTTGTATTCCCATTGCTTGAGTTATCAACACAAATGTTGCCAGATAGTGAATCAAAGATCTCATATTTTGAAAGGCTAGTTCATAGAACTGATTTAAAACTCAACATTAGCATTTTTGAGTAGATACTCTTTGGGAAAATGTTTTTACCCGCCTGAATAAAGCGGGGAAGGAAAGCTTAGAGGGAGCAGTTTCTCTACAAAAGTATTTTCGATCACCCTCCTTTGCCCCCTGCCCTTCACCCTCCCCAATCCCGACCCCCAGCTTGGGTCCAAAACACTGACTGTCCAGTGCCTTGGGACATTCTCCACATTGTGAAAGGCGCTTTACAGATGTAATTTTGTTGTTTTGTTGTTATGTAATCTCTGGTATTCTTCATAGTTTGCAATGCTCCTTAATTTAATATTGCACAAATTTTGTAAACATTCTCTTTGTGACCATGTCCAAATCAAATCATGGTTTTACAAATATTGGCATCAACTACATCATTTGCTAAGTACTCTTCAGATTACCCAGTGTGAAGGGCACCATGTGAATGCAAGTTGTTGTCTGTTTGCTAATTGTTGGTATGCTAAAAGTAAGCTTAAGTTACTTCAACACAATTAAACTGAATGTTGTTTTTTTCACCTCTCTGCCACCAGCAATACAGTAACTTGGATGCTCTTTCTCTGGCTGATGTGGTGGACTTGGTCGAGATTACTCGTGATACAGTGGATGATGTGTGGAGGCAAACAGACCATGATCTTTACCCAGAACAACGCATGCGCCACCTCCTGGATGTCATAGGTACTGTATTTGAAATCATACAGCTACAAAAATGATTGATTTGAATCCAAGGCTGGAATATTTGGCTTTTTATGAATGATGAAAATGCAAAGGTTTCAGCAGCATGTGAATCTAAAAGCCCCTGATGCATTTAATTTCACATTTCCCAGCGGAGAAATGCCACAAATTGTTCATATACTTTTCAATTGGCTGACAGTAGTTTTGTTCATGTTAATGAATGTCGAGGAATTTGATATGAATTGAATGTTGCTGAAAATGACAATTGTCTTAAATGTACTTCAGATTAGATTTAATATTAATTAAGAAATCAAACGAGTCATCCTGTTACATTTAATCAATTAATCAATCAAAGTGATCAGTTTAAGCAGGCAGAATTGACCAATTTCCTCACCTGTAGTACAGTATTAATAGAGACTGCCCCTTTAAGACTACTTCATAGCAGATGACCTGAAATTGACATACTTAGCTGATCAAAGAAGCTTCCCGAAACCGACAACTCAACTGAGAATTTAGCCCTTGACTTATCAATGAAGTGAGTTGGCCTGAATGACATTATTATAAGGTATTTAACTGGATTATTTTTTTCATTAAGAATGAGTGTGATTAATAAACAACAATATGGTACACATATGATATCACAGCATTTTATTGGGTTCCATCATAAGTATCACATAAATAATTGGGTGTAGTCTTAAATCAGAATAGTCATTGATTTCAATTGCAGAGTTCATGTATTGAGATAAAATAAAGTTTAGAATCAGACTTGCTCTTCCTTCTATTTCTCACTGATTATTTCTCTGTTTGTAACTACATCTGTGACTTTTCCTTCTCCGACTTGCAACATTTCCAACTTGCAAAACAACAAAGCATTTTTAAATTTGTATGCAAAAAAGTAATTTCTGTGTGTTTTTCTTCTAGGGGGTGCCTTGTGTAGGTTTGTACAAAAACACCTTGCACAGTTCAATTTATGGGGAGATGCTTTTCACATTGTGAAAGAAAGCCTCAGATCTGGCATCACCATATGTGAACAGTGGGTGGCAGCATGTGATCATCTGACTGGACAGTTGTGGCGACGCTACACTCCTCATCAGTGGAAAAGTGAGAAGTATTCCCCAGAGCTGCTGGATAAACTTGCCAAGCGCCTGGAAGAGGTAGTTTTCTTTTTTTTAAAATGATTTTTGATTTTGTTTTATTGAGTTGAAACCATTATGTAGCAAATATCTCAGTTAGCACCCTGAAGTCATTCAACTAAGGAAATGATTCTTATAATCCATAATTTTAACCTTGGTGGTGCATTAAAACATCAGTATTTACTCCATTAATTTTCTGAACAGCCTATTGACATGCTTTCAATAGGAAAAGCTTATTGTGCATATCGCAATCAGCCACCTTCACATATTGTTCAATTATTAAATACAAGGATTATTATTTTTGTTTCCAATTTCTTACTACACAAACACAAATTATTGCACTTTACAGAAAATTCTTTGAAGCGCTTTGAAACTTGCTCCCCTCCTCCCCCACCGCACTTGAAGGGCACTATATGAAATACAAAGATTACTTTATTACTATTACTAATAAAGTAATCTAATGGTAGAGTAGAGTGGCAGGTTACAGGTTTAAGGATATGTTTTAATGCAAGTGTTTTTCAGTTTTATCTTATTTCCGTTTTCCCCCTCCAGCCAAATAGATCCCTCAGCTGATTCTTAATTTAGGAGCAGCTAGAAATTCTCAATCTCTGTGACTATATGTAGTCATTTGAATATAATAATAATAATCCTTGCATTTGATATAGTGTCTTATCATGACCTGGAGACGTCTCAAAGTGCTTCACAGGATAAACTGTAAAGTGAATTGACTGTATATTTTGTGGGCAAAATGCGGCAGCAGATTGCGCACAGCAGTGTCCCACAAATAGTCATTGATTGGGTGACCATATTATTATTTATTATTATGCTGTTCATGCATATAGAAATTAATTGTGTAGCTGTTCAGTTTGATGTTAATAAAGTTATAATAGGTGGTGGACTGAAATAAAAAGATGTTTCTTTATGATATTTGGCTGTATAAAATTCCTACTTCCGTGTACTGATTGGTGCCATTTTGAAAAAGCAAGGCAACAAAATAAATAAATTAAATTAACTTTGATTTTTATTTATTCTTTTGCAGGTTCAAACTATTAGAACAGTTCATGAAAAACTTATACGACTCTTACCAGCCAGAGAACAGCAGTTGCTTCAAGCAGCCCAGGTGTTTGAACCTTTTGCTGGACTGAATCCTGTCCAGTATAATCCTTATACTGAGGTTTGTTGTTTTGTACTTTGAGGTTCAAATTAATTCATTATTATTTTTTGGCCTGCATTGTATATCAGGATGTTATCTCATTCTTTAGCCACTGTGGAAAATTGCTGTAGCCCGGTATGAACGTGCAATAGCTCCTTCAGAGCAGAAGATTGCAAGCAAGCTGAAACTCTCTATTGTGGAGGTCCAGGACAACCCTCAGCAGGTAATTAGACAAGGATTGCACCTTTCTAATGAAAGCACCATAACCCAGAAACCTGTTGTAAACTTGTTGAGTGGTGGTGGCAGTAGTATAGTGGTAATGTTACTGGACAGGTATCCCAAAGAGTAGAGGTTTTAATTCCGCAATGGCAGTTGAGTAATTTGAATTCAGAAAATTTAATTTGAGCTAGAATTAGAAAAATGGCCACTAATTTGCTGGTTAATATCCGACTGCTTCACTAATGTCCTTACCATCTGGCCTATATGTGTCTCCAGTTCCACACCGTAAAACTCTCAGAAGTGGCCTAACAAGCCTATCAGCTTGTTATTGGTTTATGAGCCACACATGCTTGCCCTGCCAGTATCCCTTAAATCTCCAGATGACTTTAAAAGAAAACTACTATTTGATAAGTTTTAAAAATTTTATTGAGAATTTAGTTGTTAGCTGGGCCTAGTTTGTAGCACTTTCACCTCTGGGTCAGGTTATGGGTTCAATCCTCATGTTGGGATTTTGAACTTGTAAGCAATACTGATACTCCAATTCAGTGCTGGGGTGCTGTCCGAATGAGACATTTAACCGAGGATCTTCTGTTCAAGTGGATGTTAACCATCCTTTTGTCATTATTCAAAAGAGAAGTTTCGCACCATTTTCTGGGAAACAATTCCCCAGGTAAAATTGATCCTTCACTTCAAGGCTGTGCAAATTGGCTGCTGGGTTTGCTCCAAATCGTTACAATATACAGTAAATCCTGTGGAGTATTTTGTGATATTTTGACAACGTATATTAAAAGTATTATTATTATAGTGACATTTCCTCATAATTCTACACTTTTTTATTTGAAGCCGCATTCTTTATATTTCAGTCATAAAGGTAAAAATTCCATTCGAGTCCAGATTTACTCTATTCACTTAGCATTCCAGAGCATCCAGAATTTAGCAAATTCTTAAATAGAATTATTTTAAGAACTACAGAAAAACGGTTTCAAAGCTAAGGTTGGATTCACTTATTTGCCAATTTCTGCGCACTCTGAAATACTAAGAAAATGAAGTTCTAAAGCACATCTGCCTCTGCTGTTTTCAATGCTGAAACCTTGTCTGTGTTTTCCTTTTACTAAGTTTGAGAGATTCTCATTTTTTGTTTCAAGCTTTTCCAGGCATTTCAAAAGTACAAAGAACTGATCAAACGTCCCAGCATCAGCAAGCAATTACTTTCAGAGCGTGAAACTTTACTAGCAAAACTCATAGACTACATCAAAGGTAACATTGTGCACAAACACTTCTGAAAAGTGATACTTAAGAACTGTTAGAAGCAAACGCTTGCATTAGCACAGAGGACAGTGTTTTAAACACCACTGCTTTTATTGCCAATATTATTTCAATGATGAATTAGGTATTCATACGGACTTTGAGAATCGGCGGAGTGGTACTCCTGGGGAACCTTCAGGACCACTTACTGGCAAGAATCTTCCAGAGGTTGTCAATAACATTGTTTGGGTTAAACAGTTGGAATTAAAGGTTAGTATCTGAGGCTTTTCTTCTTCCCCTTTAATTTCTATAAAATGTCAAGTATTAAAAAGTAATTTGAAATGAGTTTGTCCCCAGTAACAAGAATAGAAGAGCCCCATTATAATTCAGTTTAAGCATTGTGAGTGACTGATGTCTGTGCAACCATAATTTAATAGGCAAACAAATTCAGTGATTTGAGAGGACAAGAATGAGATTGTGAAATCAGAAGCAGAAAGGAGGCAATGATTTATGTGCTCTACTTCTGCTCTCACAGACTGTCAAGGACTGCATTTTCAACGATTAAACCTGGGACTTTGTTGACCCAACTGAACTCAGACTCTCCCAATCCTGCATTGAGCACCTCCACTATTGAGCAAAGGTGGATCGTCTACCATCCTGCTGACTCCCTTCGCTCAGCAGGCTCTGGCTTGCTTCACATCCCCCACCTCGCCGTCCCACCATTGGCGGGTCTTTTGCCACTTTGTCCCCACCCTCTGGAACTCCATCCCACAGTCTCTCCGCCACACCCCCTCCCTCGCCTCCTTCAAAACCCATCTCAAGACCCTTCTCTTTGACCGTGCTTTTGATCACCTTGCTTCCCCCCACACCCTCCCCAATCCTGATCCCCGGCTCGGGTCCAAAACTCTGACATCCTCCAGACATGAAAGGCGCTCTACAAATGTAATTTTGTTGTTGTTCTTCTTGCCTGTTTCCCATGACAATTTTGTGTACTATTACAAAATAGTAAAAATAACTTTCAACTTCAATGCAGTTGACAAACAGGAGAGTTGCAGTGCCTATGGAACTGTACCTCTGCAAGAGTCACTGCTGTGAGGACAAGACACACAATAAGGAGGAAAAAAATTATGCAGTATATTAATAAAATTCATTTGATTTACATTGTTTAGAACTTGAAATAGGTAATGTTGCATCTTTTATTTTAGGCTGAAGATACCATAAAGATAGCTGAGGCTTTGCTGAGTGACTTGTCTGGATTTCGGTCATTTTGGCGAAATTGCAATGAGCTTTTGGACCAGCTGAGGAGCTACGAGCAGGATCAGTTTGATGATTGGTCAAGGGACATACTGTCATCTGTGTCAGATCCCAAAGCTGGCATCAGGTATTCCTCTAACATTTTCCTATTCTCCTCCAGCATTCTTTAGGTTGCGTAGAAAAAGGTGAAAAATAACATTTTAATTTGTGGTCAACCAAGTAATATGCAGGAAGCGACATCAGCAATGAGCTAACAACCCAGAAATTGTTCACTTTTTAATATGGAAAACTGCCCAGACAGAACCAGAAGCTGGGTGTTCCACACTTCTGCCGAGTGTGGGTCTGGTGTACGCCCATGCTATGCGAGGCAGCATTATTCTGGTACGGGGTGAGGGAGCTGGAACAGTTTTCCCCTGTATTTATTAATATTGGCTGCATAAACAGCTAACACAACAACTACTTGGATTTATATAGCGCCCTTCACGTGGGCGAAATGTTGGGCAAGTTTCCTTACTTACACACCTCTGTTTACCTAGCAGTAAGTAGGAGCCTGCTTGTTAGTCGATTGACGGATCGCTTTTCGGGGGGTAATAATTCCTTCAAAAAATAATAATAGTAATAATAAATTGGTCATTCCAATCCATGACTGCTCATGGGACACTTTGTGTGCAATTAGCTGCCATGTTTCGCCCACAAAATGTACAGTCAATTCACTTTACAAGATATTCTGTGAAGTGCTTTGAGATGCCTCTAAGGTGTGATAAGTCGCCAAATTAAATGCAACGATTATTATTATTATTACTGGCTATTATTATGGAAAATATTAAATTATTTTTGTATAAACTCAACAGCAGATTGGTAACAGCAATGGACTGCTCTTTCAAGAAGATAAGAAAATTCTAAAGGATTTTTATCTTACTATAAACTCGCTATACCCTTTGCAGCTTCACTTGCAACCAAAGGATCCAATATGGAATGTGATTGAAACCCAGACAGACATTTCGTCTTCATCTGTACTCAGCTGGGAGCACTCCTGTGGGAGGACTCCTTTAATATATCTTCTCTCAGTCTGTCTCTTTATCTGTCTCTGTCTCTCCCACAAAACACACAGTCACTACACTTTATAATATATTCTCCTTCAATCTCACTCTCACTCTGTCTCACCCACATGGGAGAAAAAAGTGCCATTAATTTGTTGCAAAATATAGATGTATCTCTGAACGGTATCTCTGTCACTATGCAGTTGCAGAATATGATGCATACCTCATATTTTGGGGCTTAATTAAAGCATTTTTTAATGTAGCTCATGAACGATAGGAGATTCCCCCAAAAAACAAATATGCCAAGACCTATCTGATGAGGTATAAATCGTTTCTCTGTCAATTGGCTATTGTGTGAGTGTCAGATACACAGATAGACACTTTGTCTTTATTAGAATAATATATCTAAGGAACTATCTGTCAGTTTAGAAGTATTAAGGATACTAGTTCCATCTAGTGACATTGAACAATGTTTTGCAAGGTATATAACTACTTGCTCTACAGATATATTTTACTCTGCTAACAAACAAATTATGATAGCTGAAACATTGTAATCCCAGTTTATTAGATATTGCATTCCATTATGACCTTGTTGCATGTAACTTGGTTGCTCTGTTTACCTGGAAAATAGTCAGTTCACTTTACAGTAAAACATGTGAAACACTTTGAGATATCCCCTTGGCATGAAAGGTGACGTATCAAATACAAATCGATATTGTTCCAGAACTCTCTTTCAAGCTCTTACAGATTGCTAGATGTTTACTTAACTTAATGTAATTTCTAACCAATTGGTGTTGCTTGTGGCAGCTTGCAGGCCAGTGGTCAGGTTATGGAATTGGATCACTCTGATGGAAAGCTGAAAATACATTACTCGGATCGTCTTGTGACTCTGTTGAGAGAAGTGCGACAGCTTTCTGCTCTGGGGTTTGCCATTCCTGCAAAAATACAACAAGCAGCAATAACAGCTCAGAAGTTCTACAGACAGGCGATTATTCTTAAGCAGGTTGGTTTCATTAACTTTTGCCATCCATTGTATACCAATTTCCTTATCTTGTTTATAACTGGCTATGCACTATTATCTATATTGGTTTGTGAAAGTCTACAATCAGAATTTGGATAGATCACCCTGGGAAGAACCCTTTACCCTGTAAGGCACTCCATGTAGTAACTTGGTTGAGAATTGTGAACAATTAATCTGCAGTTTGAAATTTAAACCCAGGCTACAATTGAAACTTGAGCCCTGGCAATGAATGACCAGTGCTTTGTTGTGAGTTTTAGACCATCCTGCAGACCTGAATTTTCCAACTTCTGTTTAGGAACAATGTATGTTACTTGTTTTTATTGTAACAAACCTAATCCAAAAGTAATGATCTTATTAAGATTAAGTGACAACACTTTGTAAAATTAAGGAAATGTTTTCTGGCTTCGTTTGATGCATTAATGGAGTAAAAATGCAACCAATGGTATAATAATTGTCGCCAGTGATATAACATTGTCAAAAATTCTATCTCTGTGAATGCCTCAATCAATGCCTTGAAGTTGAGTTAAATTAGCACTGAAAATCTATTGAGTGGCAATTTTGGACCCACGATTATTCTGATGTTGGAGGGACGACACGTGGCATTTTACACCTCAATACTTTCCAATGTCATACAGATGTTTAAACGTTTTCAACCTTTGCTTGAAGAGTAAGGATTCATACAAGAGCACAATAATAATAATAATAATCCTTGCATTTGATATAGCACTTTTTAGGTCTTTTAGACGTCTCAAAGGGCTTCACAGAATAGACTGTAAAATGAAGGGACTGTATATTTGTGGGTGAAACGCGGCAGCCAATTGTGCACGGCAGTGTCCCACAAACAGTCGTGGATTGAATTTTATTTTGAGGGATTAATCGAACCCAGGTCTCTTGCTTACAAAGCGAGTGCTCTAACCACTGAGCTGCAGGACTCCACATGTAACATTTGAGAATTAAAAATGTACTGCAGCTACAATGTGTTTCTTTTTTCCTGTTGCAGGTTGCTCATTTTTACAACACCATTGATCAGCAGATGATTCCAAGCCAGAGGCCCATGATGTTAAACTCTGCTTTAGCATTTGAACAGATAATAAAGGTGGGTCAGAAGTCTGAAAAATGTGGAGTGTCCTTGTTTATTTTTCAAAATATTGTTCTATACGTGAAATATAATGTTTTGTCTGTGTGTACATGTGTGAGCCTGCCTTAGTTGGCAATAACAACAACATGCATTTATATAGGTCCCTTCACACCGGATGGCATCTTGGAGCACTTAAAGTATGGCAGAACTCTCGTCTCTGGGTCAGAAAGTTGTGGGCTGAATTCACAGGCCAGACTGACACACCAGTGCAATGCTGGGATGGGCCACGTTGTTGGGGGTGGCTTCCCTCAGATGAGATGCCGCTTTGTGAAAATTCGCTGCTGCGTTCGCTTCCAAAAGTGTTGTTACACTTTACAATATATCCTGTGACTCAATTTGAGACATCCTCCCAATGTTAAAGGTTCTATATCAAACGTAAGGATTGACAATAAAAAAATCACTGGATTCCTGGAATGGCAAACAGTCTTGTAGATGAATTGTTCATTCATCTCATGACTGCTCTGGAATTACGGTGCGCTAAATGGTTGCGAACTTCTTCTTTTATCTTCTTCTATGCTAATAAAGATGAAATGTCTGTCTGTGTGTCCTCCAATAACGCAATAACCGATTAACGTAGAGACATGATTTATACCTCATTGGAAAGTTCTTGCAAGGGGGAGTGTCATGGGCATTTTTTTTGTAGGGATCTCCTATCGTTGATGAACTATATTTAAAAATGCTTTAATTAAGCCCCAAAATATGAGGTATGCATGGTGTTCTGCAACAAAGTAGCGCAGAGGAAATCACACACCCTTCTAGAGAGATACATCTATACTAATAAAGACAAAATGTTTGTGTGTCTGTCTGCCAATAACGCAATAACCGATTGATGAAGAGACATGATTTATACCTCATTGTAAAGGTCTTGCATGGGGGAGTGCCATCAGTATATGTTTTGGGGGGAATCTCTTCCCCCCTATGACCTAAACAAGCTCATCACACATGTATGGCAGTTTTGCTTCAGGTGTACATAAAGTGTTTATGCCATGTTAAATGGTTTGTGAGTGGTATCACTGAAATCTACATTCCATATTGGATCCTTTGATTGCAAAGCGTAGCTGCAACGGGTACAGCTAGAACTTTAAAAATACACAATCGCTACATTTGACAACAATACATGAAATGTGGACCACTCTATCCTTCTTAACAATCTCTCCTCGCTATTCCTGGTCTAATTTCTACCTATCCCAGCATCTCCGCTTTGTTGCATCAAAAGATTAGTCCTCCCGCCCCTGTACAGTCAGTATTCTGCAGGGCTCTATTCTCCGTCCACTCCTCTTCACCATCTTATATGCTCCCATTTGCGGAGCCTGTGTGGAACCTGGGTATCTTTACCCTGAAGGCTGGGCACTGAAGCTGGATAAGAGCCGAAGTGGGTTCAGAGGGGAATAGTGACCAAAAGCTTAGGCAGAAGTACTTCAAGATAAGCCTTGAATGAGGGGAGGGAAGGAGCTAGTCGGAGGAGCAATGGCAGGATACTTGAAGGCCACCCACTAACATCATTTACATTATCTGTAAAAGTGTAACACATGCCTTGAGTTACCCTTATTATCAATGAAGACAAATCATTAAATTGGTCTCTGAAGACCATTATCTGATCAGGATTTTTAAAATTGATGTTGGCTCTACAGTAGAGGTTGGGGTAAAGACTGAAAGAAACAAAGATTGTAGCTCAAAATATCACACCTGTGTCAACCTGGTCCGTTGGCAGCACTCTTGCCTCTGAGTCAGAAAGTTGTAGTGAGGACTTGGAATCACATAGTCTTAAGCTGACACTCCATTGCAGTGCTGGAGGGTGTTGCATTGTTGGTGGGCGTCCTTCAGATGAGACTTTAAACCAAAGTCCTATCTACTTACTGAGGTGGACGTTGAAAATCCCAAGGTCAGCGTTTCTCCTGGTTTTCCGGCCCACAAATCCTCCAAATAAAATTGGTCACTCGTTCCACTGTTTGTGGAACCTGTAGAGCTCAAACTGGCTGCTGCGTTTCACCCACAAAACACTCCATTTTACACCATATCCTGTCAAGTGCTTTCAGAGTCTTGACTACAGGATAGGCGCTATATCAAATGCAAAAAGCAAGATTATTATAATTCTGTTTGTTTTCATTGCCGCTAATATTCTTCTGCGCTAAACCTTATCAAATGCCTTCTGAAAATCCATAACGGCAACATCCACAAGTACGCCCTTATCCATCATGCTAGTGACCTCTTTGAAAAAGTCAACTAAATTAATCAGACATACCTTCTTAAATTCACGCTGACTCGCTAATCAGCCCATACCTGTTCAAGAGCTCAGTAACTCTGTTCTTGATTTCAGGAAGTTGCATTGTATGTATATACTTTATATGCTCATGTTTACCCATTAACAACAATTTGTTTTATGTGTGAAAAATAAATCAATTAACAAAAGAAATTAATGAAAGGGTCTCCAAAGGTTTGGAGTTTAATAATGTTTAATAAAGGTTAAAGAAAAGTTGTAAGAATTGTGTGAATTGTGTCCTAAAGTATGCCATTTGTTAACTGGTTAGGATTGATGAGATATTTACGTTGTGTGCTCATCATTTATCAGAACCCAAAGGCTGGCTCCAAGGAAGGGGCAGATGGCAAGGTACAGATAACTTGGGATAACGTCAAGGAGTTAGAGACATACATTCAAAAGCTGCAGACTGCAGCTGAACGGCTTACCACAGAGAACAGGAAGCTGAGGAAATGTCATACTGACTTCTGTGATAAGGTAAAAAAAAATGCAGGAAAACAAGGAATGAGAAAGGCTATCCTTCCAAACAATTTAGCCTCATATTTTACATACGGTTTTACATATGGTTTCTAATCTTGCCCATAAGTATTTTTTAAAAAAAATTGGCAACACTATTTTGGCGTAGGAGTATTGTGGAGGAGATATGATTCAATATCCTCCATAGCTGGTTGACCCACTGAATTCCCCTTTTCCTTATTCAGAAAAAGTTTCTGAACAAATCAAATTAAAAAAGGTCTTTTTTTAAAAAATCTGCTTTTGAAATAAGAATTCAGAAAAGGTTTGCAGTTCAATAATTTCTCATATAAATAGTTTGGACATTTTCTGAAGCCACACACTTCAGTAAGCATTGTCTACCCAGGTTTACATTTACTACGATTTTGGTTGAATATTAATTTTTATCAGCACAATTGCAATAGAATGTCAATTTACTAATGCCCATGGAACAAATTGTTCGTCTTTAAATGTGTATTGTTTTCAATCTGTTTCTTCATCTCACACTAACTTGTTTAACTTGAGTTCTAGAAATGACCATGAGATAGATGAACACTGTCTGTATATGCATTTGGGTAGCATTCTCAAACTTAATTTTTTGTTAATCTTTTAATTGTCAATAGTGTCCTTATTACTGCTGCAAAAATATTAACAAAATTAGATTATAAACCTAAAGAAACCTAGCTATTGTATATAAGCTATTCGATTTTTAGTCCTGCATAAATTTGAAAACTTAAATTATAAATATGCATATGCACCAAATGCATATCATTTAGAAACTAATTCTTTGTGACTGATGAAAGTGCTTGTATCAGTAATTCAGACAGAGGGTTTGACCTTGCAGGTAGTAGCGCTCATGAATGTTGATCTACTTCGCCAACAACATCGATGGAAAGATGGATTGCAAGAGCTGAGATTTGTTTTCTCCAACCTTGACTCACAAGTAAGTGAAGCCCACCAAGTCATTGTAACCAGAACATTGCCCTTATTTGAAAAGAGAAAGCCCTGGCTAACATTCCTCCAGATAAAAATAGTCATTCACATCATGGCCATCTGTCGGATATTGCTGTGTGCCAATTAGCTGCTGTGTTCTCTATTATGTGCGATTGACACTTTACAGCAAAACTAAAAAACTGAAACTTTGAGATGTATCAATGCTATATGCACTATATAAAATGCAAGAATTATTATAATAATGGCTGTTTGTTCACCACATTTCGTTCAGTGCTTTCAGATGCAAGAAATGTAGTGGAGCCTTGTTATAACTTGATGATTAAGATTCAAAACATCTCTACTCATGCTGTAGGGAGGTGCAATTACAACTCTGTGTGAGCTGGATGATTCTCTGTTTTTTTAACAAAAGCCAGACAGATGTCTGGATAATCAGGTTGCTACTGATATCACTTCCTGCTTTGTGCTTGTGAGGCAAATGGGAAGTGATGTTGGTTGTGCTGAATGCTAAAAGTGAGCAGCCTTGCTGAATGCATGTGGAGTAAATAAGGTCCAAACTGTGCTATAACCAAATTTGTGCTATAAATAACTGACATAATTGGGCTGTATTGGGCTTCTTGGATGCCAATCATACTATTTAGTTTTAGGCATATTAAATGGGCAGAGGAATGGAAAGTGCCTGCTATCATGTATTTCATTTATCTCTGAATTTTTAGTTTGAAAGATGTTGCTAATACTATATTAAAGAATTTAAACTTTTTGTTTTGTAGTTAAATAGTTAACTGATAAACAAAAGCCTTTGCCATGTGTTCTGAATAACGCATTGCGTTGTTGAGGAAAATAAATCTAGTGTCTTGAATACATTTGTTTTCATCATCCTGTGTGGGTATAACCCATTATAACAGTGTACCGGAACCTGCAGTTTTGTTTCACAATTTACTGTATAGATTTCACTGCTTAGTGAGGTCCATATTTTCTTTAACAAGAACATCTAACCATGAGAATGAATTGACATAACGTTCATTAAAAAAAATAGAAATGCACATCAGATTTCTCCTTGGTTTTCTTATAGATATTTTCCAAGCTAAGTAACAAAATATTTCCAATTATTTTATAAAGTGAGAACCACTCGTCAAATATAGAAATGCTTTCTTTGGAGTGTTTATTCAACCCATTTTAGAATAATCAAGCAGATCTGAAGGAAAGCCATATGACCAGGGAGACAACAAAACGTAAATCTAGCAATTAGAGACCTTGAAAGGAAAAAAGAAAACATTTTAGACCCGTCAAAATTCATCAGTCTTTATTTAATATAAAATTGCACTTTTTAATTTTATTATTATTATTTGCTCTGGAGTTGTTTTTCAAAGGCCTTTTTAAAAAATTGAAACTGGAAGCTCCATTAATCTGTAGCTTACATTCAAATACTGTATGTGACAAAATATAGTTGGTCATTTTTTTTAAAAGCTTTGTTCTTTAGATTTATTGTTTTAAAGTGTGATCTAAAACTCCAGGTTGCAAATTTTGATTTAGAACCCATTTAATAATAATAATAATCATTATTATTATTATGATGAAGCAAAATTGCTGATGCGTTGTCTGTTTGATGTCCGTATGAACGTTTATCTAAAATATGCTGCCGGAATGAGAATCAGTGGAGTTCCTCTTCCTTGTAGGGGGATGATGAGCTGCATTATTCTGTGTGATAACACCAAATTTTTATTTACGGTGAAAACGTGAAATAAAAGAAGTAGGATCAGTTTATCATTAATAAAGAAGCTAATCTCTGCACACATTGTACTGAGCATGAAAATATATTTATATCCTTACTGTGGGGATTTTTTGAGAAAACTGTTTAACTAGAGGCATTTTTAAAATCTGAAGGTTAGGCAATCAAGTGCAGATTGATTTTTGAATTTGTTGCATCATTGCAAGTTGAAGAATAGCTTAACAATTTTCTTCATTCATTGCATTTGTATTTATATTTTATATATTTTACAAAAGGGTTTTCGTTCTGGTGATATGAAGGCTTGGCGACAACACTGGAATCATCAGCTATACAAAGCACTCGAACATCAGTATCAGATAGGCTTAGAAGCGTTGAACGAGAATCTTCCTGAAATTAATGTGGAGCTCACATTCAAGTATGTAACAAAATATAGCTGACAATTTTTAAAAAACTTTTCTTTCGATATTTTGTTTGAAATTATGAGGAATGCAGTATCTGTTAATATTATATTGGAACAACCTTGAATAGCTTCCTTCCCCTGTGGCAAGAAGCTTGTCTGACAACTTTGAGCAATTAGGTTTAAGTTTCAACAGTGGATAATATTCTGTTTGTTCATGTGCATGCTTGCGTGTATGTATACGTACATGTGTAAATGTGCATGCAGTGTTTTAGCTGTGACTAACGCACCTGTAATGTTAATGCACCAAATAGGGGATGTTGACACTTCACCAGCAGCTTGGGGTGGATATCTGATTTCTTTCTGCACATTGACTGATTTGAGAAGTAGTACTGCTTTTGAATTTGCAGCTCACTGCACTCTGCGGTAGAGAGACTACTATCTGGAATAACTTACATAATAATAATAATAATAATAATCCTTGCATTTGATAAAGTGCTTTTCACGTCTTCTAGACGTCCCAAAGCGCTTCACAGAATATACTGTAAAGTGAATTGACTGTATATTTGTGGGCGAACATGTCATTGTTTGACTGGAATTTTTTTTACACTGAACCATTAGGGGAAAATAAATCATCAATAAGTGAGAAATGGCTTTTGCGGCTATTATCTTTCATACGTTTTGCTGCTACTATATATACTTATACTTTCTCAAAATTATTGAAATTAATTGGAAGAGGATTTCACCTCTATTGAAGTCACCATTCTATTTTATTATTTAGAAAGTGGGGAAAGCCTATTTATTCACATTTTTAAACCTTTTTTCTTTCATTTCTTTAATGCCATATTTTGTACAGCTATAATAATGAGGATATGAGAATGACCTGTGAGGAAGGTGATGGTGTGGGAGGGAGGTGGGGGGTGGGGAGAGAAACCGTCTCTAGTTAACTACAACTAATTGTGTACAGAACTATAACGAAAAGCATTTTATTGATGAAGGTACTATTACTGCTACAGTTCTGATAATATTTCACTGCTCATTACTGAGTGACAGATTCTTTAAATTGCTACCTTTCGTTCTCGTGGAGATTCTCACTTTCATCTGTTGTGAAGCTTCTTTAGATCTTCAAATTGATGTCATTTACAAATTGAGGGAAAAAATATTCCCATATAAGTTGGTAGCACAAAACATATGTTTCGAATTTCCTATTTCCTACTTTCTCTTGCGCAGCATACTATAGAGTGATCAATGTTATATTGGAAGAGTGGTACACCTGGTTTTAGGTACTGACCAGTTAGTTTCCTACGCTAAGAAGAGCTGCCTTCTGGCAGTCTTTCTGTGCACAGGAAATTACATCAATGGCAACTTGGTGATTTGGAATTCAGATTTTTTTTGTGCTTTGTTTTGTGGGGTCTGAGAAATTGGTCCCAGCCTAACGTGTTATTGGGGAGGCCCAGCATCAATTATCTTCTTTGAAAATGTGTTTGGCACATCAGCAAATGCTGTTTCATGAAACTGTGCCTCCAGATATAGATCAGTAAATAGGGAGTTGATGCAGTGTTGCACAATTTTTAGTAATAGGCAGGCTGAAAGTTAGATTTAAGATGTTATAATCTGCATCTTTTATGTTAAAATAAACAGTTGTGTATATATGATAATTGTATACCATATTGGATTAATTATTGGATGATTAATTACGTCATTCAATTAAGTTGAATTATGAAGGGTAAGACTTGTTGTTACATATGTATGCAGTTATGTGTGTGCAGCTAGATGTGTTCACATATCTGGTATAGTATGGGGAAAAAATGACTCATTTCTTTATTCTGTGCAGGCAGGCGAGGTTGCAATTTAAACCTCCTTTTGAAGAAATTCGGGCAAAATACTACCGAGAAATGAAGAGGTTTATTTCTATTCCAAACCAATTCAAGGGTGCAAGTGAGCCTGGGGAGGAGCCTATCTTTGTTGTTATGATAGAGAGAAATGCAAACGGTTTCCTTACTGTTTTTAGCAAAGCAGAAGATCTGTTCAAACGTTTGTCAAAAGTGCTGGACAAATTTAAGGTAACCATCTCACACACTTTACAGTTTGGTACTGTATGTACAAAATGCATCCCCCAAAATTCAGGTTTGTATAACTGATCATTTGTCTATTGTTGGTGTCACGAATTGGCTGCCACATTTGCTTGTTCAAAATTAAATATAGTGTACTATTTATCTCCAGAACATTGCCTATAAATGCACAGTCACTGCAATTTACAGTAAACTCCTGTAAAGCTATTTGGGAGATCCCGATGCCATGATAAGGCGCTATATCTAAGATGTGTTGCCCACTTGGACACTCGCAGGGTGTTCCTGGTACTTACCTTCCACCTAGTGAGGGCTCAAACCCATACTTGTCGAATGAGCAATTAGTGACTCCTTGGGGATCTGGAGGGGTGGGGGGGCGGTAGGTAAGTGCGGCCTCCTTGGAGCTGGTGACGTGTTTGGTAACGGAATGTTGGAATCAAGCCAGCCCTCTGTGGGGGCCACGTTAGTCCGGATCCTGAGCCATGTGGGTCTGCAGTACCCCAGGGCACTACTGCTGACAGTACAGCCATCCTAGCTCATCAGCAGGACTTGGAAGGACTGGCAGACCAGTCACTGGGGGCAGGGAATCCTTCCACTCAGCACCTGTTAATCCTCCAATGCCCTAACGGGTAGGGTGGTCCTAGCTCGACAAGCAGCATGATAGCTTGCCGGAGTGAAGGCGCTGTGTCAAATGGAACAATTATTATTACTTTAAAACATTCAATGATCTATTCACTAGTACATACTAGTAATGATGTGTATTTTTTCAAATAGGATTGGGTTATACTTGGACAAGTGAATATTGAAACATTGGTTGAGGAACAACTCCAAACTGTACATGACTGGGAGAGGAATTTCAAGGCACTGAAAGGAAGAGGAAAGGATTCCGAAAGGCTGCCAAGGTTAAATTAAATGCTTTCATCCTTTTTTTAACAAGTGAATTGAATTACAACCCAACAACGGGAGACTGAACTTCGCAATGAATGAGCAAAATGGCATCCTTGAAAGAGTATATGCTTAGGATTATGTGTAACCATGGTACATTGTCTAGAAATCAATAACTTAAAACTTTTATATCCAAAAATATAAAATTCATTGGCATTCTGAGAATGTATCACATCTGCTGCAGAAATGGGCAAGGACCATAGCTACTTGAGATAAATTTAATGATGGGACCCAATGAAAAGGCAGTGGAATCACTGGTGACAATTCATTTAGGAAGCTGTTTGGGGTGGGATTTTGAAGGTGTTTTTTATTCTGTCTCCTTCTTTTGCTTTCTCCTGGTTGAAACGTTGCCTATTTCATTCCTTGACTTAGTTGCTTCAGGTTTGTCCTAATGTTGCTGTATATTGTCTGCTATATTAGGGAAAGTGATGTTAGTTGACTGGTTTGGGATGTTATTTGTCTACCCTGTCTTCACCCTCAGGGAAAGCCATGTTTTCTCCCTCTAATATCCCCCAGTGGCCCTGGCAGAGATTCAGTGTATAGAGAACTGTGAATGAATTTTGCCTTGCTGCTAATCTGCCACAAATTCTCTCTAGAATTGATTGTTCTCAAGAAAGTCATACGGTTTATTTTTACAAATGGGTTTTAACTGTTTATGAATGCAAATCAATAATTGACCTGCACATTCTTTAGAATTGTCATATTTAATGTTCACATCACTACAACATAAGATAAGCAGAGTCACTGAAGTTAGTTAGCTGTGAATAGGTCTTGAATTGGTGCTTTTCAGGTGATGTGAGACTTTTTAGATTTTGTCATGTACTGCTTTGAATCCACACCTTTGCTGCTGTGTTTTTAAATTTTTAAACCTCAATGTTTAAAAAGGTTATTATTTTTAAAGAAAAAACGCAAACCTTAATTTGCAGTTGAGGACTAGAGACTGTGTGCTTGTGTGTGTGTATATATATATAGTATATTGAAAGCATATATATATACACATATATATAATAGCTTGCTATTACATAATATATATATTGAATTGTTCTTGTATCTTGTGAAGGGCTTTGTGATGTCCTCCTGACATGAAAGATAATATTTCAAATGTAATTATTATTATTAGGATTTATTTTCCCTGAATAGAATATAATGTGAATGGACATTATGATGCTATACTATCTGTTAGGAAGACTCCAAGAACAGAACTGGTAGTATTGATTTAACTTTTTTGAAAGCACTCACAATGGTAGAAATGTTCTTTCTGAGCTCCAGCAAATTTAGTCATGGAATCCAATATCATTTAGAATGGAAAGAATTTTGATCTTATTCAAAAACTGTTTGATGCCCTACTTCTGCCATCATGAAAGTCCATTCTGAAATAAACTGTTTCTTGCGACTTCAAATGGTATTGGATTCCAGTATTGGTTTCAGACATCCTGAATCTCTCCATCCTCTCACATTGGAGACAAAATCGGTTATAAAGCTCATCCAGCCATACATGAAGAGAGGAGAATTGGTATAGCATACTTTGAGGATTTGTGCATAAGTCAGTATAAAGTTACAATAAACAATGCATGACTATTGCAAGACTGTATCCGTTGTGTTGTTTTTTCTTTTGATTCAAATATAAATTACAAAACCTCTTATTTTCAAATTTTGCAGTGTCATTAAAGTGGATTGTATTACAATTAATTGCAATCCTGTGAAGGCTGTGATTGATGACCTTATTCAGAAGCTATTTGATGTCCTGCTTCTGTCATTAAGAAAGTCCATACAGAGTAAGACACCGTTTTAATTGTCGCATTCAAAATTAGAGTAGTTGTACATTTCACTTGCATAATATTATTGGATTATTATCTTGATACCCCATCCCTTTGCCTCACCCCTTCTGGTGCCTCCTTCAAGGTCCATCTCAAAGCCTTCCCCTTTGACCGAGCCTTTCATCATCTTCCCACCCCACCCTCCTTGGCCCCCGCTCCTCCCGAATCCAACCCCCAGCTCGGATGTCAACCCTGGACTGTCCAGCGCCATGGGTTGTCCTCCCGATGTGAGAGTTATTTGCATAGTTTTAAAAATGTATATAGTTTTCCATGCTTCAGGTTCAGAGTGATTTGGTGAAGGGCCACCCCTTGGTTGTGATGCTTTTATGCAAGGTACAGTAAATGCCCAATTTAAAATTGTGTTGATGTCTGTTTAGTGATGTAATGTTTTCCAATTTACAGTATTGTATGTAGTAATGGGATTATCCATGCAGCTAAGCATATATATGTCAAAAAGATGCAGTGCAAAGACCAATTTTCTTATAATATACAAACATAAGAATATTAGTATAATATATAAGAATATTAGTTCTATGAGTTGATAGGGCTTGCGACTGTAGCAAAAAATCTGAAACAAACAGTCATTGTAGCTGGCTTCGGCCTTCTATATATCTGTCACGGAGCTTGATATTTTATACCCAATGCTTCAGTGGTTAGAGTTGGGGCTTCTCGAGTTGGGAGGACAAAACCAGCATCCTGTTTATGTAACCTGTGCTTAGGTTATGCTATTCAATCACTTTTTCAACCCTGGTGTGTATTTTAGTATTATCCTTATCCAATAATTCCTTAAACATCTGTATCAATGCACGTTCGGTGATTTAGTAAAACTTATAAGTAATATTTTAAATACTTAATTTCGCCATGATCATTTTTGAATTTTTCACCCACTTTTTCTTAACCATTTTATTCAGCAAATATCCATGAGATTGACAGTTTTTTGAATACTGCAATGGACATCTTATCAAAGAGACCTCAGACAGTGGATGAAATAGGAGATGCAAATGCAAAGCACACCGAGCTTACTATGAAGAAACCTTGCGTAAGAATAATGAATTCAAAATGCAGCGCACCTGATAAAATATCTGTTTAACTATATCTTTGGTTATTTTAGGTAAAACCTCAGTGCATTGCTTTTGAAAGGAATGGTTTTAAAACGAATATCCACAGGATTTTATTAAAAATTGGTGACAACAGAATATTGCGGAAGTGGTATATTCTTTACCATTATAGTAATTGTAACAAAATACTGTTACCCAGTTCTCTACAATACTTATTATTTTTGAGGAAGACATTTTTCCATGGTCTTGTACAATAGGTTTTATTTTTGTTGATTTTTTTATTAATATTTCTATGATTTCATTTTGAAGTGTTTTAAACTGAAATTAGTTCAGACTAAAAAATAAGCTGAACCAATTTTTTTCTTGTGCGGTGACGATCACAATTTTATATTAATGGTTGGTGGTTGGTGGAGTCCTGTAGCTCAGTGGTTAGAGCAATAGCCTCGCAAGCAAGAGACTTGATTCGATTCCCAGCAGGGTGAAACTTTGGGCAAGTTTCCTTCCTTCCACACACCTGATAATAATCCCTCAAGAAAAAAACACACCAATAAATTGGTCACTTCATTTTCAATCTACGACTGTTTGTGGGACATTGCTGTGCGCAATTGGCTGACGCGTTCGCCCACAAATATACAGTCAATTCACTTTACAGTACATTCTGTGAAGCGCTTTGGGACATCTAGAAGACGTGAAAAGCGCTATATCAAATGCAAGGATTATTATTATTATTACTTTCCGATAAGTATCACAACAGGTTTTTCTCTTTTATTTAAGGATAATAGAGGTATCTGAAAAAGAATAAGTGAAAGTCTGATTTTGTTGATACAGAATTTGTTTGTTTCAGATAGTATATCTATCCGTCAGTGAAATGCCCTAACTGTTGAATTGTTCCTTTCTGTAAGGTTTTACCACTGTTTCAAGATGCTGATGATAAAAACAGACTGCTGCGCTCAGTAGCAGGTGGTGGTGTGGAAACTCTCAGCAACCTACGAGCAAAATGGGACAAATTTGAATTAATGATGGAAAGCCATCAGCTTATGGTGAATGAGCAGGTAATAGTAAATCATTTTTAAGAGTAAATCAGTAGTTCTTTCTAAAAGCCAACAGGACCTCAAACTATTGTTTTTGAGGAAAATAGATTTGAGTATGTTGCAAAGCTTTTTCGGCTGAAATTCCTGATAAGAGAGCAAATGATTATTTGGGGAGGACAAGTTTGCAGGGCTATGGGGAGAGAGCAGGTGAGTGGAATTGATTTGGATAGCTCTTTTCAAAGAGCCGGCATAGACACAATGGACCGAATGGCCTCCTTCAGTGCTGTATAATTCTATGATTCTGTGATATTTACTTTTATGGTAGATTTTATCAATATGACCTACATCATCACATGGGCTGATAACTTGCAATTGATGTTTAGTATAGATAATCGCAAGGTACTACACATAAGGTGCAACAATAGGAAATACCTCCATCTATCCATGGATAGGATACAACTTGCCAAAGGGAATCTGAAAGAAGTCTAGAGGTGTTAGTTAACTTGTTGGTCACTTTGTCATTAAAGTATGAAGCAGCAGTGAACAAACAGGATGTTTCGATCTCAGATGCCATACTTGGGCAGTATAGTTCTCCGGTCAAACTGTACCTTGAGTATTGTATGCAGTACTGACCATCGTGACATAAGGGACTGCCTAGTCCTTTGAGAAATGTAGAGAAGAACAACAAGAATAATCCCCGGTGTGAGAGAAATGATTAGACAAGCAAGATCTCTTCAATCTGGAGAAAAGATGACTCAGAGGGAACTTTATAGAGGTGTATAAAATTTTAAATGGAATTGAAAAAGTAAAACATTGATCAATAGTTTAGGATGCAGCAAGACAGAAGAACAAGAGGACACTTGATTTAGCATTCAAAGGGCAATTTCAGGACAGATTCCAGGAGGTTGTTCCAGGGAAATCATCAATTCTGAAGGTTATGAGGATAGGTGGTTGAAGTCAGGACACTGGACTCGTTTAAAATAAAGTGGACCGATGCTATGATTGTGGGGGCTGTTCTGGATGGATGAGATAGGTTTGGATGAAGGCCACTCCCATCTTGTTATCACCAAGAAAAACAAAATGCAAGCCATATTGGAAGTATTATGTGATGGAGGTATTTTAAAGGGAGATGGATGAATGTTGAGGGTGTAAAGGGATCCAGATGAATGCAGGGAAATAGGATTTAAAAAGATAAACAGGTATCATAAACTAAGAAAATGGCTCAATAAGGCAAATGTCCTATGTAGGGGAGAGCTGGAACCAGCACGGACAAAATGGGCCAAATAGCCTCCTTCTGTGCTGTGAATATTCTGTGAGTCCGTCTTGTACTGATTTTGCTATAATTCTACCTAGATTGAACTCATGAGAACAAATGTTGAGTCTCGTATAAAGATGTATTGTCAAGACCTGGAGAAATTTCAGGCTCGTTGGAATCAGCTGAAGCCCAGTAATGATATTGTTGACACGGCGGACAAGGACATTCTCAACAAATGTGTTGAATCAATAAAGGAGAAGCGAATTGAGTTTGATGAGTTGGAGACAACGAGGAAGAAGTTAATGTATGTTTTTGATGTTAATAATGAGGAAACAACGATTTTAAAATGCAATAAAGATTGCAGTGCATGATACATGTTTCAAGAACAAATTAGATAGATTTCTGCGAGAAATAATATCTTGGTATACAGTATACAATTTGGGACATGACTTGCCAAGCAACTGCTAGAATGGTGGAAGGTGAATTGAATGGACCTTCGTCTTCTTTCACCTAGCAAATTCTTATGTTCTTATACTGAAAATTCTAATACTTGTGATATCTGAAACAAATAAGACTGCATGTGCAATTTTTAAATAAAAAAGCTGTTTAAAATGCGCTTGAAATTGACTGCTCAAATGGGTTGCCACCATTTGCCTACACAATACAGTCAACGTCCTTTACAAGTATATCCTGTGAAGTGCTTTGAGACGTCCACCCGAACTGAAAAGCATTATATCAAATGTAAGAATTATTTATTCTTGTTCAGGGCATGGATATGTGGGACAATTGTAGTGCCCTTTCTGTTATCCTAAGTGAGATCAACTAACTGAGCATCCAATTAGTAATGAATCCTGACACTTTCCTGGTTTATATTACTGAGTAATCTAGCACTGCAGCAGTTAATGTGTGCTTACTGAATGCATCTAAGTAATTCTGTTTTTTTAATACAATTCATTCAGTGAGGACTGTCACCATTTTAAGGTAGAGGAACCTGAATTTGAGTTGGCAGAACGTGTCTATCAGGATCTAGAACAATATGAGGGCATGTGGTCACTTTATGAGGAGTTCAATAAGGGATTTCAGTCCATGTTAAATGAAGACTGGATTTCCTTCAGGTAAATAATTCTGTCTTTAAAGTTATGTCTAATGGTTTCAGACTTACATTTTATATTTCTCAAATTCTTGTTATTTGTTTAATGGCCAGTGTATTATATTGACTTTACTCTTTTCCTTGATACAAAATGTATTATCTTGACATTGCTTCCTTTAACAGGTCCATATCATGAGACTGCACTAATGCTGCTTTGGTTTAAGACATAGGGACCCTGAAATGTACAGGGATGTACACCATTGTGGTCCATTTGGCTTGTTCTTAAAAGTATATTAGCTTATCCTATCCTGAAATGAAATACTTGTGCTGTCTAGTGTACTACTGAAATTCATCCCACTGTGGTTCTAAGTGTCAGACAATCTTGTGGCTCAGAACTGCAGTTTTTTTAGCTGAGGACAAGTGGTGGCCGGCATTTAATGCTGCAGTAAGGGTCTTAAGATACTGTGGGCTAGTAAGGGCACGTCACGTTTGAATGTTATCTGCTAGTTTTTGTAATCTTTTCACAAGCCAAGACAGCAGGACAAAAAGGTTAGTTAAAAACTAGTTCAAAAGCACAATTTGAAAAGAGAAGAGTTTCTCCCAGTGTGCTGACCAAACAATCCTTCAAATAAAATTGGTCATTTGTTTTACAGCTGTTTGTGGGCTATGACATTTGCCCACAAAACACACTGTCACTACAATATATGAAGCTCTGTGAAACACTTTGAGACGTCCTCCTGACGTGAATGGCGCTATAACAGATGCAAGGATTATTATTATTATAAGCTATTATTAACATTATTGGCTAAGTTTATGAAGCAGTGTTTCACTGGAATATTTTGGACTGAATAATATGTTTTTATTTTAGCTAGAGAGAAAGATTGATGAAAATTACTTTAAAACCTGAGTGTTTTCTTTGAATTATAGCATAATTCTCTTAATTGTGTCATTTTGCTGTTTAAGCTGCTATTGTACTCAGTTGCCCTATTAACATTGATCAAATATATATTTGTTGTTTGATTTCTGTAACATCAAAGTCTGTTTTTTCAGGACAAAGACCTATCTTTTTGAAGAATTTTTACTCATGTGGCATGATAATTTAAGGAAAAGAGGTGAACACACAACAATGACTGTTAAATTGCAGAAGGATGTTGACAGATACAAGGTGAATTCCTTTATAATTTATCACTTTTTTTAATCTGTCAGCAGGTTAGATTAATTACTTACTATAGCTAGTAATCATTGTAGATGGATCAATTCATTTCCCACCCTTTCCTCACATATAAATGGGGCATGTGAAGAAGTTTGAGATATTCTCCCAATGTGAAAGGCGCTGTATAAATGTAAATTGCCGTTGTAATAGATGGGCAAATATTTTGTTTGAATCCCTTGATTTTGTTTTCTAACTTCAATGTAATGATTTTATGTAGATAATTTTAAAGATTAAAGGACATCCTTGAGCCGTCATATCACTGCATTATTCAGAAATACAATTACATCTAGTTTGAAGATCATGAATGATTTAACTTTTCTATTTCTGCAGACCATAGTACCTGTCCTAAAGTACGTCCGGGGTGAACATCTGTCTCAGGACCACTGGCTAGACATGTTTCGCCTGCTGGGCATGCCCAGGGGCACCACTCTAGAGAAATTGCTATTTGTGGACTTAATAAAAGTGGCAGATGTCATCCTGGCTAAAGCTTCTGAACTTAAAGTATGAACTTTTAGAACCACTGTTAATGCATTATTACTGTGAAGTAGTTAGATAGTTTAATGGCCTATAGTACTTGTTGTGGGTATTAATATTATATGCTTCAGTGTTATGTTTACTAAAGTAACATTTTACATATAAAAGCAATATTTTATTTTTAAACATTTATGAAGAACTATTGTTCAAAAGACCTGGGAGGGGATTTCAGTTTTTTAATGATGTTTTTCAAAATAATGAATGGAGTATATATAAGCACAATTTTGATCCCTAAATCTTCACTCTTCAAATATTTAATTAATTTCACTGTAAATGCTGTAATCAACCTAGCTTTAGTGCTAACACATTTCATTCCAAAATTACTTTGTGCATGAAAATCCAAATAATCCTTTCAGTATTCCTTATTATGTTTTTGTTTTAGTGTTAACAGTGTGAATTTGTTTTTCTTTTGCTTTTTGTGTCGACCCTACACCCATTTCTCTTATAATTCACTCTTCCGGCTTTACTCAGAGTGTGAGATAGGAGTGGCTTATGCACTAAGATTCAGGGAGAAAAGTTGTAGTCTTTTGTTTGTTCTCTGAGAATCTTGAGAGCTATTTACATAACTCCTAGAAATAAAATATAGACACTTGAAAGCCGATAAAGTGAGATTGTCTTTGCAATTTATATTGATTTTGACCTGTGGTTCTGATGATTTCGGAATCATTGTCCAAATGCTTTTGTTTTCAATGGTAAAAGCTCCATATCATGTGCACTCAACATTTATCATTCTACACTACCATTCTTTTGCACGTATCTGGTGGTAGTGTTATTTGTAAGAAATGCAATTTTTACATAATTTCAGTCAGTCTTGTTGATGAATTTGTAGCAAAATTTGAAAGTAATTGATCAGTAATATTTTATTTGTAACCTTATTACTTTCTTTTTTTGAAGGAACTCAATAGTCGTGCCCAAGGCGAAGTCTCCATTAGAGAGGCTTTGCGAGAGTTGGACATATGGGGGGCTGGAGCAGTCTTTATGATGACCGATTACCAAGATAGCCAGAACAAAACTATTAAACTTATCAAAGACTGGAAAGACATAGTAAACCAGGTTGGAGATAACCAATGTTTACTGCAGTCTCTTAAAGATTCACCTTACTATAAAGGGTTTGAGGACAAAGTATCTATTTGGGAAACTAGACTTGCAGATCTTGATGAATATCTGCATAGTTTGAATCAAATTCAAAGGAAGTGGGTCTATCTGGAGCCTATATTTGGTCGTGGAGCTCTTCCAAGAGAGCAAGCGCGCTTCAAGAGAGTTGATGATGATTTCAGGTGAGTTTGTTTTTAAAGAAATGAAATGTTTAAAATATTGATATCTTTGTAGACTTCTAGATTAGAGATATTACATTCATAGAAATATACAGCACAGAAGAAATATACAGCACAGAAAAAAACATTGTGACTCACTGAAAGAGCTATCCATTTAATCCCATTCTCCTCCCTTTTCGCATACGTTTTATTTTTCTGCTTTCCAAGATCCGATTTATCTAATATTATTATAATTATGCATATTACATTCTGTTCTTTCTCACTTTGTTTTACACAAAGTAATATAGCAGTTCAGAATTAAGATATGCAATAGATAATATATTATTTTACCATAATAATGTGTAATTCTAATAAAACAGATTGCTTGTAGAATGTGTCTATCCAAATGGCCATTGGAGTTCATGCAGACTACGTATAATCTTGGGATTTCCCACATCAAGTTCTGAAATTCTCACAAGTTTCCACTAGCTCCCTATCCTCCACTAAATTAATGAAGATCTAATTTCACATTTCATCAGGCTCCTGCTCCATCTTATCTGATGCTCCTTCCAGCATTACTCCCCCACAATCTCTCTGCTCTGCTAACTCGAGTGTGTTGCATGTTCCCTGCCCTTTTTATCCCATCATTGCCAGGTGAGTTTTCATCTATTTTATCCCCCTCTCTAGAATTTTCCTCAAATCCCTCTGGCTCATACCCTCCCATTTTGAGTTCAAAACCCTTCTAAAAACCTCTTTTGACTGCATCTGTGGTCACTTCCTCCTTTTCTCACCATCTCTCTCTCTGTATGGGCTCCCATTCTTTGTCACTGTACAGCACTTTGAGCATAAGGGGCTATGTAGTGCAAATTGTTGTTGATAATTAATCCATGTCATGGAAATAGATCAGTGTGCTTTATTTTCTCCAGATCAATCATGGCAGATGTTCAGAGGGATAACCGTGTAACGTCTCTCTGTGCTCGTGCTGGCATCAGACACTCTCTCATTACTATATTAGACCAATTGCAAAGATGCCAGAAGTCACTTAATGAATTTCTGGAGGTAATACTTTGCAGTCGTTGATGATGAAAACCCGGGTTAGCATGTCATATTGAGTTGTCAAGTGCTTTGGGACGTGCTCCCAACAGGAAAAACACTGTATAAGTGTAAATTGTAAAAGCAAAATATTTACATTCAAGTAATTATCAGTACTGTATTTTGTGACAAATCTTTTTAATATTCTAATTTTTAACATAGATTTTTTAAATTACTTTTTATTTGCGTTCGCCCACAAATATACAGTCAATTCACTTTACAGTGTGTTCTCTGAAGCGCTTTGGGACGTCCTCCCGACGTGAAAAGCGCTGTATCAAATGCAAGGATTATTATTATTATTATTATTTTTCAAGATAAGAGGAACCCATTTGTCTTATCATATCAGAAATTGTTCCGTGTGTTTATGTTTATGTACTACACTACCAAACAAAAATCTCTTCAAACCGCAGATATTACAACATTTTCCAAATGTTTCCTGATTAATGAAGCTATTAGTATATAAAACATAACATGCTGCATAATATGTACATTTTAAATTATAAAAGCATACAACATACTATTGAACTAGCAGGCACAATATATTACAGAATCAATGACAACACACTTAACAATTAGTTTACTTTTTTGTTTGCAAATCTTATTCAGTTAAACATGTATGCAGTGCTTGTTGATGTCGTCTTTCCTGTTTCAAGCTTGTGTTGGATCCAGGTCATTGACAAATGGGCAATTTGTTTTGAATTTGCTGCCGTTTTTATATCAAGAAGCCTTGTGCTACAGTCTGGCGCAGTGGTAGCACTCTTGTTGTGGGTTCAAGCCCCACTTCGGGACTTGAACTTGCATAGCTTAAACTGACCCCCAAATGCAGCGTTGGGAGAGAGTTGCATTGTTGTAGGTGCAGCCCTTTGGATGAGCCGTTAAACCAAGGTTCTGTCTACCTGTTCAGGTGGACCTAAAGATCCCATAGCACTATTTGAAAGAGGAGAGTTTCTCCCTGTGTCCTGGCCAACAATCCCTCAAATAAAATTGTTCATTTGCTTCATAGCTGTTTGTTGGATAATGCTGTGCAAAAGTTGGCTGTCGTGTTTGCCCACAAATAGACAATCATTTCACTTCACAGTAAATTCTGTGAAGCCTTTGGGGTGAAATGTGGTAGTGATGATGATTATTATAAGAGATAATGGGTATCAAATAATCTCACTTTAAATATATAGTTTACTTGATTTATCAAACTTTACTGGTCTGCATATGATCTGTAGAAACCCGAGGTTGCAAACCAGTTATATTTGATTGGACAAAACCTCATCCATCTGGGAGAAAGTGGATAATACTGAGTAACATAATTTATACACAGCAGTTGTATCCATTTATTTGCTACATTATTCAAATACATAGTAATTGTAAAATACAATATAACAAAGAATGTCAGCAACATTTTAATAATGTTTTGTATCATGATGAGAATAAAATAGTGGAGAGAAATTCCTGAATTGTGATGCATTGTTTAATGGTAATGGGAAATGCACTTTTTATGTTAAAATAAACAAAAGTTATAGATTGCAGAATTGAAAATGCTCCAATTGCATAGATTTTTGAAGGTATACATGTTTTGAACATGATTCTTATGCATTATCTGGCAATATGAATCATTGTTGTAGGTCCTTGTTTTGATGGTAAGTTTGTAAAAACATTTTCCTTGCAGGAAAAGAGATCAGCATTCCCACGGTTTTACTTCATTGGTGATGATGATTTACTGGAAATTCTGGGACAGTCAACCAATGCTGCTGTTATTCAATCTCATCTTCGAAAGCTCTTTGCTGGTACGGCTTTAAATACTGTAACTTTTTTGTTGTCACAGTTCACGCTTATGCATTCTTGTTTTTATCATTAGTTAATCGATTATCCTTCAAGGTTCAATTTTTTCCAGAATGTGAGCAGTGACTGCATGTTATTATGTGAAATTAAAGGCTGTTCAGTTCTCACTAAACTTGATATCGTAAGATTGTTCAATATCCAAGAATGTCCATCAAATTCTTATGTTCTGATCCACTGTACTATTCCTTTATGGGATTTTTAATTGCAGCTGTGAGAAAATAGTTGGGTGGGTGTCCCAACGAAAGTGTGGCAACTGCCATGCTGATGTTAAGTAATACATGCTAGCACCTTACATCAAAGGCAGAACACCAGTATTTTAATAATAATTGCATTTGATATAGCCTTTTTCATCTCATCAAAGCAAATTCTATTCATAAGAAAAAGGAAGTAGAGTCCTGTAGCGTATTCGTTAGGACACACTTTAAGCAAATTTCCTTACTCCCTACGCTTCGATTTTCCTAGCAGTAAGAAGGAACCCAGTTTTAGTTGATTGGCAGATAGTAATAAATTATTAAATTCATTATTATTAAAGCAGGGATAATAATCCATTGAAAAATTGGTCACTCAATCCACGACTGTTTGTAGGACACTACTGTGCAATTAACTACCACGTTTCGCCCACAAAATACACAGTCAATTCACTTACCAGTATATTCTGTGAAGCGTTTTGGGACGTCTCAATTTTGTAATAAGGCGCTATATCAAATGGAAAGATTACTGTTATTATAAGTACCACTGGCAGCTATTCAGTGCAAGGCAGTAATCTGTGCAAGACATTGTGGGAATAAACCCACATTTTACTGGGATACAAATTAACTTGTCTGTGTTTTCTTGTGGTCTTTATTAAAATGATCATCGCGTACTAGACACATGCAGAAACCCAGCACCCTGCTTAAATGTTTCCAAAGTTAAGTTCTGAGATTTCTATTTATAAAGTGATTTAGTTATGAAACAAATATATAGCAGGAACAAAAAAAGTAAGATATTACTCCTTGAATTTAGATATTGCAATCCTCTTTCACAACTGTCAATGTGGTGATTAATGTTTTTAATACGTTTTGCATGTATAACTTACTGTGTTTAGGCATTAACAGTGTGGACTTTGATGATGGATTTCAATACATTACTGCAATGAAGTCTCTAGAAGGTGAAGTTGTGCTTCTGAAAAATAAAATTCACATCACAGATGATGTTGAGGTAAGAATTCTTTGATTTTCTGCTGACAATAGAAAATCTAATTCATCTCTTATTTGTGTTATAAATCTAATCTTTACTCTTTGTCTCTAAGGTTTGGCTCAGTAATTTAGCTAAAGAAATGAAGGAAACTCTGAAGTACTTGTTAGTTGAATGCATTACTGCTGGGAAAAAGTCAAGAGGTGCCATTGATCCATCGCACTTCCCATCACAGGTACTGCATTTATTGTGACTACAGTGTTTTTTTATTTTTTATTTATATTCTGGTCTTGTCTGTGAGCTAACATTTCACCACAAATTGTTTCCATTCCACTAATTCCAGAATAAGTGCAAATGTATTTGTTTCAAATAAAACTCATGGCATGAGAAACCTATGACATACAAAATTTCCAAGGAATTTGATTCCCAATTTATACTGTGTTGCTTCCAGGATTAAGATGTTTAGGAGAGCCTCATTTTGCTTCCTGCTCTTAATCACATTGGTTAGGTTTGAAGAGAATTCTGCCCTTGTTCAGAACTACAAATTTGCACTCTAAATTGTAGCATTTCTTGATGGATTTCTTTATATGTGTAATTATTGAATTTAATTAAGCATGGTGCGGTTTTAGAAATTTGACAATTACGTATTTCATATTAGGAGTACCATTAGTTGGACCCCATTATATGTTTTATTTTCTTAAAGAGCCTGTTAAATTGTCCTTTTAAAATGGACTGCCCAAGAACGTTCAAGGGACTATTTCTGCCAAGATCCCAAATCAATTTGTTTAGCCAGAATTTACATTGCGTTAGTCCAAAACTACTCCCATTAAGATAGTCTCATCAGTTCTCTTCCAGTGAGATTTGGTTTATGCTTTTTTTTTTCAAAATTTAAAATAATGATAGTAATAATCCTTGCATTTGGTATCACGCTTTTCACGCCTCGAGGACAACAACAACAACTTGCACTTATATAGCGCTCTCCATGCAGCGTAGCGTCTCAGAGTGCTTCATAGTGGCGGAGGCTGACTCCAAGCTGGGGGGAGAGGACAGGTGGCCGTAAGTACTGTCGAACAGAAAACTTATCAGGTGGGACTTGAAAAAGGGGAGTAAGGGGGCAAGGCGGAGGGATTGTGGGAGTGTGTTGCAGTGTTTTGGGGCATAGTGGCTGAAAGCATAACTTCCGATGGTGGGGTGGAGTGTGCGAGGGACAAGCAAGGGGCCGGTGCCAGTTGAGCAGAGGTCCCGGGTGGTGAAGTGGGGAGTAGGAGATAGGGAGGTGCCAGGAAGTGAATGGATTTGAACATGAGTGTGAGGATCTTGACGTTGATTCGTTCAGTGATGGGGAGCCAGTGGAGTCTGGCCAGAACTGGTGAGATGTTTAGTCCGGGTCAGTATGTGGGCAACAGAGTTCTGAGTCAGCTGGATCTTGTGAATGGTGGAGCTGGAGAGACCGGTGACAAGTGCGTTGGAGTAATCCAAGCGGGAGGTGACAAACGCATGCACAAGGGTTTCAACTGCATTTGGGGTAAGGTAGGCGGGCAATGTGGCGGAGGTGGAAGAAGGTGGTCTTGGTCAAGGACCGGATGTGGGGGAGGAAGGACAGTTGGGGGTCGAACTCGATACCTAGGTTGCGTACTGGTTCGGTGAGTCTGAGGGAGAGCCCAGGGAGGTTGAGGAGTTTAGATCTGCAGGAGTGAAGATGTTGATGGGAGCCAAGGAGTATGGCTTCCGTCTTGTTTTGTTTACACTCATCCAGACCCTGATGTCTGCCAGACAAGCTGATAGAACATTGGCGGACCTGGGGTTGGTATTGGAGGAGGCAAAGTAGATTTGTGTGTCATCCACATACACGTGGAAGTTTACCCCGTGTTTGTGGATGACATCGCCCAGAAATGGCATGGCAAGTTGTGTCATTACTTGAATCATTCTTCTCCAGAGACAAGTTTTTGATATAGAGTTCATGTAGAATAAACAGCAACAATAGTTTACATTTATAGCCTTTCACTTTGGGAAGACATCTCAAAGCACTTCATGCAGAAGCCTGTTCTGGGGAAAGCCAGGGAGGAGAGGACGTCCCAAAGTGCTTCACGATAAAGTGATTTACTGTGAAGTGAATTGACTGTGTTTGTGGGCGAACTATAAACCAAGCATAATACAAATTATTTCCCAATAAACTGGTAGTAATGAAGTCCCTCGCCATTAATGTTCCAATGGATACATCGGTCTATGAAGTTGGTGGTGAGCTTATTGCTAGTTGGCTTGTGTTCTGAAAGGCAGCAGCACAAAACTGCAATGATATAACCATAAAATACTACTGTGTGTGTATATTTTAAAATGTACCAGAATAATTTCAAAGCAGTAATATAATTTTGATGGTTACTGTGTCAACTAAAACCATTAATTACATTACTGCCTTGTAATCATCTATGAAAATAAGCTTTTAGGGCCAAAGTAATGTGTAGCAAGTACTTGCTAACGTCATCCATTTTTAGATTAAAGACCTAATTTGGGGTCTTGTAATTAGAAATGTATGAAACTTAGATAAATATTTTCTAGTTCCAGTGGTTGCTCTTCCAATTTGTTTATGCATTTATAAAACCTCATTACTCTTATGTTCTCAGATCCTCTGCTTGGCTGAGCAGATTCAGTTCACGGAAGGAGTTGAAATTGCCATTCAAAATCAGAAATTGCAACAGCTGGAGTTAGAACTGCTGGCGAAACTGGAGAACTACACAAGTATAGACACCTACAGTGATGCAATAGGGACAGTTGGTAAGAATCCACTGTTCATGCGCTTACACTGTTTTCTTATTACAAAAGTAGTACAGTATGTATTTTTCAGGATTGAAAAAATGTAGGATTTATCATCATAAATTAATAATTTATCTCCTTACGAATATTCTTAAATAGCAATAGATTATTTCAAGTGGTCATCGAGTCAGTAAGTCAGTAAGATGATTACAGATGATTACAGATGATTACAGAGGGAGAAGCAGAAATGTGTAATTCTATGCCACAGAGAGTTGTTGATGCTGAATCTACAAAAATGTTTTCAAGATGAATTGCAGAGGTGCTTGAAAAAGAGGAATATTTAAGGAAATGGAGAGCAAACAATAGAGTGGGATTAGATAAAGTGGCTCTTGTAGAGAAAAACACTACTGTAGACATAATAGACTGAATGATCTGTTTCTCTGCTTTACAATCCGTTCTTCCACTCTTGTGTAAAATACAATACTCAAAGGAAGGCACTTTGAGGTATACTTATGAGACTATGCATCATCAATGTGTTTTCTGTCTTCATATATGCATGCCATTTACACATAGAACGTTCTCTGTGTCTGGAATACACACTCCCCCAGAGGGATGCACCCTTCTTACTTAAATCTGGAGAGTATTGGGCACAGGTTGACAAGAGACAGGCTTGAGTGTGCATTGGGGTATTGCTGTAGTTTAACAGCTAAAAATTGCATAGCTTGCCAATGAGAACACTTGTCTAGCAAATCCCACTGCTTGTCCAGCTAGGACCATTCTATCCTGCCTGTTATAGCTTTGGCTTGCAGAGGTTTTGGGAGCCGAGTGGGAAGAATTCCTGCTCCTAGTGAAGTGTGTGTGGTATGGATGTGCATTTTCTCCCTAGAGGGATGCACCCTGCTTTTCTAATACCAGAGAGTATTAGGTGCAGGTTGGCATGAGCCAAGTTGTATTATTACTTGAATCATTCTTCTCCTGAGCCACGTTTTTGATATAGAGTTCATGCGGAATAAACAGTAAACAACAGTTTACATTTATAGCCTTTCATGTTGGGAAGACATCTCAAAGAACTTCACCCAGCTGACTAGAAGTCTGTTCAGTGCTTTGGGACATCCTCCCAACATGAAATTGCGCTCTATAAATGTCATTTTGTTGTTGTTCTGGGGAAAGCCAAGGAAGATGGCCAAAAGCATCCCTGAAGAGGTGGGGCTTAAAGGTCCGTAACTCTGGCTGTCCAGCGCCTTGGGATGTCCTCCCGATGTGAAAGGCGCTTTATAAATGTAATTTTGTTGTTGTTGATGTTTTGAAAGATTTGAAAGACCTTGAATCACTTTTCAGAGAAACAGGGTGGGAGGTTAATGGAGGGAGGTTTTTAGACAGGTTTTGAAAACAGGAGGAAGTGTGGAGGTGCTTTCAAATTATTCTTGTACATTTTAGAATAAACACACGCAGTACTGTTCTATGGTTACATAACTGCAGTTTTTGTCTTTTAGTACACAAGCCAAGTATCAACAAGCTCACTCAGCTGTATAGAACCACTTAAAAATTAATGGCAAGGGACCTCATTACGGCCAGTTCTGCTTGGTTTACAGTACGCCCACAAAAGGATTTTGGTAGGGAGTTCCAGAGAGTGGGTGCATAGAGGCTGAAAGTTCAGCCAAACGTGGTGGGACAGATGGGACGTGAATCAGGCCTGAGTTTGTGAAGAGTTTGCATAATTTACAGAGTTTCAAACTTAAATGTTTCTTTTTTAAAAATATGAAACTACTCCCAATTACATAATTCACAACGTTTGGAATATTAAACAACACAAGATCCTAATTTCTAGCAATATTTAACTTTACCTTACATGCAGACAAATGATTCATTGTAGCTGTTAAACCCATTTTTTTTTGCATGATAGGTGATAAATTTGTCGGTTTGAACAACTGTTTAGTTTTTTTGTGTGTTTGCAGAGACCAACATCCTGGAATTGAAGCTCAAAGCCCTGATTCTTGACATAATTCATAATATAGAAGTGGTTAAGCAATTAAATCAAGCGCAGGTTTCCACCTGTACAGACTGGACTTGGAGGAAACAACTTCGTTTCTACATGAAATCCGATAACAATTGTCACATACACATGGTGGATGCCGAATTTCACTACACTTATGAATACCAGGTACTTCTTTATTAATCTGCAAATAGAGATATTGACAGTGAAGTAAACCTCATTTAAAGCTCTTGCCTTTTGGAACTCTACAAATAGTGGTTTATAAATTGAGTTTGTAAATCAGGCACATTTCGTCTACAAAATCCACAGTCATAAAACACATTAGAGTAAACCCTGTGAAACTCTTTGAGATGTTTTGATGACATGATAAGGTGCCAAATCAAATGCAAGGAATATTATTTATTATTATAAAGAATGTGTGTCAAACCTTGTTCTATTAAGAGTATAAAGAGTATAGAGGCAATCAAATCTGCTCTCTACAGCCCCAGTTAGAATAGATGGGTGATGTGATATGGATGCCCCATTTTACAGTCAATTCACTTTACAGTGTGTTCTGTGAAGCGCTTTGGGACGTCCTCCTGACGTGAAAAGCGCTATATCAAATGCAAGGATTATTATTATTATTATTACTCATCTCATAATCTTCTTTGAAATGACAACTTGCATTCATATAGCACCTTTCATGTAAAAGAACATCTCAAAGTGCATGATTAATTTAGCGATGGGCATCAGTATCTTTAAATACGACAATTAAAGATGTTGACTGAAGACCCGATTAAAGAGGCATGTTTTAAATTTATGAAGACAGGAAGAGAGTGACCAACATAAAGTGGCTTTGGAAGAGAGTTCCAGACGATAAGGACATGATATTTCTTTCTTCCTCACTCTCCATCAAAAAAAAGATTGATTGCCCTCTCAGTTGCTGTTTGTGGGACGTTGTTGGTGCAGATTGGCTGCTATATTTACTTCAATAACAAAAGTAATTGGGCTTCAAAGTAACTTATTGTGTGAAAATCTTTGATACATTTCACTATAAGCCTGTATATTAAATGCAAGCGTATATTCCTTGATAAAAAGGACATTGATGTGAAATAACTATATGATATTGTTTGTATTATTGTTTATTGACAATACTTTGTCCTTTGTGAATTCTACAATAGGGTAATGCTCCAAAACTGGTTCATACTCCTTTAACAGACAAGTGCTACCTGACTCTCACCCAAGCCATGAAGATGGGCCTTGGTGGAAACCCATACGGGCCAGCTGGTACTGGCAAGACGGAGTCTGTGAAGGCACTAGGTGGATTATTTGGTAGACAGGTTCTTGTTTTTAATTGTGATGAGGTAATTTGTTTTTAAGTTTTAGTTTCAAGTTGTTTTACAGATGCAGTATGCATACATTGCATACTATGTGTACTGTACGTTGTATTGTTGAATGTACATTGTAGCATTATGTTTGGAACCAGATGTGCACTTGTACGTGGCTTAGAAACAACCATAGTAGCTTGAGTAAATGAATGTTTGAACCTTAAAACCTGTTTAAAATAGACATTTGCAATATTCTAACGTAAATGCTGTTCTGTAAAGTTATTTTCATTGATTTTCATTTCACAAAATTCTGCCTTGAATTGCAGCATAAATGCATTTGGTTTAGGAAATCTGAAATTTGCCATACTGGCTCTAGTTTGGTGACATCCCAGGTAATAGTTGTTTGAGGATTGGATATGGAACAAGGTGGTTTGAGTTCAAATTTCAGTGTTTCACCTTTTCAAGGTTGATACATAGACTGCAGGCAGACTGTACACTATGGAAACGGGACATTCAACCCATTCAGTCCTTGCCGGTATTTATACTTCACATGAGCCTGCTAAAAGAGTAACTTGAATGGGGGAAAGTTAGGTGAGGTCTCCCTTGAACAGAATTAGTTAGACGATACTAAGATCAAAGAGGGATCTCCCATAGGAGTTCTCGGAGCAAATAGATATACTTAGCTTCCCAGAGCTGTTAATTGTGGAGGCTCCTTAGATAGAAGCTAAGCTCGACCCTTGGATGGGTCCAATGGTAAAGGTTTCTGGTCCGCATGGTTTTTGCAATCATTTTAATGTTAATTTTGTATTGTTAAATCATACTAAAGCAATTCTCCCAGCCTCTTATATAGCCAGAAACTGCCGGCTTAATTTTGGTCAACATGTGAACATAATGCAAGCAGGGTCCTGATACATCATCTTAAATGGGAAAGATCAAGTCCTCTGTTGTTACAGTGCTTTGGTATCTCAGTGACTGAAGGGCTTTTATCCGAATGCTATATATATATATCTCGAGTAGAAATCTCTACCTCCTCGTCCACCTTCTGTGGTTGTTAAGATTTGTTGCGTTCTAAATCCTTTATCCACTGCATCAACCTGCTTGTCCTGGCCTTTACCATCTTTCCTGGCAACCTGTCCCAGTCTGTGGAAAGAAAAACATCTGGGTATCTATCCTCAAATTGCCCTTTACAACTCGAAACCTACGTCTTCTTGTTCTATTGTCATGATTTCATTCTAAAATATTTATCCAGATTTACCTTTTCAATCCAATTAACATTTTGTAATTGTGTCCCGAAGTAGCAAATAATTTATCAGTAAAGATTATTGAAGCTATTGTACATGAAATAGGAACATTTAGAATAGTTGCAAGAGCCATGTGAGTATATCCACTTTTAGCTCACAGATTCCAGCATTCAGCAGTCATGTGTCTGAACCAGTGAGGTTTATCAGATTATTTGTAAAACCAGGGCAAATTGAATTTGTGCAGGGATTTTAATGTTTTGAGTTGTCTGTGATTCCAGATCTGGTCAATTGAAAGTAGGTTTTCTCAGTTTTTGAGAGGAAGCATGGGTTTAGTTAGATCCAGGATTTGATCTTTTCTAACAGATTTTATTGTTAGTTTATTATATTTCCTTACACACTCTGTCAGAGAGACCTAAGCAGGTGAGAGATGGACAGTAGTTTACTAGTACCTATTTTCCAGACTTGAGGCACTAATCCCTTATATATTATGAAGGTTTTATGTGTATATTGATTGTGCTTTGTATGTGTCCTTTTTAGTGGTTTCGATTTCAGCTGGGAATTAATAATGGCACTATGGCTATTGTGGGGGCTTATTGATCTAAACTTAGGCAGATGTTATCACACCTCCAGCTCCAAAAGTCTATTATGACAGATGTATTAGATTCTCCCAACTTCGATTCAAATAATATTTTAACAATAGCAACTTGCATTTATATAGTGACCTTCATGATGGATAATGTTTGAGAGTGCTATACTAGGGGAAGGTTTGGAGGAGGAAGAAAAGGGATGGTGGGGGAGGGGGCAGGGGGAGAGAGAGAGAGATCCTGACCATAGGCATGCTCAAAGAGGTAGGTTTTAAGATTGGGAATTAAAGATGGATAAAGAGACGAGGGATTTGAGCCAGGGAGTTCCAGAGTTTAGGGACATAGTGGCTGAAGGCACTGCTATCGATGGTGGCATGGGGGGGTTGGGGGATGTGCAGCAGACCTGTGTTAGCTGAGCGGAAGGAGTGAGCAGAGCAGTGGGGTATAAGCATTTTAACTGTTCATTGTTCCCACATATGTAAAATTTGATGAGTAACTTGTCGCTCTCTTGCCTTCCAAAAAATCTGTTAAATTATTTTGATCTCTCTAATTTAAGGGTATTGATGTGAAGTCTATGGGTCGAATCTTTGTTGGTTTGGTAAAATGTGGTGCCTGGGGCTGCTTTGACGAGTTCAATCGCTTGGAAGAAGCTGTACTGTCTGCTGTCTCTATGCAAATCCAGGCCATTCAGGACGCTTTGAAAAATCACAAGCGTTTTTGTGAGCTCCTTGGGAAGCAGGTATGACATTTTGGTGTTTGTGATTTGGATTTATAGGTTCATTATAACAATTCTTAATACCTACTTCATCTCCAATTTCAGGTTGAGCTGAATCCCAATTCTGGAATATTCATTACCTTGAATCCTGCTGGAAAGGGTTACGGAGGGCGACAGAAACTTCCTGATAACCTGAAACAACTTTTTCGGCCTGTTGCCATGTCTCGGCCTGATAATGAATTGATTGCTGAAGTGATTCTTTATTCAGAAGGATTTAAAAATGGCAACATTTTGGGAAGAAAATTAGTCGCTATATTTAATCTGTCCAAGTAAGAAATAAGATATATAATATGATTCTTACTTGTCACAGTTGAAACTGAAGTACAAATCTATCTTGTATAATTTATTTGGATTAGCCGGGTGTCTGCCGCATATCGAAACCCATCCCCATGCTTAGGAGAATCCAAACCAAACAGAGTTTTATGCATTTCACCTACACGTGGAAATTCACATGTATAGGAATGGAATTCACTTTCTCTTTCTCTCTCTCTCCCTGGAGGGACACATCCTGCTTACCTGATTCCGGAGAGTATCAGGTTGGCAAGAGCCAAGGCTTGGGAACCCCACACTCTGCATTGGGATACTGCTGGAATCTAACCAGATAAAACCACATAGCTTGCAATTGAGAGCACTGCCTGGCAAGCTTTACCACTGCTTGTCTAGTGATATTGGATATTGTCTAACATACATCCACCTAATATAGTCTAAGCATCTCATTTTACAAAGTATGAATTCATCTCTAATAAAGATTGTTCATCAAAAATTTGCATGGATTTGGGGAGAGTGCGGAGGAGTGGGACTGAGGAGTGGCTCTTCCAAAGAGCCGTCATAGGCACGATGGGCCGAATGGCCTCCTTCTGTGCTGTAATATTCTATGAAAACGTCTGGTTTAATTTCAGAAAATTTCTATTTATTCTTCCATAGTAACATATTTGCTAAGTTAAATGAAGTGCTTCAAATTTTGTTTCAGGGAACTTCTGACACCACAGCAGCACTATGATTGGGGTCTGAGAGCACTGAAGACAGTCCTTAGGGGATGTGGAAATCTCCTTCAGCAGCTAAAGAAGAGCAAAGGAAAAAGTATGAACTGTTTTAACAGTTTTTTTTTTACCCTTTGTTTAATTTAAATGTTTTAAAAATATGTGGCTAACTTTTGTTTTAAAAATAATATGCCGACTCCCTCAATGTAGGGCATACCCGCAGCACTGAATTGGAGTTTTAATCTATACTGTAAGTTCAAATTCCTAACATGGGGCTTGAGCCCACAATCTCCTTATTCAGAGATGAGGGCTACCAACAGAGCCAGGCTGACAACAAACATAAAATATAGCCTAAAATTGGCAGAAAATAGAAAACTGAAAAGTAGTCTCCAGTCAAATTTAGGCCATAAATACTGATCTTGTATCTTTATAAGATCTAGATAGTTTTTGGTGGATCAAAGTAAAACATGAATATGTTATTATTGAATAATACTATTCAGAGTAGTCTACTCAATGTTACATTTGATTTTCTATATAATTCAATTAGCTGTTTCTTTTCTACAGAATAGCAAACCAGATACTTTCAACCACTCAGTTTATATGATGCTTTGTTCAGAGAGATTTGCAGTGATCTGACTGCGTGGTTTTCAGGTGTAAATTGCTGAATTTGAAGTACAGAGCCTAATAATAATAATCCCTCCAAAACCAAAAACAATAATAAATTGGTCATTTTCAATCTACGACTGTTTGTGGGACATTGCTGTGCGCAATTGGCTGCCGCGTTCACCCACAACGCTTTGGGACGTCCTCCCGACGTGAAAAGCGCTATATCAAATGCAAGGATTATTATTATTATTATTACATTTCCAGGAGCATTATTTGCAAAGAATTTGTACCACTTGTAAAATTATTATAAGTACAAAATATTTAATATACATTTAAATACCTCTTTCAACAAAAGCACAAGTATATTTTTGGTGATAGCATATTAGTGGAAATTTGAGAATGCTGACAATTTTTTTTATATAATTGGCTAGTTTTTTGAGTGCAGGGTTAGGATTATTATTCTATTGTGATATTATCATGATCGGTCATAATTTTATTACACATGCTTGTATTGTGTAAATAAGAATGCTATCAAAAGACAAAATATCCAGTCATGTTATATCCTGTGAAGCGCTTTTTGAGATGTCCTTCAAACATGAAAGACACTACACACTATATCAAATGCAATTTTTAAAAAAGTTGGAATAATCTTTGACCCTGAAAAAGAAAGGCATTGACATATTTCCAATTGTTTTCTCTGCTTTTCAGTTGATGAGAGTCATCTTGTAGTGCAAGCTTTGCGTCTTAACACAATGTCAAAACTGACATTTGCTGACTGCACACGATTTGATTCTTTGGTGAAAGATGTTTTCCCTGGTATTGATTTTAAAGAAGTTGAATATGCAGAACTGACTGCAGCTCTCCATGAGGTCTTTGAGGAGGCAAACTTGGAAATCATACCCAACCAGGTAACAGAAGCTAAAAATACTGATAATTATTTACGATACCCTTTGTTTGTGATACAGATTATTCTGCCAGAATGTGGAGTCCTGTAGCTCAGTGGTTAGAACACTCTTCTCGCAAGTGAGAGACCTGGGTTCGATTCCCGTTAGGGAATGCCACGTTTTGCCCACAAATATACAGTCAACTCACTTTACAGTATATTCTGCGGTGTGCTTTGAGATGTCTGGAAGATGTGAAAAGCGCAATATCAAATGCAAGGATTATTATTGTTATTGTATCAGAGAAATATAAATCAACTAAGCACATTATAGATTAAACATTTCAGATTTGCATATAAAATCATTAAATCTGTTTTGAATTCTAAAATGTGCTTAATTAAATCAATGATTCACTGGAGCATTTTTATAGTACTACTATTGCATGCTAATCTGGGGTGCAGTTTATTTAATGCATATTCCAATTAACAGTTAGCAGGGCTTTGAATTTGGTGTGGTGTGTATTTAAACTTAGAAAACTGTGGTTAATTTTACACGAATGAATAAGATTCAACAATCTTTGAAAGTGTTTAGTCGGCACATGTATAAATTATATTTGAAAAGACTGATTCAAATACTATCGAATTGCACACTAATGTTTCTGCTGAATACAATTCATTCTTTAAAAAGAAAGCTACAGATGGTTTGTATTTATAAATTTTTATTTTGTGTTTTTCCAAGAGCATCCAAAATTATTTCACCTCCCCAAACAGGCTTGGAGAGAGAATTTTTTCTATTCAAAGTTGCTTGAATGACATCCATTACACTTGGCTTTGAAAATTGACTGACAGCTCAATTTTTGTGTCAACTCAGGCAGCGGATAGTTTAGGGAAAGCTGTCTGTTTGACAGAATCAGGCTACTCTCCACAGAATTAATGAGCTTTTCGTTACTATCAAGATTTAGGAAACTGCTTACTATATTATGTTCTCCAGAATCAAAATCAGATCGTGCATTACTTTGCTAAAAATGTTTTCCAGATCAAGAAGACTTTGGAACTTTTTGAGCAGCTGCGCCAAAGAATGGGAGTAGTTATTGTAGGCCCCAGTGGGGCTGGAAAATCAATACTGTGGCGGATGCTACGGGCAGGTCTGGGTAAAATTGGCAAAGTAGTGAAGCAATATACAATGAACCCCAAAGCCATGCCACGAAAGCAGCTCCTGGGCAACATTGACATGGATACCCGCGAATGGTCTGATGGTGTATTAACTAATAGCGCTCGACAGGTTGTTAGAGAACCCCAGGGTAAGAAATCGTAATGGAACTTTTATAGTTTTATAAGCAAAGAAAGTTGTATGAAATTCTTCTGTTTTCTTGAATTGTGTAGCATTACAGATTACATGATACAAATTGGGTTACATAATCCTTACAGATACCTACAGGAATTCACAATTATAACACAGTTCAGAAGATTTGTTGTTACTCCATGTCATTAGTTCAGGTAGACAGGGATGGGTAGGGAAACTTGACAGGCATGAAATGGCTTGAGCCCTTATCCTCTTGACTGTTCAGGTGAGTAGGGAGATTGTTTACATGTATTGGTTGGCCTTTCAGTTTTAACATTTGAGGCAAAAGAGTTAAAGCGGGGTTGTTTGGGCAAATATCCCACTGGTTGCATGGTTGCTTGTGTATATGTATCACAAAAATGGTGATTGGATTTTTTTTTAGATAATGAAATAGAAAGTTTATGGAATTTAATTTGTAATGAACACTTTTATATTCACTTATTTGAAAGCCTTATGGTCTTTTCAATTATCATGATGGTGCTTTACACAGTAAGGGACCAGACCTTCCATCCATACTATTAACATCACCATAAACGTTCCCTACATCTATAACCAAGATTCATTTTCCATGGTCCTCTACTTTTGACCATCTATATGACCCTTTTAATGATATCAACTTTAGGAATAGTCCATTTCCACATGTACACAGAGCCCAATCTGTCTCTCTGCCTCTACCCTCGATTACAGGACCATTGCTGTCAGACATCAAGTCCTGGAAGAGTTTTAACTTTCTGAGTTCAGTGTCAACTAGACTAAGGCGCTTCTGTCAGTGTCTTCTCACCTCAAGCACCAACTATATCGACTTGCATGGATTCTCACTCCGCTTCATAGAGGTGGTTCAAAACATTGGTACCTTGTTTGACCTCCAACTGTCTTCAAACCCCACGACCACTCTCCTTCGCTTGATTTCCCTCATCTCTGCAACATCACTTGTCTCCCGACTCTACCTCTCCCCCAGGCTGCTGAGACTCTCATTCATGCCTTCATCACCTCTAGGTTTGATTATAACAATTCTCTGCTCACTAGACCTGCCAGCTCCTCAGACCATGCAGGACCCTGCAGCAGCCGGTGTCCTCTCCTGCACCAGGCCCCTGAGTCCATAATCCCTATCTTTGCTCAGCTCTATTGGCTCCCCATGCCCCACTGGACTTAATTCAAGATTCTTGCCCTCACTCTCATATACCTGCATGTGAAAGCTACTACATAAATGTAAAATGTTATATTAAAATATGAGCACAAATTGGACATTATCAAAGTCTTCAATGAACTCTCTTTGTGGGACTAAGTGACCCTGACAGGGACTTTTGTTTCAGAGAAAATAACATGTTGTAGCAAAAGGAACTTTGAAATGTTATGTGAATGATCAGTAGTTACAACCAAATCCTTTTTTGTCTACTCTGCGATCAGACACCCTTTTTTTTACACACAAACGCTTACTTTTTTTTCCAATGTGCACTGCTTTACATTTGTCTGTATTACTGTTATCTTATGTGTTACTTATATTGTTTCTATCATTCTGAGAGGAGATTGGTGAAATCTCTTTGATTGTTGGCTGTATGGCGACATACCATGTTGATCTCTCGCGATCCTGTAGTCTGCAATCTCAGTTAGCTGAGCAGAAGAGGCTAACAGTGGAGTGGGGTAGGAGAACATCACAGAGATAGGGAGGTGTTAGAGCTTGAAGGGATTTTAGGTGAGGGTGAACACCAGTGGAGCCTGGCGAGGGATGTATGGTGTCATTGTTTTGAATAATGTAATGACAATAAATTAATCTGATCTTCATAGGTTGAATCAAGTATTATAAATCTGCAAAAATGTGCAAATATAAATGCAAGCTGTTGTAGTGGCTTAACAATTCATTGAAGAGTACTTTTGTATGTGTTTTGTTAGAGATCCATTCCTGGATAATTTGTGATGGGGATATTGACCCTGAGTGGATTGAGTCTCTGAACTCAGTACTAGATGACAATCGATTGCTCACCATGCCAAGTGGAGAAAGGATTCAGTTTGGACCAAATGTTAACTTTGTGTTTGAAACTCATGATCTCAGCTGTGCTTCTCCTGCCACTATATCCCGAATGGGTATGATCTTCCTGAGGTGAGGACATTAATAGCTTTGACCAAGTTGAGTTTTTTAAAATTTTTATAAACTAAAACCTAGACAACTGAAACTATTATCAGAAATTTCTGTTTGCATGTCTGACTTTGTGACTTCTTGAAGATACTTTACAATGAAGTCTGTTGACTTTCCACATAACTAACTTTAGAAATAGTGAAATTACATTGAACATTAACAAGTTCAACAGACATTTCTTTTCCTTGAGCTTAATTATTCATTTAAATGAAAACGATATACAAGCTGTTTAGAAGTAGATGTTCAGTGCGATTAGTGCAAGTGGAAAATGACAACATGGGTTGTAAGTACTATAACTGGTTGTAAAGTACCACTTGTTCCAATATAGATTTAGTTTAGTTGTAAATCATTATTTATTGTGAACTAAAACTTCTATGATATTAGTTTTTAGTTTTGCCACAACAAACAATTCAGATTTCATTGAATTTTGGTCACATTAATCATACTTTTATATTTTTATCACCAGAGTTCAGAAGTTTATTGATAACTGTATAACTTCCCACTTATTAGAGCAATAATTTTGAATAATTTCAATTAACATCCCTTTTCAGAATTGGAACTTGACACTAGCTTTCAGTATTGCGGATCAGCAGCTTCATCTCAAAGGCAAATGTAATGCATGCCATAAAACTGCTGTGGCTCATTGGAGCAGCGAATGGAGTAAACTACATTGGTGGTAGGACACGTAAATCACTGTTTCACTTGAAAACTGTGTTTGGGGCCCTGGACAGTGATATGGGAGGAGGTGAAAGGGCAGATATTGCATCTCCTGCGCTGGCATGGGAAGGTGCCGGAGGGAGGGGAACAACTGTTGGTGGTGATGGAGGAATGAACCAGGGAGTCATGGAGGGAGGAACGGTCCCTTCAGAATGCTAAGAGGGGAGTGAAAGTTATGTTTGGTGGTTGGATCATGCTGGAGGTGCTAGAAATGGCAGAGAATTATTTGTTGGATGTTGAGGCTGGTGGGATGGAAGATGAGGTCTAGGGGAATCCTATCACTGTTCTGGGAAGAGGGGGAAGGGGTGAGGGCAGAGGTGCAGCAAAATAGGGTGGATATTTGTTGGATGTTGAGGCTGGTGGGGTGGAAGATGAGGTCTTGGGGAACCCTATCACTGTTCTGGGAAGAGGGGGAAGGGGTGAGGGCAGAGGTGCAGGAAATAGGGTGGATACGATCAAGGGCTCTGCTTACTGCAGTGAATGGGAAATGCAGTTTTCAAGTGAGACAGCGATTTACGTGTACTGCCACCATTGTAGTTTACTGCATTCGCTGCTCATGATGTAGTCCCCTTCACACTGGGAAGACCAAATGCAGATTGGGTGACCGATTTGCCGAACACCTCTGTTCTGTCCGCAAGCACAACCCTGAGCTTCCAGTTTCTTGCCACTTCAGCTCTCCTCCCACTCACACTCTGACTTCTCCATCCATGGTCTTGTACGCTGTTCCAATGAGCCATAGTGCAAGCTCGAGGAAGAGCACCTCATTTATCTGCTAGGGACCTTACAGCCCTCTGGCCTCAATATTGATGTAAACATTTTCAGACCATAACAGCTCACCTTCCCCTCCCCCTCTTCTGTGACCATTACCACATCATCTGGGTCACAGACACACCTTTTCTCTCACTGATCTGCCTTGGACCTTCCTGTCCAAGGTCCTTGAAAGAGTTGTCGCCTCCCAGCTGCACTCTTTCCTCTCCACCCATTCATTATTTGAACTCCTTCAGTCGGGTTTCCGTGCTGCCCATAGCACAGAAACCGTCCTGGTCAAGGTCACTAATGACATCTTGACCATCTGCGACCAGGGCTCCCTCTGCCTCCTCGTCCTCCTCGACTGCATTTGATACGGTCGACCACTCTATCCTCCTCCCCCGCTTGTCCTCCCACCTCAACCTTTAAGGCCCTGTCCTTGAGTGGTTTAGGTCCTACCTCTCCCACCATCTTCATTTTGCTTCCACTGTCTTGTGCGGCGTCCCTCAGGGCTCTGTCCTCGGTCCCCTCCTCTTCACCCTCTATATGCTCCCCCTTGGTGACATCATCCGCAGACATGGGGTTAACTTCCACATGTATGCGGCTGACACCCAACTCTACCTTTCCTCCTCTACCCTCAACTCCACGACCACCGATGTCCTGACAGCTGCCTATATGACATCGAGTCCTGGACGAGAGACAACTTTCTTCAGCTCAACGTGCGCAAAACCGAGGCCCTCCTGATTGGCTCACGTCAGCGCCTCCGCACCTCAGGCGCTGACAGCATCAGCATCCAAGGCTGCACTCTCCACATCTCAAAGCCAGTCAGAAACCTCAGTGTCCTGTTCGACCTTGAGCTGTCCTTTCTTCCCCTCCGGAATATCGCCAGACTACGGCACTACCTCACCCCTCACGCTGCTGAAACTCTGGTCCACGCCTTTATCACCTCAAGGCTGGACTATGGGAACTCTCTCCTCGCCGGCCTTCCCAGCACCTCCATCCACAAGCTGCAGGTCATTCAGAACTCTGCAGCTCATGTACTGTCCCGCACCAGGCTTCGGGACCACATCATTCCCACCCTCGCTCGCCTCCACTGGCTTCCCATCCCCCCAGAGGATCAAATTCAAGATACTCATCCTCACCTACAAGGCCATTCACGGCCTTGCTCCCTCCTACCTCTCCGACCTACTATCCCCCTACTTACCCTCCGTTCCTCTGGCTCCGGTCTGCTCCACATCCCCCGTCCTAACCGCCCTACCATCGGTGGCCGAGCCTTCAGCCTCTCAGTCCTTAGGCTCTGGAACTCCATCCCCTAGTGCCTTCGCCGCCTCCTCCCTTTCCTCCTTCAAGGCCGGTCTCAAGACCTTTCTCTTCAACCGTGTCTTCAGCTCCCCTCTCGACTCTCTACCCCCTCCTTGCTGGCTCCCCTCCCTCCCCTCACCCTGACCATTTCCCCCCTGCTCGGGTCCTGACCCAACTGTACAGCGCCTTGGGACGTCCTCCCAACGTGAAAGGCGCTCTATAAATGAAATCTTGTTGTTGTTGTTTTGTTGCAATTCCACCCCCCCTTTGTTTTGCATTATTAACACCTCTATTCCCATTTTGTTGCAATCCCCCCCATTTGTTTTGCATCATTAACACCTCTTTAACCCATCATCCCCTGTCTTCTACCCCATTTTCTCCCTTTTCTTCCTTGCCCTGCCTCCCCCCCCTCTCTGTTAGCCCTTTAAAGCCTCTCGCTCCTAACATGCCTCAGTTCTGACGAAGGATTGTGGACCTGAAACGTTGACTGACTTTCCTTTCTCCATCGATGCTGCCTGACCTGCTGAGTGTTCCCAGAGACTTCTGTTTTTGTTTCTAATCTCTGCACCTTTGTCCTTTTAAAGGATAAAAGGATTTTCTTGAATAGAAACAAATTGTTTCTTAAAGTAATTTTATATTGCATAGAAAGAAAGGCATAGCAATTGTTACCGAACAACTGAACCAGTAAAAGGTCAATTGATAATAACGCCGATTATTCATCTATGTGCACATTGTGAATTGCATTGAGATAAATATAAATTTGCTTTGAGATGGCTGCTGAGAATATTTTCAGAAAGTGGCTTCACTGAAATAAATGAAAACATTGCTTGATTATCCCTCACCCAAAAATCTTGTATTAAAAGCACAATAGGAACACCTCACACATATTCTTGACCATTATTAATAATGGTAAGGAGCTAGTAACAAGGCCAGTATTAGCTTTGTAATTTGGTCAACTGACATGCGAAAATCCATCACCATGAGTATCCAAACTATACTGCAGTCATTAAATGAATGACTAATTTCATTGGGGAAACAATTGGTCTGGACACCAGTAGAAATCCCCTTCTCCTTCCAAATTGCATTAGGTATTGTTTAATGTCCAATTGATCCAGTACACAAGTCTCATCTGAAGAACGGCACCTCTGACAATTCATTGGTCTGCCAACACTGCAGTGTACTGTTGTCTGGACTTACCCTGATGCAGGACTTAAATCCACAATCTTCTGACAAGAATCTATAGTGCAATCAATTGAGCTAAACTGGAACCTAAATTAAAGTAATCTGTATCATGCATTAACCTCTTTTTAGCCGCATCCATGGCTCAAGAATATTTTGCACTTCATGTTGCAACTTATTTTCAAAAATACTATGCAATAAATACATTTTATAAATAAATAATAAAAACAATTCATAAATATTGTATACAAATAATTTATAATTCAGAAATGTATAAATACTCAATTATGTGATTTGTACACCAGATTTCCCAAAATTTAAGATGACTGATGTAATATTCTGTTGTAAATTTGGCGATACAAATCAGAATAAAACCTCAAATTAATTTTATAAAGCCAGAAAAACTGTATCGTTTTCTGATTCTTTGTCTTCTTAGTGATGAAGATACAGATGTGAATTCTTTGGTCAAATCGTGGTTGCGAAATCAACCAGATGAATGTCGGAGCAATCTTGAAAGCTGGATAGGAGACTACTTTGAGAAGGGTTTAAATTGGGTATTGAAGCAGGTGAGTTTGATAGGCAAACGTCCCCTGAAAAAAGATGTATAATCGATTTGTGTACATAGATACATGAACTGTCACTGTTATTGTATGATATCTGGTTGATGCCCGTGCGCCCGTCCTTTGTTCTATTCCTTTTTCGGTCTCCCACTCCCACATGCCACCTGCCCCCCAATGATCCGAAGTGAATTGTGTTCCCCTATAAAACAATCAGATTGATAATAATTTACAATGTATCTTCTTCATGTTGCTAAAAAGTTTTAGTTTGAAATGATTTGTTTGCATCCATTCTTCATTCTGTTGCAGCAGATGTACAATTTATCTAACTGATGATTTAGTCACATTCTATTGGATCATAAGTATATTTGGGGTTTCTAAACTCAGCCAAGCTTTTAAAGTGAGTTATGGTGCATAAATCTTGTGTTTCTCAGAAGATAAGAGGTGATATTGTGGGTGACCATTGTCACCCTGAAGCACTTCCCGATTGCTAAACATAGAATGAGAATTTCGAAACTAGATTAATAGCTACTGAATACGTGTAAGGGTTTAAGAAAAAGTTCAATATTTTCCTTCCACTTCTCATATGAAAAACATACCAGTTATTTCATTATAATAATAAATAATAATCCTTGCATTTGATATAGCACTTTTCACATCTTCTAGACGTCTCAAAGCGCTTCACAGAATATACTGTAAAGTGAATTAACTGTATATTTGTGGGCGAAATGCGGCAGCCAATTGCGCACAGCAGTGTCCCACAAGCAGTTGTGGATTGAAGTGACCAATTTATTATTGTTTTTTTTGCTGAAGGGATTATTATCAGGCGTGTGGAGTAAGGAAACGTGCCCAAGGTTTTGCCCTACTGGAAATCGAATCCAGGTCTCTCGCTTTCAAGGCGATTGCTCTAGCCACTGAGCTACAGGACTCCATTGTCTTTGATTTGCAAAATTAATTTTCCTGCTCTATTTTCAGAATGACTTTGTGGTGGAAACTAGCCTTGTTGGAATGGTTTTGAATGGTTTGTCTCATCTTTATGGCTGTATGGATCGTGGACAGTTCATTGTTGGTCTTATTAGGGGTCTTGGTGGCAACGTTAACATGAAATCACGACAGGAATTTTGTAAAGAGGTATGGAAATTTATTCTAATACCTCTCTGTTTAAAAGAATAGTTTTGTTTATTGGAATTTGAAAAATTATAATGATTACTTTCATTCTAATTAGTCAGTTACAACTACAGTTAACTCAAGTGCTGCGGGATGCTACCCTGCAAGTTGTTGCATGCTCACCTAACACTTGTTCACTGCCGCACTCAAATGATTCATTAATTTATTATAATCCTTAAGTCGTATGGTGCTATCTTGCCAATTCCTATAATAATAACTTTAAAACGATGCTGACTTGTATTTCATGTATTGAATATCTATGTGTGTCAATCAGTAAGTTGAAAACCTTTTATTTTAAACAGGTTTTAAACTGGGCAAGAGAATCTCCTCCAGATCCACATCAGCCTCTCGATACGTATTATGACCGACGCACTGGGCGACTCATGGCATATCAGATGGAGAAACCGGAGAATCTGACTGCTGATGATTTCAGTTGTCCTCAAAAACTTCCTGTCATTCAAACTCCCGATATGCAAAGAGGCCTAGATTATTTTAAACCATGGCTAAATTCCAACAACAAACAGCCATTTATACTTGTTGGACCAGAAGGATGTGGAAAAGGGTAAGATTGTATCTTAAAAAATGATTAACCTGTATATTAATTTCCTGTTGAATTTTAGGCTGCTGTGAAGTTCAAGAAATTTACAGTCTTACAGAACTGGCCATTTTTGGTTTTCACCTAACATTGTGACACTAACACTTACATATTGTATTACAGTTCTAAAGCTACTCAGATGTCAGTGCTTCCAAGTTTGTGAATTGATCAGTGCTATCATTGGGTACACTGTGCATGTGCACAGAAAATCAGATGACAGCTACATGACAGCTACCTAACAAGACGTTTTGGCCTTGCAATACATAATTGAACTTACTCTTACAAAAATTAGATTTGGATGCACTGACATCACAAAATGGTGGAGTTCTTTACGCACTTGCATCGAAGGGCATTATAACGGAGTTCCCCTGTATTTGGCCTTGATTCCATCTCGATTTGATAAAGATTGACAAAATTGATATTAAAACAAATATCTTAATTCATTTGTGTACATTGGAAACTAATAACCTGAATTCAATAATTGAAATTGGTGTCTTACGGTTCATGGAACTGAACTGGCTGAACTGGACACAAACTACGTAACGATAGTGTCCATTTCTATCATTTTATAGCAACATGCTAACATTAAAAGCATAAATATTGCCTTTAAATAATTTAGCACACATATATGTTGCATGCATTGGTTGACGATCTTTCCTTTTATCATATTTTGGTGAAAGGGGCAGATATTTGAAGACAGGAAAAACACAGTTCACATACAATTATACAGGGTAGGGGAGACCATTCGGCCCATTATGTCTGTCCCGGCTCTTTGAAAAGAGCTATCCAAGCCAATCCCTCTCTCCCAATAGTCCTGCAAACTTGTCCTCCCCAAATAACTATCTACTTTTCTCTTGAAAGTTGTTATCGAATCGGCTTCCACCAATGCATTCCAGATCCAAACAACTCACTGTGTGAAAAAATTTCTGCTCACCTCCCCTCTGTTTCTTTTAACAACTATTTTAAATCAGTGTCCTCAGGTTACCGACCCACCCATCAGTGGAAATAGTTTCTCCTTGTTCACTCTATCAAATCCCCTCATAATTTTGAAAACTTCTATTAAGTCTCCTCTTAACCTTCACTGCTCCAAGGAGAATAATCCCAGCTTCTCTAGCCTTTCCTGATAACTGAAGTCCCTCATTCCTGGTACCCTCCTGTTAAATCTCCTTTGCACCCTCTCCAATGCCTTGACATTCCTTCCTAAAGTGTGGGCCCAGAACTGAACACAGTACTCTTAGCTGAGGCCTAACCAGTGTTTTATAAAGGTTCATCATAACTTCCTGACTTTCGTATTCTATGCCCCTATTTGTAAAGCCTAGTATCCTCCACCCTAAACTCCTGGACTACTGAGGTCCTGACCGACTGTCTGTCCGACATCAAGTCCTGGACGAAGGCCAACTTTCTCCAACTCAACGTCAGCAAGACCGAGGCCCTCCTGATTGGCTCTCGCCAGCGCCTCCGCACCTCAGGCGCTGGCAGCATCAGGCCTCCGCTGTTGCACACTCACCCTCACTAAGCCAGTCAGGAACCTGGGTGTCTTGTTTGACCCTGAACTGTCCTTTCTCCCCCACATCCGCTCCATGACCGGCACTGCCTACCACCACCTCTGCAACATTGCCAGACTCCGCCACTGCTTCACCCCTCAGGCTGCCGAAACCCTCACCCACGCATTCGTCACCTCAGGTCTTGATTACGGGAACTCCCTCCTCATCGGCCTTCCCAACTCTTCCCTTCACAAGCTGCAGATCATCCAAAACTCTGCAGCTCGTGTACTCTCGCTCACCAGGCTCCGTGACCCCATCACTCCCAGCCTCGCCCGACTCCACTGGCTCTCCATCCCCCAGAGGATCCATTTCAAGATCCTCATCCTCACCTTTAAGGCCATCCATGGCCTTGCCCCCACCTACCTCTCTGACCTGCTGACTCCCTACCGACCTGCCCGCTTTCTCCGTTCATCAGGCTCCGGCCTGCTCCATGTCTCCCGCACGATCCACCCTACCATCGGTGGCCGGGCTTTCAGTCTCTCTGCCCCCACACTCTGGAACTCCCATCGCACGGTCCCTTCACCTCTCTTCCTCCCTTGCATCCTTCAAGGCTGGTCTCAAGACCCTTCTTTTCGACCTGCCTTTGGTCTCCCTCCCACCTCTCTGCCTTCCCTCACTCCTACACCACATCTCCCCCATGCTTGAGCCCCGACATCTGACTGTTCAGCGCTTTGAGACGTCCTCCCAACGTGAAAGGCGCTCTATAAATGTAATTTTCTTATTGTTGTTGTTGTATCCCGTATGCTTTTTTTTACAGCTTTATCTGCCTGTCCTGCCACCTTCAAAGATTTACTTATATGAACCCCCAGGTCTCTCTGTTCCTTCACCCCCTTTAACATTCTACCATCAGCTTATATTGCCTCTCCTCATTCTCCTCCCAAAATGCATCACTTTGCATTTTTCCACATTAGACTTTATCTGCCACGTGTCTGCCCATTTTTCCAGTCTGTCCCCTTGCAGTTATGTCCCCTTGCAGTCTGTTACTATTCTCCTGTTTACTACTTTTCCTAGCTTAGTATCATCTGTAAACTTGGAAATTATGCTCTCTATACACAAGTCCAGGTCAATTTATATAGATCAAATCAGCAGTGTTTCCAATACTGACCCCTGGCGGACACCACTGCACAGTTCCCTCCAGTCAGAAAAATAACCGTTCACCACCACTCTCTGTTCTGTCTCCCGGCCAGTTCTGTATCCATGCTGCCACTGTCCCTTTTATAATGTGGGCTTCTATTTTGCTTACAAGTCTCTTATGTGGCCCTTTATGAAACGCCTTTTGAAAATCCATATAAAGTACATCAACTGCACTACCTTCATCCACTCTTTCTGTTAGTTCATCAAAAAACTCTTATCAGGTTTGTTAGACACAATTTGCTTTTAACAAACCCGTGTTGGTTATCCTTTATTAACCCACATTTTTCCAAGTGAAAATTTATTTGGTCCCAGATTATAGTATCCAGAAGTTTCCCCACTACTGACATTAGGCTGACTGGCCTGTAATTCCCGGGTTTATCTTTCTGCTGCTTTTTATACAGGGGAGTAACATTTGCAACCTTCCAGTCTTCTAGCACCACCTCGGTGTCCAAGGGGGATTGAAAGATTGTGGCCAGAGCCGCCGCTATTTCCACCCTTACTTCCCTCAATAACCTAAGATGCATTCCGTCCGGACCGGTTGACTTGTCTACCTTGAGAACCGTCAACCTTTCTGGTACCTTCTCTCTGTTTATTCTTATCCTATCCAATTTCTCTACCCTCTCTCCTCCGATACTGTGGCGATGGCTGCATCCTCTTCTTTTGTGAAGACAGATGCAAAGTACTCATTCAGTACGTCAGCCATGCCCTCTGCTTCCACAAGAAGATTTCCTCTTTGGTCCCTGATTGGACCCACTCTACCTTTGACTAACCTTTTATTCTTTATACGCTTATAAAATACCTTAGGGTTCCCTTTTATGTTACCACTAATCTTTTCTCATACAATGTCTTTGCCCCTCTTATTTCCTTTTCAGTTCTCCTCTGTACTTTCTATATTCTGTTTGATTACCTTCTGTATTTTGGACCTGACATTTATCATAAGCCTCCTTTTTCTGTTTTATTTTAATCCCAATTTCTTTATTTTGAGGAAGTTTGAGTGCCAAAGAGAACCTGGAGTTGCAGAAATCTAACGAGTGTTTGATTGGCAGAATTTAAGGAATTCATCTTGATTTCCTGTTGCCATTGTAAAGCCTTTGTAAATAATAATTCTTGCATTTGATATCATGCCTTTTACGTCAGGAGGACCTCTCAGAATGCTTCACAAGATTTACTATAGAGTGAAGTGTCTATATTTGTAGGAGAATGTGGCAGCTAATTTGTGCAAAGCTCCCTGTAGCCCCTGCAATTTTTTTAAAATCTCATTTATATTCTGTAGCTGTCTGTCATTGGTTTGGATTGTAGCATCCTCACTTTTAAGAAATGCAGTTGGATAATTAATGAGATAATTTAGCTTGGAACTGTTCTAATCCACTGAAATTCATTAGTAACATGTTGTGCACTATTACTCTAAAATTGTCTGACAGGTGTAAATGCTTCTTTCTTCTGCACACGTATATTCTCAAGAAATACAAGCCGTTCACACAATTTCTAGTGGCAGGCAAAGAACACGTGATGGAAAATAATGTTTCTACTTGTTTATTGCTTTATTTAAATAGTTCAGTTGTTGTGCTGACCCTTCTGCGTATGATGATGCTTGAATGACAGTCTGCTACTGGAGTGTACCTTTCAATTGTTTTCTCGGATATGTCAATATGACACAAACTTTTACTTACAAGAATGGTTTGTTTTTGGGTTTTTTTCTTAGTCATCAATCTGTAATCGGGGATAGCATGTGCAGGTGGCTTTTGCTATTCTCAGATTAAAAGGTGATTCTTTGAGCCATAATCTGGACCGGACATTTGAAACTGCCGACATGGAGTTACACACCTATTAATAATCCCTCCAAAACAAAACAATAATAAATTGGTCATTTTCAATCCACGACTGTTTGTGGGACACTGCTGTGTGCAATTGGCTACCGCGTTTGTCCCACAAATATACGGTCAATTCACTTTACAGCATATTCTGTGAAGCGCTTTGAGACGTCTAGAAGACATAAAAAGCTCTATATCTAATGCAAGGATTATTATTATTTGTTTTTGTTGATGCAGCGCAATTGTACAATTTTGCCCCTTCTTTCATTTTGCTGATATTTCCAGGATCCCATTCTTGCCATGCTCTCCCACTCCTCAAAAACACTCTTCTTTTATGGAGCTCAGAGGTTTTCCCATTTGTTCTGCTAAAAGCGAGAATATATTAATTTACAGTGATTAAACCCAATTGATTCATGCAAAATATGCTAATTAAACGACTTTCCCCAGGAAATCAACAACTATGACCTATGTCTATAAATCTTTGATAGTATCTTAATATTATATGGAAGTCTGTTTTAATAAATTATGGTGATTAGAAGGAAGGGCAATTATGCAAAGTTGGTTGCTGAACTGCCAACTAAATTCCACATAAATTAAAATGAAATTAAACACTGTTTTTGAAATATAAGTTATTCATTAGGTTGATCATACCATAAATGCCAACTGCATGACCAAAGTACAGTGGTTTGTTGACCTAAAAATGTTAGTTTCATTATTTATTCCAATCTTACCAATTATGCAAATGTTTCCATACTTAATTTTCCTTTATTACCATTTCTCTCTATTTTATTGATCCTGGAGTGTTCCTTTTAAAGACTTTTCCCTTTTCCTAAAATGCATAGTTATTCTCTCAGATATGTTTTTCTGTGATCTTGTACTTTCATTCACTTAACAGAATAAATTGATTTGGCACAGTAAAATATCCAATCCAGATAGGCATTAAAAAAACATCTGTCCCTTCAAGACCCTTTCAGCTATCACCAGTAAACAGCATTTTTGTTATGTATCTTTATTTTTCCCAATTTGTTGCTATCAGTCACTATCCAAGTGCTCTGGAATGTTACCCTGCGTGAGGGGCACTATATAAATGCAAGTTGTTGTACTCTGTTCTTGCTAGAAGAAAAAATAAAAACATTTCTGAATGATTCTGCACATTTTCATCCATTTAAATGTTTTGTTCAGTTGTTTCTGAATTATGCAATATATGCACACTATTTTACGCCAAGGTGTATCTTTGGTGATATTTTATGCCAAGGCATATGTTTTAACATTTAAGTCAACTGCAGGAAGCCATTCCTAAATTGAGAATTCTGCAGTCCATGTCCTCTTCCTCTTCAGGTTCATTGAGACCATCGCCATCATTCTCGTTCAGGTCCATCAGGTCTATTCCTGTAGCAGGTCAAATTCAAGGTCATTGTCATCACGTTCAATTTGTCCAAGTCTTGATGCCTCCCTAATTCTGTGACCTCTTGCAACCCTTTCATTTTGGCCACTCCTTCCCTCAGCTAACACCAGCCTTTGTCACCATCGTTGGGTAAGCTTTCAACCATTCTGCCTCCTTTCTCTGGAACTCTATCCTGGAGTCCCTCAGCCTCACTCCCTCCCTCCCCCCCTTTATATCTTGTCTGAAGATCTTTCATTTTATCCCAACGTTCAGTCACCATTCCTTCTCCCTCTCCTCAGCTCCCCCTTTCCCCCCAGCCGTGTGGAGAACTGTGAGACGTCCTCTAATTATGGATTTTCAGATGATCATCTGAGAAGTGATCTTACAGAGTGCAAGATTATCTTTGTGGTGATCAGAATTTTCTTAAATTAACAGTTACCTCTGATTTTCTGGCTTGGTTAGATAATCAATCAATTAAATGCAGTACAAGGAATAACCATTTGAAATATGATTACTGCACCTAAAAATGGCTTAAATGCTTTATACAGGACTACAATAAGTGCCTGAACAATAGTTTTTGCAAGGAAAACTGTCAGATTGGAGTAGATTATTGCCAGTTCCATCTTAATGTTTTTTTCCCTAGCAAGGTGAAAGTGACAATAATAAAATCTGAATGAAAGTTTTTGATTTTGGTCTTGAAATTTGGACAATTTCACTTGTAAACCCACTCAAGTATTTACATTGGTGGCCTGTTGCTAATGTCACTAGATTATCAGTTTTATTGTTTTGATGAAAATCAACATATTTAATGTTTTTCCTTTAGTAGTAGGGAAATGCAATTTTATCTTAATAGACATTTCTGATTTATTGTTGATTTATTTCAGGATGCTGCTTCGTTACGCATTCTCTCAGCTCCGGTCTACTCAGATTGCGACAGTCCATTGCAGTGCACAGACCTCACCTCGGCATATTCTGCAGAAGTTGACCCAGACTTGCATGGTGATCAGTTCCAACACCGGCCGTGTGTACAGACCCAAAGATTGTGAACGTTTGGTACTATATTTGAAAGACATCAACTTACCCAAACCTGACAAGTGGGGAACCAGTAGCCTTGTTTCTTTTTTACAGCAGGTCAGAAAACTGTTTTAAATATGATGATAGATTTTATAGGGGATTTAAGTTAGAGAGTCAGCTGAATACAACAACAACTTGCATTTTATATAGCGCCCTTCATGTAGCATTCATTTTTGGTTTTGTTGACTTTTGCTGTTGTTTAGCTGTTATGTAGCTTTCTGTGAAATGGCTGATCACCAGAGACCTTTAGAGGAAGTACTGACATATCCTGAACTATATTAAATTATTATGTTTTATATTTATAAATAAAGTAATGTTATTATCCCTCTTTCATTTATTTTGAGCCCCATTTTTAGGTTCCTCACTTCATATGCAGTTATCACGAACAGAAGGCAGACAGGTTAACAAATACTGCCTCGTTGCACACAATTTGTGATTCTCGTTCTCAGCAGGCAAAATGCCTCCATTATCTTTGTCCTGCACTTTGACCAACTTTTATTGCTGGATTTGGAAGCTTTTCGGTTTGGGGAAAGAATATGAACATGTGGTGCCAGCCTTGTTTATTTTGTTGGGGAGCACAAGTATGTTAGAATGTTATACACATAAAATTGGCAAAATATCCAATATTTTTAGTTCAGTATTTATTTTGGAATCAGTGCTATTAATAATAAGGTTCCTCACGTGCATAGACCTATATTGAACCTCGCTATACATATGTGTATTGCGGGTTAAGGTAGAAAGTGATTCAGTGATGTTTCTTACTTTGCTTGCTTGTAGTCACCTAACTCCTTTTTTTAATAATTATTCCAAAGGCACTGACCTACCACGGCTTTTATGATGAAAACTTGGAGTGGGTTGGATTTGAAAATATTCAAATTGTGGCCTCCATGTCAGTAGGTGGTACCATGGGCCGACATACATTAACAACAAGGTTTACATCTGTTGTCCGCATCTGTACAATAAGGTGAGTAGTTTCTGTTATTTAAACTTCTATTGATTTAAGTGATTAAATGAAGTTTACATGTTGAATGAAAGCAATGCTACATAGTGCTTTAATTCACAATGGATCAGGTAGATTACCAGTAAAAGGAAAGTTTCAATTGCATTTCATAAGCTTGAAAGTATCCTCTTCATACAGATGCAATGATCCATGCAATCTCTCACTACCTTATACTGTTTCATCTTTTCTTCTTGTGCGGTTGATATTAATCAGATAATTATCTTTTCCCTTGTATTTGACACAATTGGATGACTGCATCCTTCAATTTCTATGTCAGTTAACTAGTTTGTTGTGTGAATAATTTCCATCGTGTCATCAGTTAAAGCATGGTGTTCTGTCAAGCCGTTGTTGCTTTCTGCTATCTACTTGTAAAATTTATATTTCTATCCATAGAGCAACATAACCAAAATAAATAAATGCAAGTTGTAGTTTAACATATTTAGCTCTGTGGATCTGAGTACTGCATGCTCCTTTCAGATGTTAGTCCATTTTTAAACGGAGATGGTTGCCACAGTGATTGTGTTATAAATCTATTCAAGATATAATCATAGAATTTTATAGCACAGAAGGATGCCATTTGACCCATCGTGCCTGTGGAAGAGCTACCCTATCAGTCTCACTCCCCCTCTCTTTACCCATATTTGTAATTTTTTCCTCTTCAAGTACCTATTTGAATTCCAATTCCCTTTTGAAAGTCGTTCTTGAATTGTTTCCCCGGCCCTTTCAGGCAGTGCATTCCAAACCGTAACAGCTATGTGAAACAATTTCTCCTCATCTTTCCTCTGGTTCTTTTGCCAATTATCTTGAATCGATGTCTCCTGGTTACCGACACACCTGCCAGTGGAAACAGTTTCTCCCTATTTACTCTTATCATTTTGTGGCAAATTACTGCCAAGATAGTGGTAGATTTGCTGTGAAACGTGCAGTATAAATCATCATAATATATTTTGACGTTTTGTATATAATGATTCAAATAATCTTTCCTTGATAGACTTTTTTAGGAGTTTCATTCCAAAGTTATTCAATATCTGCTTACTATTTGACAAGTTTATTGGGATTTAGATGTTGATTTATATTTGAGGTGCTCGCCACAATGTTACTCATGGGGCCATTTGCATCCGTTGACTTACTGAAGAGCAGAAAAATAAATAAATCTCTGCTTGTCTATGAATCTCCCATCTATTGCTATTGAAATATCTTAGAATAGTTCAAATTTCAAAATGTCTTTGACATCACGTTCAAAGCTGCAAGGCAAATTTGTTCACGTGGTGGGTAATGTGACATCATTTTGTTGCAATGTTTCCAAATTAAAAGGATAAGTATGACTTTTCTTTTAATTCCCTCCAAAGTGTTTCATGTACAGCAGGACTCAATCTCTTTGGATTACTAAAATGATTACTACCTATCCCTCTGGCCTTCCACCTGCAGAGATCCTGAAGCAGCCGTCCAGCTGCTCCACGATTGCCTTTCCTCCACCTTCAACTCCCTCATTACCCTGAAATCCAGGACCATCTCCAAACCCACCCGATCCCCCTGGTATAACAATCATCTCCGCTCCCTAAAAACCCAAACCCGGCTGCTCGAGCGCAGATGGCAGAAAACTGGCCTGACAGTTCACCGCCAACTGTGGCTCGAGCATCTCCACAGCTACCGCCGTTCTTTGACCCGCGCAAAAATGGCCTTCTACTCCAACATCATCTTGGAGGAAAAAAACAATCCCAAAGTTCTTTTTCCACCACCCACTACCTTCTCCGTGCCCCCCCCTCAGGCCTCCTCAATCTTCCCATCCAATGCCAAGTACGAGGAGGTCATAGACTTCTTTTCATCCAAAATACATAACATCCATCAGGCAGCCTTATCCACCTGACTCTTGTCACCCACCACCAGCCCCTCTCCATCCCCCTCACTCTCCCCATCATCAGCTCCTACCACGACCCCCATCCTAATTCCTTCCTCCCCATCTCTCCTTCCTCCCTCTCACCCATCATCACCTCAATGAAATCCACCACCTGCTGCCTCCCCACCAACTTGCTGGTCACCCAGCTCCCCCTCCTCTTCCCACTACTAGCTGATGTCATCAACCAGTCCCTCTCCTCTGGATCATTCCCTGTCCCCCTCAAAACTGATGTCATCACCCCTCTCCTCAAAAAATCTTCCCTAGATGCCTCAAACCCCAGCCACTACCGGCCTATTTCAAACCTGCCCTTCCTCGCAAAAATCCTAGAACGCATTGTTGCCAATCAACTCTGCGCACATCTCTCCTCCCACTCCCTCTTCGAACCCCTCCAGTCTGGTTTCCGCCCTGCCCACAATACAGAGACTGCGCTTGTGAAAATCTCAAATGACATCCTCTCTATCTGTGACCAGGGCTCCCTCTGCCTCCTTGTCCTCCTGGACCTCTCTGCCGCTTTCGACACAGTCGATCACGCCATCCTCCTCCACCTCTTTTCTCCGTCATCCACCTCAGTAGGACCGCACTTGCCTGGTTCGAGTCCTACCTCACAAACCGCCAGTAGTACAGCTGCACAAAAGGCTTGTCCTCCCATTCTCACCTGGTTACCTGTGGGGTACCCCAAGGATCCATCCTCGGCCCCCTCCTCTTTCTGATCTATATGCTTCCTCTTGGGGATGTCATCCACAGACATGGGATACACTTCCACATGTTTGCGAACGACACCCAACTCTATTTTTTCACCTCACTTTGCGACCCCAGTCTCCTGATGATCTGTCAGCCTGCCTGTCAGACCTCAGGAACTGGATGAATGTGAATTTCCTTCAGCTGAATGTTGACAAGCCATACTCTTTGGCTCTCGTCAACGTCTAAAATCACATGGTTCTCATCTCCTCCACCTACCCGACCTCCTCCTAAAAGTCTCCGAACTAGTATGCAACCTGGATGTCAGGTTCAATCCACAATTATACTTCCTTCCCCACATCCGGTCCCTCACCATCACTGCTTTCTTCCACCTCCGACGCATCGCCCATCTCCGCCAATACCTCATTCCAAAAGCTGCTGAAACCCTGGTCCATGCCTTTGTCACCTCTCGGCTGGACTATTCAAATGCCCTCCTCGCTCATCTCCCCTCCACTACCATCCATAAAATCCAGGTCATCCAAAACTTTGCCGCCCGCATTCTTACTCACAACAAAGTCCGCTCCCCGATTACCCCAGTCCTTGCCAGACTGCACTGGCTGCCTGTCCCAGAGAGAATCAACTTCAAGATCCTCACCCTGTCTTCAAATCCCTCCACTCCTCTGCACCCCTCTATCTCTCTGACCTCCTCTCTATTCAACTGTGCCCGTTGCCTTCGCTCCACTGGATCTGGCCTCCTCCTTGTCCCCCGAGTCCTCCACTTCACCATCGGCGGCCGTGCCTTCAGCCACTACGGCCTGAGGCTCTGGAACTCCCTTCCTCACTTCCTTCGCCTCGCCCCCTCTCTTCCTATTTTCAGGTCTCGGCTGAAGACCTTTTCGACCGCGCCTTTGGTCACCTTCCTCCCCTTCCCCCTGGCTCGGCCCCGGGATCCGTTATTGTGAAGCGTTCTGAGATGCCATCCGGCATGGAGGCCTCTATATATATCCAAGTTGTTGTTATTGAGTGCATTCACACCTGCTTTCTTCCAGCAGTCGTGCATAATGTGTGTGTGTCTGAATGAAAATCAAATTCTGACCTATTCATTCATTTTCGATACACAATCTGCAGCTGCACACTAATTTGTTTTCATTCTGATATTGGCAGAATTCACTTTTGGCAATTTTTTATTCTAATAATTTTTGCATTCATGTATTTTTCAATGTTGTTCAGGAGAAATATTCCCCAATTTAATCATGCACATGAAATTAAAGGAATTTGTATCAAAAATGTTCAATACAAAATTATCTTTTTCGTTTAACACATATAACTGGTTTGGGGAAATTTTAATCTCCTTTTGATTGCTGTGTTGTTGATATCTTCGAAAATATGTTCCATAGCATTGAGAGTACGGATTTAGAATCCTTTGAGTTCCTAATACCAACGTGCAGATTGGTTTTGTTGTATTTGCCTGCAGTAACAGAAAGTGGTATAACCCATATGCTTCTGTGACTAATTTTAAAGAAAAGTTTGAAATATTGAAAATTTCAGCTATCCTGATCGAGACCAATTACAGGCCATCTACAGTGCCTATCTACAGCCTGTATTGCACAGAAATCTGAAGAACCACGCTGCCTGGAATGCTCCTGCACGAATACACCAACTGGCTGGATCAATGGTGCAAGTTTACGAACAGGTATAGCTGACAATTTTCTGCATGTCATTATCTCAGGATATTTTTAAAGTTATTCTCAGCCAATTGGTAAATTTATGATATTGGTAGTAGGCCCTTATTATGGGATTGATAATCAAATGGCCGAACTAGTGACTATCCTCCTTGTGCTAATGAGCTTCGCAACGGAATCGAGTTAACCCTCTGTGACAGACTCCGCAGTCTGGTTCCTGACAGACTGGCTCATCAGCAGAACTTTGAAGAAGAGAACATGGGCAGGAATTTTTACCACTTGATTTCTGTTAGCCTTGCAAGCCAAAGCCCTAATGGGCAGGTTGGTCCTAGTTGGATAAACAGTGGGAAGCTTACCAGACAATGCTCTTAGTGGAGGTTATCTCGTTAAACACCAGCATTACTCCAAATACACTCTGGTGTACCAAGCCTTGTCTCTCACCCACCCTGTGCCTGATACTTTTGTATTAAGTAAGCAGAGTGCATCTCTCCAGGGAGCGAGTGCATAATACATTCCAGACAGGATAATTTCTGTGCGTTGGTGGTATACATACTTGAAAATCTGATTGATTTGGACACTCTTGATGATAGGTTTCTATGTGTGTCAAGCACCCAGTTGACCTGATATCCCTGCCATTGACTTTCCCATCTCTCTGTAGTTAACTTTTTTTTAGATATTGGCTAGGTGAAAGGTATTAGTTATACTATTGCCATTTCATTTTTTTCATATTGCATCTCTTCAGAATTGACTTTGTTCTTCCTGCTCATTTCATTCTGTTATGTTGTGGCCTAATAATGGTAAACCAATTTTCTATTCATCTTAGGTCCGAGCAAAGTTTACAGTGGATGATCATAGTCACTATCTCTTTACTCCCTGCATTCTTACTCAATGGGTACTTGGGTTATTTAGATATGACCTTGAAGGAGGTAAGATTTTTATCACCTGTAATATAGAATTTCATAACTGTAAATAATGTAAAAATGTTTAGGAAATAAATCTGTTTGTTGATTAACATTTTATCATTGCAACATGTTACTGTTATGTACGGAGCCCTGTAGCTCAATGGTTAGAGCATTTGCCTCGCAATCGAGTGATCTGGGTTTGATTCCCGGCAGGGCGAAATGTTGGGCAAGTTTCCTTACTCCACACGCTTCTGTTTACCTAACAGTAAGCATGAATCCAGTTGTTAGTCGATTGGTGGACCGCTTTTCTGGGGATAATAATACTTAAAAAAATAATAATTTGGTCACTCAATCCACGACTGTCTGTGGGACATTGCAGTGTGCAATTGGCTGCTGCGTTTTGCCCACAAATTTACAGTCAATTCACTTTACAGTATATTCTGTGAAGCACTTTGAGACTTATAGAAGATGTGAAAAGCACTATATCAAATGCAAGGATTATTATTTATTATTTAGTTGTGAATCAGCTCATTCATAGCTGTTATAAAAATAATAATAATCCTTGCATTTGATATAGCGCTTTCACGTCGGGAGGACGTCCCAAAGCGCTTCACAGAACACACTGTAAAGTGAATTGACTGTATATTTGTGGGCGAACGCGGCAGCCAATTGCGCACAGCAATGTCCCACAAACAGTCGTAGATTGAAAATGACCAATTTATTATTGTTTTTTGTTTTGGAGGGATTATTATTAGGCGTGTGGAGTAAGGAAACTTGCCGGGAATTGAACTCGGGTCTCTCGCTTGCAAAGCGAGTGCTCTAACCACTGAGCTACAGGACTCCACATGTTGAAAGCATAATAGCGGAAGATAATAGTAATAATTTCTATAGAATACCCAATATCGTGAAGAATTTTTAAGTCACTGAGATGAGATACTTGATAAATTAAGATATACAAATCCTGGGCCAGGTAAAATGGTAGGTTTATAAAGATCAGACTATGTGTTGCACTACTTAAAGGAGTCTTGCCTCTGTACACTTTCTTTCCAATGTTCCTGTGTCCTCTACCATATCCTGTTTCAATTTACACAGTTTTGGATATCAGATAGAATCTTAACAGGGGGCAAAAGAATAACTAGTAGCAACAGATGCCTCATGAAATTGATTCTGGTGCTTGCTGAGAACACAGCAAGATGATTTGTATTAGGTTACCAACAGACAAGGCAGTGCTTGTCCTATGGCTCAACACATGCCTCAAAAATATGTTTTGAATATTTGAATGTCTAGTACAAGGGATCATTTTATGATCATTTTCTGCACACTGATTGGGAGAGATGTCTGCCCGCAGAATAAGTGCTTTTTAAAGCTGTATCACTGAAAATCTTTGAGAACATTTTAAATATTAATGTGCAACTGTGGTCCTTTTGTGTTCTTCGTGCAAACACTGAAATGCTTTGTGGTTCATCTTGAGTCACAAGGGTCATGACATTGCACAAGACTGACAGCCCAACCATAGATCTCTCTGACGTTTTGGTGAACACTTCCGTTATGCCTCGCCTCATCTAGTTCAACTCTTAATGTTTTTCACATGTACTGAGTCCAGAAGGAGGAGAAGTGCATTCTCTCTAGCCTGTGATGCAGGCACATGTATTCCACCACTACAGATTTAATAGCAAACTGAAGATCACAACTGTTACAAATACGGCCATGCTTTTTGAGGTTTCCCACTGTTCAACCAATTTATCCAACTACCACGCTGCCTGTATACCTCAGGGAAGCTTGGATGGAATTTACGATGTGCAATGCCAGCAATACAAGACCACCTTTTTCATATAGTAGGAGCCCTGGCAGATGATTCACAGAAATTGGTAATGTGCTGCGCATTTGGCATTCATAAGGTGCAAAATATCATGCTGCATTAAGGACGTTCGACCCCCAATTATCCTTCCTCCCCCACATCTGGTCCCTCACCAGCACCGCCTTCTTCCGCCTCCGCCAATATCTCACCTCTCGGCTGGACTATTCTAACGCCCTCCTCACCGATCTCCCATCCACTACCATCCATAAAATCCAGATCATTAAAAACTCTGCCGCCCGCATTCTCACCCGCACCAAACTCCGCTCCCCGATCACCCCAGTCCTTGCCAGACTGCACTGGGTGCCTATCCCAGAGAGGATTGACTTCAAGATCCTCACCCTTGTATTCAAATCCCTCCACTCCTCTGCACCCCCCTACCTCTCTGACCTCTCTCCTCAAAACTTCCTTCGTTCCTCCGGGTCTGGCTTCCTCCTCATCCCGAGAGTCCTCCACTCCACCCTCGGCGGCCGTGCCTTCAGCCACTATACCCTGAATCTCTGGAATTCCCTTCCTCACTCCCTTCGCCTCGCTCCCTTCCTATTTTCAGGTCTCTGCTGAAGACCTTTCTCTTCGACTGTGCCTTTGGTCACCTTCCTCCCCATCCCCCTGGCTTGTCTCCGGGATCCGTTACTGTAAAGCCTCTAAGACGCCGTCCGGCGTGGAGGGCGCTATATTAATCCAAGTTGTTGTTGTTGTTGACGTATGCCATTTAATTGGCAAGAATTTCACTGAATGAAACATTGCTGATAATTTGCTTTGTAGACTGAAAATCTATTTTAGTCAGTTTTTTTATATAGCCAATTTGATGCAACCCGTGAACCCGTGTGTGAATTTCAGGCAAATCTGTGATCAGTCTTTGAAATATAGAATAACTTTATTCTCCCAATTGTAGCATTTTTCTACCTTTCAAGGTGTACTTTTTTTTGTATAGTAGTTTGCATTTGATAGCAGTAAGCATGAGTCTGGAATCTAATTGCAAAGAGGAAAACATTTCACAAAGGATTTGTATCTTGAGATGCTAATTATAAATTTTGATTCAGATTTGAAATAAAATTCTGTTTTGTTTCTTCAGCTCTAATTATTGTAACTTGAATTGCTAATGGAAAAGTTTGACACCTTCAGGTTCTTGTTGTTGCTTATTAGTTCTCACATGTTTAATTTATTTAGCTCTGCAGTGTAATTTCCATATATTTTGCAGATTACAATGTTTGGATATTTGACAAGATCAAACACCATTAAAAAACTTGTAATTTCACTTGGTGATGTATAATTGGTGCAAAGCACAGATAGTAGAACACATTTCATATAATCCCAGCCAGAGTATAAAAGTGACTGGGGAACTATTTTAATGAGACCACAAAAATTGTGGCACAAAGTCTGATATACTTTATGTATCCGAGAAGGATTGACAGTGCCATTGTTTAATAGGTACTGTGACCTGAAAAGCACTATGATTCAAAAAAAAAACTTTGAGATTTTGTTGGTCAGCAGGTGTCTGACATATATGGAAACCTATCATCATGCTTAAGAGTATCCAAACCAGACTGAGTTCCATGCATTCCAGATATACATGACAATTCCAGCGATACATTGATGGAATGGAATGCACACTCTTTCCCTGGACGGATGCATCCTGCTTACCTAATTCTGGAAAATATTAGGCACAGGTTGGCAAGAGCCAAGATTTGGGTATTCCAGATGTGCATTGGGGTAACTGCTGGAGTCTAACCAGCTAAAATCACATAGCTTCCCATAGAGAGCACTGACTGGCAAGCTTTCCTGCTGCTTGTCTAGCTAGGACCACCCTACCTGTTGGGGCTTTGGCTTGCAGGTTTGAGGAGTCTCCTCTCTGCCCCCAGAACTGGACTACCGAGACCACCACAGAAGGTGGGTTCTGAAATTCCGTTGGCAAACGTGACCTTGGAGCCAGATAGTTACTAGTTGCCCATTTGACATCCGAAGGCTCTTCAATGAAATGTGATAAAAGTTTTAAAATGCTAACATGGCATCCACCAAATCAGTACCTATACAGTATTATGATTAGATTTGTATCTATCTTTTTGGGGTTTCCTGTATATTTTTAATATATATATTTACAAACATGCTTAGGAAATTATGAAAATATGATCAATTTTATTTGGTGTACACAAGAAAAATATTGATCATAGATACTGATACAACATTTATATTATTTACTGTTCATTTCTTTGCTTATTTTTACTTAAATTTAATTTTGCCCATTTATTTTCTTTTGTTACTTGGTGGTTTTCCTTTACTTTGTATTTTTGTTGTGGTATTTTTCCTTTGTCTTCACTGTTTTTGTTTCTTCACTGTCTGTTGTTTTGCCCCTCCTTATGTGTTTGTTGTTTTTCTATCTCCATTCCTGTGAAAAATCTCTTTTGTTTATTCTTTCAAATATCCTGTTTCACCCACAAAATATACAGTCACTTTACAGTATTTTCTGTGAAACGTTTTAGACGTCTCGCAGGTGTGATGAGGCACTATATTAAATGCAAGGATTATTATTATTCTATATAATTTATAAAATCTTCATTTCTCATGTGTTTTGTGATCCCTATACTTAAGATGACCTTCATTTTGTCCGACAGATTAACTAGCTTAATTTGACCATTTAAAAATTGCTATGTCATACATTTCTATCATTTAAGATTATCTAATTTCATATTTTGTTCGAGTTTGCTACTTTGCATGCAGTTTTGAAAATGTAATTATTTCACTGATATAACGACAAAGGTTTTTTTCCCTTTCTCATTCATTCTGATGTTATGAATGTGGTACGTATCCTTTTGTATTTTTCTAAGCAAAATATACTACATGAATAAGCTTATTTTAGATTTGTTTCATCGACACCTCACACTCAAAAGATGTTTGAAAAAATTTTCCAGGCTCATCACAACACACAGTGGATCATGTTCTTGAAGTTGTTGCTTATGAAGCACATCGATTATTCCGTGACCGTATAGTGGGATCGAAGAATATAAACGCATTCGACAACATTTTAATATCAGTCATCCGAGGAGATTGGGGATCAGATGTTCTGGACAGCATGACTGGTAATTATTTTTGGGATTTTTGAAAAACGTCAGTAAAAACCAATACAATAATAGCCTGATTCTCCAACTATTTTGAAAATGAGGAATTAGGTGGATTACCAACTATTTTATAATAACCAGAAATTCTTTCTGTTTACTGTGGCACATGAAAACAAATAAGAAGTTTCTATCATGGGATTGGGATGAATAGAGTTTAACTGGCCTTTGCTTTCGATATGTATTTAGCTGCACCAACAGTACTATAGTTGTAATTTTTATGCTTCCTAATTTTGTTCATCACTCGCTTTCAATAGGTTCACGGACTGAATTTTCTGGATTTCCTCCTCTATTCTTATTCTTCCCTTATCTGCAATAGTGCACCTCACTGAGGAAAAGACTCTTTGACTGAGTGAGATGGCATATTAAAGTTTTGTCCTTTAAACCCACACTCTGTGAAAACTATTTTCCTGGACTTAAGTTTCTTCAGTTCATTGACTTGTTATTATCACTTGTTTCATTAAGAATTGAGCTTTGGTCACCCGAAGTGATGCTACAATTGATTTGAACGCATGCATTGTTATCAGACTTTTTCAGAGCAGTGGTGCTTCAACCAGTTGCGTCTACATTTTAGCAGACATGAGTATTGATCAGTGTGTTGAATTCCTTTATAGTCCAGGAAACAGAAACACTTTCAGTTTTACTTTAATCATTGCAGACATCTAAAATGCTGGAAAATTATCTTGCATGATACATCTAGGTGGTTGGCTAACATTTAAACGAATAAAGCTTAGTTTAAGTCAATTTGGGGACCTTTGGTAGGGTACACTGCTGTGCACAATTGGCTGCTGCGTTTCGCCCACAGTCAATTCACTTTACAGTATATTCTGTGAAGGTCTTTGAGAAGGCTCAAAGACACGATAAGGCATAATATCAAATGCAAGGATTATTATTATTACAAAATGGGAACACAACAGAATTGGTTCAGAGCAATTGCAAGTGGAATACTTGTGCACTTCTGGTCTTTTTTGTTTTTATTTTATAATTGCACTGAATCTTTAGAGGCCAATTAAAACTTTCGGTCAGAATTCTGTTTTTTTTAATCATTTTAATTAAACAACATTGTTTGAGTAGGAGTAGTTTACCATATCTAAACTGGAAGGCCTCCACTTCTGGAATCTGTGGCTGAAGCAAAACGTGTCAATGAATTTAAGAGGATGGATACAAATAGAGGGGAAAAGGAGGGGGTGGAGGCACATGTGGAGTATAAACACTGAAATGAACTAGTTGGGCCAACTGACTTGTTTCCATGCTGCATCATTCTATATTTGTCTTGTTTACAAATCTGACTTATTTCACTTTGCAGATTGCTTCTATGTCACTTGGGGAGCTCGGCATGAAGCTGGCTCTGCGATAGCTCCTGATCAGCCCCTACCCCCACATGGAAAGTTGCTGGGAAAATTAAGTTCAGCTGATCTGAAGGATGTTATCCAAAAGGTTGGTTTCTTAGGAACATTAGGAGCAAGAATAGACCAGCCCCTAAAACCTGTTCCACCTTTCAATTAGATCCTGGTTGATCTGTATCTTAGCTCCATTTACCCATCCTTTCTCTGTGTCCCTTGATACCCTTACGGAACAGATAATTATCATTCTCAGACTTGAAAATTCCAATTGACTGAGCATCCAGAGCCTTTTAGGAGAGAGAATCACAGATTTCCACAACACTTTCCGTGAAAAAATTCTTTCTAGTTTCACTACTAACAGGCCTAGGTCTTATTTTAAGGTTATGCCCCTCGTTCTGGATTCTCTCACTGGAGGAAATTGTTCTACCTTATCGAATCTCTTTATCATGTTAAACACCCTGATAAGATCACCGCTCAACCTTCTGAACTCAAGGGAATACAGGCCAAGTTTATGTAGCCTATCTTCGTAAATTTAACCCCTTCATTCCTGGTATCCTAGTGTAAACCTGTGATCTCGAGCTGCTATCCCCACTTAGTGAGAGGATTTACAGTATGTTATGATACTGGGGCCATGCTGTTTGGCTGAACATGGGTCCAAAAGACATCAATTTTAAGGAATCAAAACAGTCCTGAGTTAGTGGCCAATGTCAATAGGAGAAGGTGCTAAATTCGATAATATTAATGATAATCTTTCTATTTTAATATAATGTCTTATATCAAAAGGAAAGGTTATCATTCAATCCATGACTGCTCGTGGGACACTGCTTTACGCAATTGGCTGCCGCGTTTCACCCACAAAATATACTGTCAATTCACTTTATAGTATATTCTGTGAAGCGCTTTGAGATGTCTCGAAGACATAATAAGGCGCTATATCAAATGCAAGGATTGTTATTATTCAAACATATAAAGTCCCATCTGAAGAACAGCGCTTCTGACAATTCAGCCCTCCTCCAGCATTGCATCCTGATGTGGGGCTTAAACCCCAAACCTTCTGACTCAGAGAAGCAAGTGCTACCAGCTAAGGTGCAAAATCAAATGCTAGGATTATTCTTACTAATATATTGGTTTACACATTGTTTATATATGCATTGGACGTGGTTTAACAATTTTGTTTCTAGATAGATGACATTGTGACTTAGGTATTTAATAGAATATTTTGGTCATGTTGCTGTTTTATCATTTTACATTATATAATAGACACTTTTAAAGAACCCAGTGTTTCACTTTATGATCCTTTCCAACAGGGTATTGTTCAGTATGGGAGAGACAATAGGGAACTGGATATTTTACTATTCCATGAAGTTCTGGACTACATGGCCAGGGTAGACCGAGTGCTCAGCTGTCCTGGAGGCTCATTGCTTCTAGCAGGGCGTAGTGGTGTTGGTCGTCGAACTGCTATCTCTGTCATTAGTCACATGCACGGAGCCACCCTCTTTTCACCAAAGATTTCCAGAAGTTATGAGGCTAAGCAGTTCAAAAATGATCTAAAAACTGTAAGTAAAACCAGCATTTATTTGTAAATAATAAAGCCTTATTTTTCCTGTTTTAGGTTTGCTGTACTGACAAAGAAATGCGTAAATAGGCTTATCAATCCATTCAGTTCCTAAATAATGTTCTCTTTTATACTGCTGTATTATTATCCATCCTACACACAGACAGAGGTGCAAAGGTGGAAGTGCTGACAATTCAGTGTCACACTTTGTTTTGCATGCCTGGAGGGGCAGTGATGACTTTCAAAACCTTGAAAAGTTAGTGGAAGATGAGATATGTATCTGAATATCAAATGACTTTGTTCTTATTTTAGTAGTGATGATCTTGAAAATATGTTTCCAAAGTGTTTTCACGTGTCACATTGGGAGTTTATGCATGAGTCCGTCCCATTCCTCTTGACGTTTTATATTCTAGAGATAGGTCTCCTACCGGCAGACAAGGGCCTATGGTAGTTTAATCATTTATTAATATGGATGGATTGCCTGCAAAGAATGCATGTAAAACACTATTACATCTAAATATGTTTTTTTCAGCAGTCTGTCAGTTACTTTGCTTTGCAGCAACTGGCTTATTCCGCCTTGGGACGTCCTCCCGACGTGAAAGGCGCTAAACAAATGTAATCTTGTTGTTATTTCTTTACAAGTTAAGTCACCGTCTCCAGTTTTCCAGCAATGTGTTAACAGTTGGTTGTTGCAGTGTTTGTTTATCCTTCCCTGTAGGTAATGCAGCTTGCAGGCCTTGATGGACACCAGGTTGTTTTGCTTCTGGAGGATTATCAGTTTGTTCAGCCTCAATTCCTTGAGATGGCTAATAGCCTGTTGTCTTCAGGTGTGTATATATGTTGTAACTATTGCCACATTTTATTTTTGATAAAAAATCAGCAATTGGTTTCTCTCATTATGCAGAATGATACTATTGTCAGATCATATTATAATATAACTTTGTAAGTGTAGCTACTGTAACTTGTGCAGTTGTCAGTTGGATGTCGCTGATCCCTACTGCACCAGTGCTATACAGAAAGTTGTCCATCATCTCTCTTTTGAGCACTTTCAGCGGTTATCGGGGTCTCCGCTGATATCCAGAGGCGCACACTTCTAATGGAAGCATTGACAGTTCCATTAGAGTTTCTCTACTTATTCCACTCAGACCTACTTTCAGTAAATGAATCTGAGTGGCGAATCTTATCACATTCAGGTTGCAGTAAGATAAGGAAATTATTTTCATTATTCACATTTTCCAATGTTTGAATTTCATTGCATTTTTTCTAAAATCTTTCAAGGATATTTTGCGATCTATTGTGTGATTGGCATTAATAAATGCAGCACTACAACAACAACATTACATTTGTATAGCGCCTTTCACGTTGGGGGGGCGTCCCAAGGCACTGGGTAGTGTACAGCATTTCAGACCCAAGCTGGAGTCAAGGGGGGAGAAGGGAGGGGAAGGGGGTGGCCTTCACTACTATTGATATAAGGAAGGTTGTCAGGAATTTTCCCAATGAGGGGAGATTCAATAGGATGCTCTTATCCTTCTACAAGTAGTTTATTCTTGAGACATATCAACAATGGCGTGGTGAAAGCCCACTCCCTGGCATGACCTCCTAGCTTTGGAAGACCAGCTTTGACCAAGGAATAAGTGCTTTGGGTTGGGGAGGGAGAATACATTGGATGCAACAAAACTTAAGTATGAGCAATAAAGAAGTTGAAAATCTGCTTCCTAACAAGCATTGAGTGCACAAGTAAGATTGATTTAACTGAACACAATTACATTTTAGACTTGTATGTACATTATGGGTACAAAGTGGCTAATATCATGGCTCTATGCATTAGGTGAAGTTCCTGGTTTGTATACACCAGAAGAATTGGAACCAATCCTGTCACCTTTAAAAGACCAAGCCTCACAAGATGGATTCACGGGACCCATCTTTAATTACTTCTCCTTCAGTAAGAAAATAAATATCAATCATTTTTCATTTTGAATGCTACAACTGAAATTTGCATTGTTATTTGAAGTACCTTTTCATTTTCGCTTCGGATAGTTAATTCATGGAGCGTTTATATGTGTTTATTCATTTAATGAGCAATTGCTAAATGAATAAGCTATTTCACAACAGATGCAAAGTATGAAAGCAACCAGATAAATGACAATCAGCTCAGCTTCAGAAATGGCAGATTTTGCTTCACCAAACTCATAGATGTTTTTGAGGAGGTGGTATCTCAGATTGACAATGAGAAGCAATATGATGGAGTGACTTAGAGTTCCAAAACGTTTTTGACAAGAGATCATTTGAGTGACTTTTTTACCAAGTAATGTCAATTGGTGCGATGAGTGTGCATTATTAAATGCTTCTGAAGGAAAAGAGGCAGAGCGTAGTTATCAGGGGAGCCATGTTGAAGATGTTACGAGTAGTGCCTCTGGTGTTAGTACTTTGAGGCGGCCAGGATATTATGGAAAGCCTGACTGGCAAATCACTGGCACATACAGTAACAAAGAATGAAGGTTGCTCCGTATAAGAATTGCAAATAGGAGGCACACGGGCTAGAAGAGGGGGAACAATGAGTATCAGTACAGACACGATGGAGAGAGAACTTAAAAGACATTTAATAGTAATTAACTTGTCACTCACAATGTGAGGTGGCAATGAAGAAAAAAATAGGTGATGACTTTACGACCCAATCGGTTTGGTTAATTTCTCTGAAGGCAAGCTCAAACTATGCAAAACTTAGTTTGGTCGCACCTGGGCTAGCAGTAATAATAATAATAATCCTTACATTTAATATAGCGCCTTATCATGTCTTCGAGACTTCTCCAACGTTTACAGAATATACTTTAAAGTGTATTGACTGTATATTTTATGGGCGAAATATGGCAGCCAATTGTACACAGCAGTGTCCCAAAAACAGTCGTGGATTGAGTGACCAAACTATTATTATTTTTTGGGGGGAGGGATTAGTATCCACAGAAAAGTGATCCGCAAATCAACCTAACAATTAGGTTCCTACTTCCGGCTAGGTAAACAGAGGTGTGTGGAGTAAGAAAACTTGCCTAATGTTTTGCCCTGCGCAGGGCTCGAACCCGGGTCCTCTTGCTTGTGAGGAAAGTGATCTAACCAATATGCTGCAGGATTTGTAGAACTACATAGAGCTTGGGGGGGGGGGGGGAGGGGGAGTGGGGGGTGATCTAAGTTCTCACCCACCCCTGACCAAAGTGTTTATTTCCATTTTAAACTGTTCTCAAGCATAAAAAATTTTGACCTTGATTTTTGATTACGTTTAAAGGTCAATGGAAACACATGAATAAAATCCCAATACCTACTTTTAGGGTTATCCTCAATTATGAATCACAAACTTTTCCTGTTGTCTGTAATGACGCTGGTATCCGACTGACTAAATATCCCATTAGCTGTGAAATTGAAGATTCTGTGCCTCTGTTCTTCTGGTTATTTTTAGATTTTACTTGCCTAGGTACTTGTTTGATCATTTTTAAGCAGCTTACCTTTTTTAAAGAAACTGCTTTTCAAAATTTAATTCATAAAATATATTGCATATGCCAAATCTTGCAAATTGCAGAAAAAATGTAGAAAAATTAGGAAGCCATGTCTATTCCAATTATATTGAATCATATTAGAATTTTGGACTAAGTAGGGCACTTTAGTTATAAAGAATGGCACTGAAAGTGAAACTTTTTCTCGTACCGTTTTTACATTTTTACTAAGTCTTTTTACTAAGCATTTCAACATCTAAAGTATAGTACAAACTAAGCAAAACAAAATGGCATTGTGATTCAATATTGATTATGTTAAAGTTACACTAATGCACAGTTGAAGTTTGCAATTTGGGTTTGCATTAGACCATTTCCCTAATCTAATTTTATGTTTTTTTATTTTATACTTCAATCGCCAGCTGTTTTAGCCTAGTGCACTTAAAAGATTATGTAGTACTCTCGCCTATGAGACTGAAAGTTGTAGGTTAAAATCCCACTTCAGGGTTTGGAACTCATATAATCTAAGATGACACTCCAGTGCAGTGCTGAGGGCTTGCTATATTTGCTGTACTGTCCTTCGGATGAGACATTAAACTGAGGCTCCATCTGTCTGTTTGGTGGACATGAAAGATCCTATGGCACTATTGAAGAAGGAGGGAAGTTTCTCCCAGTGCCCTGGCAACAATCCCCCAAATAAAATTACTTATGGGACATTGCTGTGAGCAAATTGGTTGCTGTAGTTGTCCACAAAACACGCGGTCACTGCATTTCTAATTATAGCCTGTGAAGCGCTTTGGGACTTCCTCCAGACATAAAAGACATGATGCCAAATGTAAGTATTATTATTATCTGGACTACATCATATTGGTGAATATTGTTGATTTGTATTCTAACTTGTCTTACATTACTTGAAAGAAAACTAAAACGTTTGGTTAATTTTACAGGAATTCAGCAGAACCTGCACATTGTCCTCATAATGGATTGCACCAACCCAAATTTTACTATCAACTGTGAAAGTAACCCAGCCTTTTATAAGAGGTGTGCAGTGCAGTGGATGGAAGGCTGGTCTAAAAGCAGCATGAAAAAAGTAAGTGAATACTTTTGGATTACTGTCCTGGTTTCAAAGGGTCTTCAATTGAGGAGAAGTAAACACATTTCTATTGTATTAGAGCATAAAGCTCAGTTAGAGCACTCGCCCCGCAAGCAAGAGACCTGGATACGATTCCCAGCAGGGCAAAACCTTGGGCATGTTTCCTTACTCCACACGCCTGATAATAATCTCTCAAGAAAAAAAACAATAATAATTTGGTCATGTCAATCCACGACTGTTTGTGGGACACTGCTGTGCGCAATTGGCTGCCACGTTTCGCCCACAAATATACAGTCAATTCACTTTAGGGTATATTCTGTGAATCGTTTTGAGACATCTAGAAGACTTGAAAAGCGCTATATCAAATGCAAAGATTATTATATATTTGTTAAGTATGGAATAAAGAATAGTCATTGGCCCATCAGGCCCACTTTTTGGACAACACCTACCTTCAGCAGAGACTCACCCTTCCTTAAACTCTGGAGAAAACTTGACATCCTTTTCATTCTTCTCTTTCTAATTATATCTATGTCCTGGCACTTAACAATAGTGGCTGGGCACCCAGTGAGAAGCAATTGCAAAATTCTTGTTGGTTTTCTCACTGTATTACATTACCCGTTAGGAAGTTGGTTTGCAAAGTTAACAGGAGACAAGTGAGTAGATCACAACAACAAAAACAACTTCCATTTATATAGGGCTCTTCACATGTGGTAGCGTCCTGGAGCGCTACCCCACATTATCACAGCTCCGAGTAACATGTCGTTCCCTCCAAAATTATTTGTGAGTAAGAAAACTGATCAAATTCCTTGGAATAACCCTGCCTGAGGCACGGGTTATCAAGTCCATCACAAAGATGATTCTCTGTGATTTGGTTACATTCTTTTGCAGATAAGGGACCTCTACCACGTTATTCCTTTCCCCACCATCTTCCCCAGGAGGATTTGACAATATTGATCATTCTCCTCAATTCTTTTTTATTTCTGATTACAGAAATGGAATAAATGCAATTTTATGTGACCCCACTACCCTTACGCTCCTATTGTGTGAAACATACAATACCTGATAGATTCACACACACTTTAAAAGCAGAATACATCGGTAAATGTTAATAGCACTCCAGCCAGTGCAAATTGGATTTTGCTTCCATGAATTGAAATACCCCATCAGGCAATTGAAAAATATCTTTGATGATCACATTTACAATGTGTGCTTCACAGAAAATATGACGAGCACACATTTCTTATTTTCCTCCATTTTGAGTTAACCTTGTGTCTGATGGAGATATGATACATGGTTTAAATCAAATATGAGCCTGTAGGAATTGAATTAATTTTGGTTTATTTTTCAAGCCTCTAAATGCCAAGTACTTTCTCCAGCTGAATGTTGACAAGACTGAGGCCCTCCTGGCACCTGTCAGCTCCTCCTCACCTCAGGCGCTAACAGAATGAGCATTTACAGATGCACCCTCCACCTCATAGAGCTAATCCTGCAAAATTGCCCACCCTTGCCACTGCCTCTCCCTCTTTCCTCAGGCTTCCTAGATCCTCATTAATATATTCATCATGTCGAGGCTCGACTACGCTAACTCTCTACTCGCTGGACTTCCCAACTATTCCCTCCAGATGATTAGTCAGAACTGTGCAGCTCATTTCCTCTCCTGTACGAAGCTCTGGGAACTGATCAACCCTGCTTGCCTGGCTCCACTGGTTCCCCATCTCTCAGAGGATCAAGTTTACAATCCTCATCCTCACTTTTAAAGCACTCCATGGTCACGCTCTTCCCTACTTCTGCGACCAAGTAACACCTTCCCAAACCTGTCCACTTCCTCTGCTCGGAGGGCACTAGTCTGCCTCATGTCCCCTGCCCTGCCCGCCTCACCATTGGCAGTCGGGGCTTCAGCTTTTATGTCCCCACCCTCTGGAAATCCATCCCGGAATCCCTCTGCCTCGTCTTCTCCCCCTCTGCCTCGTCTTCTCCCTTGCCTTCTTCAAGGGAGTGTCAAGACTTTCATCTTTGATTGTGCTTTTTGATTTTGGACAGAACACTGGGAGAAACTCTCTTTTCTAGTAGTACCAAGGGATCTGTTAACGTCGACTGAACAGGCAGATGGTTCCTTGGTTTTATGTCTCATTGGAAGGGCAAATAATATACTGGGCATGTAAAGGTCCCATAAGGATCCCATAATAAGATTTATGTTTGCAAAGTTAAGGTTTTACATTTTACATTTGTTGTGGCATCTTAATGAAAATCTTAGTTAAAATTTATGGTCTTTAATGTTTGCAATATTTGATTACTACCAGTAGGTGGCACTTGACTCTCCAGGTATGTGAAATTGCTGCCTTTGAATTTGCTTGACCGCCTTTTTTTTGTAATTGACAATTTATAAGAGTTTGCCATTTTTCCCGGTGTCCTGGCGAACAATTCCCCAGATAATATTGGTCATTCACTTCAGGACTGTTTCTCGGATATTGTTACGCACAAATTTGCTGGAGTATTTGCCTGCAAAATACGCAGTCACTATAAAAATAATAATACAATTTGCATTTGTATAGCACCCTTCACGTGAGTATCATCTCAGAGCTCTGAATAATAATAACAGTCCTTATAGTTGGTATAGTGACTTATCAGATTGTGAATACGTGTCAAAACGCTTCACGTGATTTACTATGAAGTATCATCACTGTATATTTTTTAAAGTACTACATCAAATGCAAGACTTATTAATTATAATTTTAAAAATTAATAATCGTCCATGCATTTGATATAACACCTTAACATGTCATCAAAACATCTCATAGTGCTTCACAGCGTAGTGGTTAGAGACTCACAAGCGAGAGGAACCGGGCAAAACCTTAAGCAAGTTTCCTTACTGCTCATACCTCTATTTACCTAGGAGTAAGGAACCTGGTTGTTAGTTGATTGTCGGATTGCTTCTCCGGGGGTAATAATGCCTTCAAAAGTAATAATTTAAAAAATGTGGTCGCTTAATCCACGGCTAATTGTATCACCAAAACATATTCAATTCTTTTTACAGTGTATTCTGTGAAGCGCTTTGAGATGTCTAGAAGACGTGATAAGGCGCTATATCAAATGCAAGAATTATTATTATTTGTAGTGAAACACGGAAGCCAATTTTGTCCCAGGCAACATTCCACAAACTGCTACGAAGTGAATGATTGTAACTTGAATGCTAATTTAAGGTTACTGTGTTACCAAATCCAATTCAGGGAGAGGTTAGGAGATTTTGTTTTTGACAGTGGGACTATTAGAACATGGAAATGCACTACCAAAAATGTGCTTGAATCAGAATTAGACAAATGTTTTAAAAATGAAAATATTGTGGGACTAGAGCAGAGAAGTGGGATTGAATGGTTCGTTCGTTCTCTCAGGGAGGTGGTGTGTACATGGTATGTGGATGCCTTCCAGTGCTGTCATTTCTATGATTCTTGTTTCAGATTCCTGAAATGTTGCTTTTACTAAACTATGGACAAGAGGAGAAAGTGAAGAAAGAAAGACGCAGGAGTTCAATTTCTGGTTTGTTTCTTGCTGATGCATTATTATTTCTAATGTGTGGACCACTATTGTGAATTACTGTAGAGAGCCTATTATTTGCACTAATGAGAATAATTCTAACAGCTTACATTTGTTGTAAATGTGAAGTAGAGCGAACACAAGGTTGTTAGTATTGCATAGCTGCATTCAGAATGGTTTTAGAAGCCATGTGCACAACAGCAATTTTGCCTGGCTCAGGTGTCAACACTCTCACCTCTAAGTCAGAAGGTTCAAGCCCCAGATCGGGACTTTGACCTCACGTAGTTTGGGCTAGGACTCCAATGCAATGCTGGGGGAATGCTTTCATTGTCAGATAAATTTAGAGGAATATTGACACTCATTATGGGTTTTCTCTGCTTGTCTGGGCAGATCTTCAATGTTCAGCTCCTTGCACTAAAACAATCAAGAATGTAATCCTCTAATTAGGATTGGTGAGCAATATTAGTAGGGATGAAAAGGAAAAACTACAAATAATGGAACTAATATAAAAATCGAAAAATATAAGCACCGACAATGATGGTTGGATGGCTGTATATTCTAGCCTATCTTTATATTGCTTTTTGAGACTGTTTTCTAAAAATGTCAAGCAATAGAACAGAGATTATTTCTGAGTGTTTCCATCATGAAGGAAATAATTGGAAAGAAAATAATATAACTGTAGAGGTATAGACTTAAATGGTATAAATTTCTATAAATACTTAAAACAGACAACGAGGTTTATGTGTAAACACTTATTGTTATTGATGACCAGTGGAAAAGATTGGCTTTTAATTGCTTGATTAATAAATCATTTTACTTGTTGTTGTTACATGATCAATTTGACTCCTAATACCCTCTGCAGATATGCATTTATACATGGTATAAACCATGGTTGTGTTTACATATGGTGTAATTGATTTAGCTACTGTGCCCTCAAACTCTCGAACTCCCTCTGGCTTGCCTCATCTCTTTCCTACTTTAAATCATGCCTAAAATCCTACTTCTTCAACCACTCTTACTATCACCTACCACTTCTTCATTGCTCGGCATTCCACCGTACTTTTGTGAGACTTTATTCTTTATTCTATATAAAGCATGTTATATAAATGCAAATTGCTGTAATTCAGTTAATATATAAAATGGAATAGTTTTTTTAATACATCTGCCTCTTCTGTCCCGCGAAATTAAGTCTTGAAGTAGAATAGCCTGAATGGGTTGAATATTGAGGTGAAGGTGAAAATTGTCTATTATTGTGTACCGTTTAGGAAATTTGATGTCAACACAATCATTACTCTCTTTTTGGTTATTGTATTGGAGATGTATTAAAAGTGACAATTGTTGTTGGAGTTAGATGTTCAGAATTTGAGGTGTTGTTCTCTCATTGTCATTAAATTTAACCTTCGTCAGAGCTCATTTAAAATGGGAAAATTCTGTCATTTGCCAATAGGAAATGAGCTGCCCCTTTTCACCTTTCTTTGGCTCTGTGAGACTTTTGGAGATCGGGAAACATTACATCAAGCCAAATTCAATGTATATAAGTGGAACGTACTGTATATAGGAAAAATAGGAGGCACATGACGGCGTACGACAATTGGAAGACGCAAGATACTGAGGATAGCAAAGCGCATTATAGAGAATGCAGGAGTGATCTTAAAAGAGTAATAAGACAGGCTAAAAGATTGCATGAGAAGAGGTTAGCGGGTAACATAAAGGGGAATCCTAAAATATTTTACAAGCACATAAAGGAAAAAAGGTTAGTTAAAGGTAGGGTGGGGCCAATCAAAGACAATGACGGCAATCTTGTTGTGGAGGCAGAGGGCATGGCTGATGTACTGAACGAGTACTTTGCATCTATCTTCACAACGGAAATGGATGCCCCAAATGCCGCAGTATTGGATGAGAGGGTAGAGGAAATAGATCAGATTACTATAGACAGAGTGGAAGTTCTGAAAAGATTGACTGGGCTCAAAATTGATAAGTCACCAGGACCAGATGGGTTTCACCCAAGGTTGCTGTGGGAGATACGGGTTCAAATAGCGGAGGCTTTGGCCATTATATTTCAATCTTCATTGGACACACGAATGGTGCCAAGAGACTGGAGAGTGGCTAATGTTACCCCCCTCTACAAAAAGTGGCAGAAAGACAAACGCGGAAATTACAGGCCAGTCAGCCTAACTTTGGTTCCATCACCTCCGGAACATCGCCAGACTACGGCACTACCTCACCCCTCACGCTGCTGAAACCCTGGTTCACGCCTTTGTCACCTCAAGGCTGGACTACGGGAACTCTCTCCTTGCCGGCCTTCCCGTCACCTCCCTCCACAAGCTGCAGGTCATTCAGAACTCTGCAGCTCGTGTACTGTCCCGCACCAGGCTTCGGGACCACATCACTCCCACCCTCGCTCGCCTCCACTGGCTCCCCATCCCCCAGAGGATTGATTTCAAGATCCTCATCCTCACCTACAAGGCCATTCACGGCCTTGCTCCCTCCTACCTCTCCAACCTACTATCCCCCTACCTACCTGCCCGTACCCTCCGTTCCTCTGGCTCTGGTCTGCTCCACGTCCCCCGCCCAACCGCCCTACCATCGGTGGTCGGGCCTTCAGCCTCTCAGCCCCCAGGCTCTGGAACTCCATCCCCAGTGCCTTCGCCTTGCTTCCTCCCTCTCCTCCTTCAAGGCCGGTCTCAAAACCTTTCTCTTTGACCGTGTCTTCAGCTCCCCTCTCGACTCTCTTCCCCCTCCTCGCTCCCTCCCTTCCATCCCCTCACCCTGACCATTTCCCCACTCCTTGCTCCCTCCCTTCCCTCCCTCATCCTGACCATTTACCCCTGCTCGGGTCATGACCCAACTGTGCAGCGCCTTGGGACGTCCTCCTGACGTGAAAGGCGCTTTATAAATGGAATCTTGTTGTTGTTGTTGGTAATAGGAAAACTACTGGAGACCAACAACAACAAGATTCCATTTATAAAGCGCCTTTCACGTCAGGAGGACGTCCCAAGGCGCTGCACAGTTGGGTCATGACCCGAGCAGGGGGAAATGGTCAGGGTGAGGGGAGGGAAGGGAGGGAGCGAGTAGGGGGGAAATGGTCAGGGTGAGGGAGGGAAAGGAGGGAGCGAGGAGGGGGAAGAGAGTCGAGAGGGGAGCTGAAGGCTCGGTCAAAGAGAAATAATCCGGGACAGAATAAATCTCTATTTAGAGGAACATGAGGTAATTAGAGACAGCCAATTTGGATTTGTTAAAGGCAAATCTTGCCTAACAAATCTAATAGAATTTTTTGAAGAGATGACTGCGAGGGGTGATGAGGAAAATGCGGTGGACGTTATTTACATGGATTTCAAAAAGGCTTTTGACACAGTACCGCATAAGAGATTAATAAAAAAATTAGAGGCCCACGGTATTAAGGGGACAGTGGCAGTTTGGATTAAGAACTGGCTGAGTGACAGAAAGCAGAGGGTGGTGGTTAATGGGTGTTTCTTGAAATGGAAGGAGGTGTGCAGCGGTGTCCCCCAGGGATCGGTATTGGGACCACTGCTCTTTCTAATATATATTAATGATCTGGACTTGGGCATAGAGAGCACTATTTCCAAGTTTGCAGATGATACAAAGTTAGGTAGGGAAGTAAATAGTGAGGAGGACTGTAACCAACTGCAAGCAGACATACACAGAATGGTGGAATGGGCTGACATGTGGCAGATGGATTTCAATGTGGATAAGTGTGAGGTGATACACTTAGGTAGGAAAAATGATAGGAGGCAATATAGACTTGGTAGCTCAATCTTAAGGGGGGTGAACGTACAGAGAGATCTGGGTGTTCAAGTAAGCGAATCATTAAAGGTAGCGGGGCAGGTAGATAAGGCAGTAAAAAAGGCATTTGGTGTACTGAGCTTTATTAGTAGGGGCATAGAGTATAAGAGTAGGGAGGTTATGGTTAATCTATACAAAACACTGGTTAGACATCAGCTGGAGTACTGCGTCCAGTTCTGGGCACCTTACTTCAGGAAGGACATTAAGGCATTGGGAAGGGTGCAGAGGAGATTCACGAGAACGATACCAGGAATGGGAAACCTTAGCTATGAGGACAGGCTGGAGAAGTTAGGACTTTTCCTGTTAGAGCAGAGAAGGTTACGCGGTGACCTGATAGAGGTCTTCAAGATCATGAAAGGTTTCGACAGGCTAGATAAGGAAAAGCTGTTTCCGCTGGTAGGTGTGACTGTGACCGTGGTCACAGTCTTAAGATATCTACCAAAAGAAGCAGAGGAGAGGTTAGAAGACATTTTTTCACTCAGCGAGTTGTTCGAATTTGGAATGATCTGCCTGAAAGGGTAGTGAAGTCCGATTCGATAACAGCTTTTAAAAGCGAACTGGATAGGTGTCCGGGGAAGATGGGTTTGCAGGATTATGGGGAGAAAGCTGGTGATTGGGGTTAGTGAAAGTGACTTGCTCTGTCAGAGCCGGCACAGACTCGATGGGCCGAATGGTCTCCTGTGCCGTAACATTCTATGAATCTATGATTCTATGTTCTCCATGACAGGTTAAAACTTGCCTTAGAGACATTTAAAGAACCCTGGGTGTAAGATAGCTCATTACTCACTAAGACCAAATGAGTCAACAATAAATAAAGCTAACACAGATACTTTTGGAAAAATTGTGAAAATGAGATTATACATTTATGTTCTGCCTCGTTACAGACATTAATGAGGAGCAATAAATGTTGCGCTTTTAACAAGATGGTGAACACTCAAACTCAAATTAAATTAATTCTGCTTTAAAGTTTTGTTGCACAGCAGTCTAATAATTAAGTGTTTAATGGACAAGACTATTCTTAATGGAGTATAGCCTTATCACTAATGATGAAAACAGCAGGAAGGTTTTATTTACAAAATTTAGAACCACAATTACAAAAAATAGAACCGCATGATGCTCTATTTGGTAAAAGGGGTTCAATTATCAAAAGCAAAAATAACTTATTCATAATTGCTGTTTCTCTGTATAAAATATTTTGTCCAAGGTTAAATTTGTACCATGCCATTTCTAAGATATAATTATTATGTGTATTCTGAGGAATGTGGACAATTACAAATTGTAAGGAAAAAAGAGTCTTATTAAATACCTTTACGAGAACCTAATCTTTGATAACTAGTCTGCTTCCATCACCATTGTTATGGGTTCAAGCACCATGTCAGAACTCTGAACCTGACTAGCCTAGTGTTGGAGAATGTTGCAGTGTTGGAGGTACCTTCAAGTGAGATATTAAACCATGGTGTTGTCTGCTTATTTAAGTCATTAAAGATCCCACGGCATTATTTGAAAAGAGGAGGATGTTTCTCCTGGTATTCTGTAGCTCAGTGGTTAGAGCACTCGCCTCGCAAGCGAAGGGACCTGGGTTTGATTCCCGGGTAAAACCTTGGACAAGTTTCCTTACTCCAATAATCCCTCAAGAAAAAAACAATAATAAATTGGTCACTTCAATCCACGACTGCTTGTGGGACACTGCTATGCGTAATTGGCTGCCATGTTTTGCCCACAAATATACAGTCAATTCACTTTACAGTATATTCTGTAGTGCTTTGAGACGTCTAGAAGATGTGAAAAGCGTTATACCAAATGCAAGGATTATTTTTATTCTGCCCAACAATTCCCTCCCAAAAATGCTCATTCACTTCATGATGGTGTCACATATATCTGGCGCAAATTAGCTAACCATTCACCTACAAAATACACAATTGACACTTTATAATAAATCCTATGAAGTGCTTTGAGATGTTTTGATGCGGCAGTTAGGAGCTATAAAAATATTTATCATACTGCATTTGTTTTCAGTTGAGAAAAGATTTAACACTTGAGTGATGCTATTTAAGCTAAATTAATGTAGGTTGAATCAGAAGTAATGCACAGCATCGAGAGAGGGAGGGAAGGACAAAGAGAAGTAATCATGTCCAGCTGTCATCCTCCTGACATCTGGTTTCCAGCGATATTGGCAGAGGCCTTGAAGCAGATTGTCTATTCACACACCTGAATGGGGAGTTATAGAGCAGGAAGGACCACTGTCACTCCACTTTACAGTATATCCAGTGAATAGCTTTGAAACATCTCAAAGACGTAATAAGGCGCTATATCAAATGCAAGGATTACAATATTGGGAAGTTACATAGAGTGAGACAGCACCCTCCCAAAGGTGAACCAAAGCATTCAGACCAAATATTCCTTGCCAATATTTATACTCCACAAAAGCCACATTCCTTCTGCTCCACCTCATCTATATCCATTTCTCCCTCAATTATTCATTATTGTGAGGATGCTTCAGAGACTTGTGATGTGTTAATTATCAACAATAATAATCAACAATAGTAATCACAGGGACTAAAAGTGCTGTCAATTGTCATTGACTTTTGTAGAATTAATTCTCCCCCACTTTAGCACAGATTGTGGAGTTAGAGCAGATTGCTAATTCAAGTGACATTTTTAGTTTGATCAATTTTAGAGCATTGCTACCACTGTTGTCAATGGTGGAGCATAGGGTTTTGCTATTGCCTTCCGAGATACTGGTTCTGCATTGGATCTTCAGTAGGGTTATAGAAATCATAGAATATTACAGTACAGAAGGAGGTCATTCAACCCATATTGCCTGTGCTAGCTCTTCATAAGAGCTACCCAATCAGTCCCACTTCCCCGCTCTTTCCCAATATCCTTACAAATTTTTCCTCTTCAAATACCTATCCAATTCCCTTTTGAATTTGCTCCAGACCATAACAACTCTCTGTGCGTGTAAAAAAAAGTTTCTCCTGATCTACTCTATCAAAACCCCTCAGAATTTTGAACGCCTCTATTACATCTCCCCTTCTATTATAATAATAATAATCCTTGCATTTGATATAGTGCCTTATCACGTCTTCGAGACATCTCAAAGGGCTTCACAGAATATACTATAAAGTGAATTGACTGTATATTTTGTAGGTGAAATGTGGCAGCCAATTGCGTACAGCAATGTCCCACAAGCAGTCATGGATTGAAGTGACCAATTTATTATTTTTAAATTTTTTTTGAAGGAATTATTACCCCCGGGAAAAAAGATCCGCCAATCGACTAACAACCACGTTCCTACTTACTGCTAGGTAAACAGGCGTGTGGAGTAAGGAAACTTGCCCAACATTACTCTCTGCCAGGAATTGAACCCAGGTCTCTCGCTTGCGAGGCGAGTGGTCTAAACACTGAGCTACAGGACTTCTCTGCTCTAAGGAGAATAATCCCAGCTTCTCTAGTCTCCCCACATAACTGAAGTCCCTCATCCCTGGTACCATTCTGGTAAATCTCCTCTGCACCCTCTCCAAGCCTTGATATCCTTCCTAAAGTGTGGTGCCCAGAATTGGACAGAATACTCCAGCTAAGGCCTAACCAGTGACTTATAAAAGTTTATCCAAACTTCTTTGCTTTTGTACTCTATGCCTCCATTTAGAAAGCCAAGGGTCCCATATGTTTTTTTAACAGCTCTAACAACCTGTCCTGCCACCTTCAAGGACCTATGTACGTGAACCCCCAAGTCTCTGCTCCTGCACCCCCTTACAAACTCCATTTAGTCTATATTGCCTCTCCTCATTCTTCCTCCCAAAATGCATCACCTCACACTTCTCAGCATTAATCTGCCATTTCACCCGTCTGTCTATGTTCTGGGACCCAACTGCCCCAACTCCTTCCTCCATTCGCAAACACTGGTCTGTTCCCTTCATCTTCTCTGCTCCAGTCTACCTCACTACAAAGTTGTCAAGCTTTCAGCCATTCTGTTTCACTTTCTGGATCTCCATCCGAGTCCCTCCCTCCCTCCCTGCCTTTTGAGACCTGTCTTTTTTTTAAAAAAAAGACCTTTTTTCTGCACTTTTGGCCACTTTCCCTGCCTTTGCTCCCTGCTTAGGTTCCCAGTCAGCTAGGTGAAGCGCTTTCGGACATTCTCCTGTTGCTATCAAAGGTACCATATAAATATAAATTAATACTTTTAATAAATTTGCTGAAAGTTAGTTTTCATGTTACATTGTTTGATGCTGAAGGTGTATGACAAATGACCTGTTTTATACAGTCCCCTCAATTTAAGAATATGTTGTATGACCTCATTTGATAAAGATAAATAGTTTGCTGCATTTCATCTAAATGCAAATGTTCCTCCTTGCTTACAGCAGTGCTTTTGTTTACAGGTGATGCTGATCTAATAAAGTCTTTCTTGATGATTCATGAGTCCTGTAAAGAGTATGGAGCTACTCCACACAGATACATGATTTTCTTGGATGTGTACAGCTCTATTTATACTACGAAAAAAACTGACCTTATGAAACAGCAGAGTCACTTGCAGGTATGTTCATGAGATCAGCACCAATGAACCAATTAGCAATCATTAATTAATGTTGAATAGGACCAAATCAATCGAAAGTTTCATCTGGTCTTGCCATTAAATTACTGAGCTTTTCAGAGGTTTATTATTATCTGTATTGACACGTAAAGCACATGCATTATAATTGTGCTTTCGTTTTAGCACATCACCATTAGAGAAATGTTTTTTCTGTTGGATAGGCCAAATGGCTGCCTTCATCCAAACTGATCTTGTGGCTGATCATTGAAACTGAACCACCTGTCTCATGGCTGACTTAATATAATTAATTTTGTGGTAGTGAGTTTTGCAATTGGTCAAAGAGAACCAAGTATGGTCAAAGAGATGCTATTTTGAGGTTCCTGAAGGCATCTAGAGAAATAACAAGGCAACTTGATTTTGCAATCATGCTTCAAAACTCAGTGGCATGGTGACTGAAACCTTCACCAGCAAATGGTGGAGTGAAGGAATTAATGAACAAACAGTAAACTGGAGTCAGAAAAGCTGAGGTTACTGGAATATTGGGCTGCAAAAATTGAATTGGTAGGAGGAGCAATTTGCAGATCAGGACAAGATTGTTAAATTTGATCCACTGGGTTACTGGGTCTACTTGGTGCAGGCATTACACATTAGTGGCTTAGGATGTAGAGTACTTTGTCATAAATATCCAAATGTGAGAGCAAGTTCATAATGTACTATGTGGTGAATATTAGGTAGTCTGGAGGAGTTTCAAGTTTGTAAAGATTCCATGTTTATTAAAATCTCCTTGAAATAACAAATTGAAGGGAAGTTTAGTAGATATTTACCAATTTGACAAAATGTTGATGTGTGTAAAATAGATATTCAAGTCTACTTTAAGATTGAATGGCCAATTTCCTGTATTTAAATGTTTTTTTTTGCAGAAAATGAAATTTGCAAAGTGGCTTTCGACATGTTATGACAGTACTGAAAAAACAATAGCTTACATTTATATAGCGCTCCTCATTCAGATTAGTGTCTTGGAACACTGAAAAGGGAAATTTATTCAAATGTATTCTATTTGGTGTTTGTTACTACAGGCTGGCGTTTCTAAGCTAAATGAAGCCAAAGCACTTGTTGATGAACTGAAGAGAAAGGCAGCAGAACAAAGCGTATTGCTGAAAACCAAGCAAACAGAAGCTGATTCAGCCTTGCAAGAGATCACAGTATCCATGCAGGTATTATACCTGGACATCATAAATTCTGTTTCGTGCAGCCACATTCTGAACCTCAGCTCTCCTTCACACCTCAGAAATTTCCATTATTTGCATGTAGCAAAATGTTCCACTGCACTTAATTGGTGAATTTACAGATAAAAATAATCTATACAATTTGTAAAGCATTATGTAAAATGTGTTAAGTAGTTGCATAGTTTTAAGCCTTCAATTTTATTATTCAAGAAAAAACAGCTTAAAGCAGGTGTTTGTTTGGCCAACTCATCCTTGCTTTTGGTTGCTGTCATCCACTATCAAGATCTCCCAAAAATCTCCATAGGTGTGCTCCAGTTAACCAAGACCCTTGTCTACTTGTTTTAGAGATGTTGTGAAGCTTGTTGCAAACTCAAGAACAGGAGATACTCTTAAGCGCTTGATTCACTAGAAATACATTTTCCTAACAAGAATGGGGTTCCTGTGCTCTCAATGGCAATATTCTTCAAGTTCTATCCAATTCCATATCTCATGTTTTAGGTATGAGAACGTCTGTCAGATAGTTTACTGTGGTTACAGCTCACTTGTTAAACTATTGAGGAAGCTGTTTTACTTAACATGTAATGGAACTCTCTCATACTGGTAAAAGGTGTTAGTTCAAGCCAGAGTCCCCGTCCCCCCAGAAGTTAGTTATAACTGCTGTGCCAATAGAAAAGTGCGGACATATTTGCAAAAAAATTGCAGAACGCTTTGCGAACCTTGCGGGGAATTGCAGAAGGGTTTGCTGAGTTTTGCGGGAAGATTGTGGAGATTGATTGGTGCTATTGAGGTACATTTTACTGCCACATTTTTTCACTTTATTGATTAAACATAAGGAAATAACACATATTAGATTATTGCAAAAAACTATTAATTGTTTCTTTAACAAACACTCAGTGGCCATTTTTGGGGGGAATTGGGACACACACACCAATGAGGCTACAGGAGTTCACCACCTCCTGCCTCTCAGGGTCGGCAAGGCACAGAGACCCAGAGAGGGACACGCACACTCACAGACACAGAGAGGGACACGCACACTCACCGACACAGAGACACACACACTCAGAGACACAGAGAGAGATACACGCACTCAGAGACAGAGAGAGCGACACACACACTCTAAGACACAGAGAGAGACACACTCAGAAACACAGAAAGAGACGCGCACACACAGAGACACACACACTCACAGACACAGAGACACACACACTCAGAGACGCAGAGAGAGACACACACTCACAGACAGAGACATTCCCACAGAGATCTAAAACCGAGCAAACAGAAGCTGTGTCATAAACATACACACATATAGAATTGACATAGACATATTCACATGAAGACAAACCCACAGACAATCACCTCAGCGGAGCCTCCACCTGTAGCCCATTTGCCGCTTGGCCGCACTGCGTGTCTGAAGCGGCTCCACCCACAGTGACATCAGATAAGCAGCGTGAGCGGCCCACGGGCCAGAAACGACATTTATGGCAGGTTTGTAGTGGGCAAAGTTTGTTGTGGCGGAAAAGTTTCTGCTGCACTTTTCTATTGGCCCAGGGCACAGGCTTGAGCCCTCGTTGGGGGAGTGGTCCTTTGTTAAGAGGTCCTTTGGATGAAATGTTAAACTGAGATGACGTCTGCTTTTTCAGGTGGATCTCACGGCACTATTTGAAAAAGGAAGAAAGTTTCTCTAGTGCCCTGGTCACTCCCAGATAAACTTGATCATTCTCTTCATGTCTGTTAGTGAGACTTTGCTGTGTGCAAATTGGCTGCTGCGTTTGCAGCCAAATGCACAGTCACTACATTTCTAGGAATATTCTGTGAAGCCCTCTTTACGTCAAAAGTATAAAATCAAATGCAAGGAGTGTTATTGTTATTATTATAAGGGGACTTCAGTAAGTAATGATGACAAGACATTTTACAGAAATGGGACCTTCTCACATATGTGTTATGCAGGGGGTGAGATATTTTGAGCAAAGAGAAACTAATTGATTTTATGGTGGTGTGATTGTGTGTGAATGTGTTTTGTAATAGCACAGAAGATGCATATCAAGCACAGTACTTATTCTAAATCATAAGTGGACATTTTGACTTCAGTTTTGGATGCAAAACAAAGATTAATATTCCTGATACTTGGAAAAGCAAATTACAACTTATCATGGTTAGATAAGAATATTATACACAAGTGCAAATGAAATATGTGTATATTGCTTGTCACTTTGATATGTGTGATACTCCATATCGTTTAGAGCTACAATGCTTAGAAAATGATGACTGAGGCTAAATGTAATATGTGGATGCTGTCTTTCTTGTCAGAATGCCAGTGAACAGAAAACTGAAATGGAACAGATTAAACAGAAAATTGCTGAGGAGGTTGTGAAGATTGAGAAGCGTAAGAGTGTAATCGAAAATGAGCTTAAGGAGGTCCAGGTAAAGATATTTTAATCATTCACTGTTTTATTGTGTCCACGAGATTAAAGAGATTTGTCGTCAAAAATGACTAAAATGAAAGAAGAAGGGAATGGTTCAAGTATTCTTATTTTCAAAGTTGCATTTATCCAGAATTATTTTCCACTGTAGCACAAAATAAATTAACTCATTCTAAAATAATTTAAAATAGTTTAGGATTTAGAAATAATTTAGGCAAACATTTAGGGAATGCAGGGTTATGGGAGAAGGGATTTGGAGGGGCGGAAGCTCATGTGGCGTATAAACACCTGAATGGACTTGTTGGGTCGAATGGCCTGTTTCCGTGCTGTAATATTCCATGTAATTCTATATAATTTGGAGGTGTTAAATTCTCTATACTTATGAAAAATATAAACATTTATATTTTAAATCATATTTATATCTTTTTCCTGTGCAGCCAGCTTGTAGAGTCGTGATGTTGTTATCTCTGGAATCAGAACTGAAATCTACATGCATTTACAATAATAAAGCCCATTCATTCACATTTAAATAATTCCCCTCCACTCCTAGTACATCCCACGTGTGATACCTTAGCCTGCTTGCACATCTAGCATACTGTCACGGGATTCTATGAGGTGCAGGAGTGGATCATGATTTCACTTCACATCTCTCTGTTTGAGGAAGTTATGAGGTAGCTGGAGGTAGCTGGAACCTGCAGGTTGTCCAAGATTAGTGATGTCTTGCATAGTAAACTGCAACAAAACTTAATATTGAATAATAATAACAATGATGATAATGTTTGTATTTTAAAAACACACCTTTTCACATTGAGTGGATGCTTCACAGCTCCACTTACTACAGTAGTAGTACTACTTACTACATACAGCAAATTTGCCCACAAACAAACAGTTGGGAAAAGAATGACAAATTTTATCCTTGGGAATTGTCGGCCAGGACACTGGGAGAAACTCTCTTCTCTTTTCGAATAGTGCCATGGGATCTTTAACATTCACCTGAAAAGCTATGCATGACCTTGGTTTATCATGTCATCTGAAGGATGACATCTCCAGCAATGCAGGCCACTGTATTGGAGTGTCAGCCTAGATACTGTGACTTCAGACTCCCAATATGGAGCTTAAACTTAAATCCACAGCTTTGAGACTCAGGCAAGATTGCTACGAACTGAGCCAAACTGACACCACAGCCACGCATTCAAGCTTGTAAACAGAGATCTCTGGGTCATCTTCAGAATCAGAACTGAGCTAATTATTCCATTCACAACCCACAAGATGCTGAGGCCAATTGTGGCTTCCACTGGCACATGCCACTGAAGTTGGCTTTCTCAGTACAATCTAGTGGTCAATTTGGGGAGGGGAAATCTAACCAACAAAATGTTCATGGTACAAATCTAGGTTAAAAGTTATAGCTACAGTTGAATCTGTGACAAAGGTTGTTCATTTTTTTCCCTTTAGCCTCTGGTGGATGAAGCCAAACGAGCAGTGGGGAATATAAGGCCAGAATCTCTGTCGGAAATCCGGTCCTTGCGCATGCCCCCTGATGTAATCAGAGATATTTTGGAAGGAGTATTGCGGTTAATGGGTATATTTGATACTTCATGGGTCAGCATGAAGAGGTGAGAATACATTATTATAATACAGTGATTCCCAGTGATATTCAGATGTTCTACCTCTATTAAACCAGAATGGTGTACTTGTTATTACAACAAATGAACTGATTAGCATTTTGGGAGTTAATGATCTTGTTTCATGGTCATTATGACTTTTTTATTTTTGCGCCTATGTAGCTCTCGCAAAACTGAATGGGAAAACAGTTTTCCATTTGCATCCATTCGTAACATTGCTGGAGTGGTAGAATAAATCGCATTGCATTCAGAGATCCCTATGGCTTGCCTTAACAATCCAACTTAATCGTAATGTCAGATAAACAAGCATGTTACTGTATTTGGTTGGGAATATTTACATTTATATTTGTGATGCCATGAATATAATTTGCTGTAGTTGACTCACTTTGATAGTTATTCAGAATCATACACACACACATACAGTGTGTTCCTATATGAATATATACTTTAAGTTAAACGTTGTACATAGCAATGATTTTCAAGTCAAATTGTGAGGAAAATGTATTCAAAAGCTTTCATAGGTTCTAAATTAAGTTTAAATGGGCTTGTAAATTGTGATTGTTGAAATAATCAGCTTTTCAGTTCATGAGTAGGTTTGTATCTGATATGATTAAATGTACTCTTCTCAACCATTATATTTTGATTTCAACTCATTATTTTCATTATCAAACCTATGTATAAATTAAAAATTAAATGTAATACAGTGTATTACACTCTGTTCATTTCTAACTTAATGGTCAAAAAGTAAGGTACAAAGAGTGTATGTTTTCTATAACATTCTCATAAGATAAACAATGTAGTGTTGATATTACAACTGGCTTCAGTAAGCCAACATGGATTTAAAATAATATATTATTATTATTATATGGATTTCTAATGTATTATTTCATGTTGACCATTCCAGTTTCTTGGCAAAACGGGGAGTAAGAGAAGAGATTGCGACTTTTGATGCCTGGAGTATCAGCAAAGAAATCCGAGAGAGTGTTGAGGGACTTTTACAGAAAAATGGCGCTTCATTTGACCCGAAGGTACAATTGATAAATAACATGAAAAGATTGATAGTGCCTTATTGCAGTTTGTTAGAGACATTTAAATGAACGACTGCTAATAAATAATAAATTACCCCCAGAATTGCTTGCTTATCACAATTTCCTGAAAGCACCATGAAATATGAAGGACAATTTTTTTTAGAATCGTGTGTAACTGAATTAATCTGAGACTGAATTTATTTTCACCATTTGTTTTACCTGTGAAATTTAATAAATGTGCCATCAATTTGGTAACAAATTACAGAATGCCAAACGTGCAAGTGCTGCAGCTGCTCCATTGGCTGCGTGGGTCCGAGCTAATGTGAAATATTCCTATGTGTTGGAGAAGATTCAGCCTCTGGAAAAGGAACAGGCTACTTTAGTTGAGTAAGTATTGCAGGATCATTTGCAATATTTGTATATGTTATATATAAAAAGACTTTATCAAGTTATACCATTATCAATAAATTAATTTTCACTAACCTCTAACCTAAATAAAATACGTACTTGGAAACTACTGTGGTTTATTTTTCAGTATAAATACTCACAATTCCTGAGTATTTTATGCAATGTCTGCAATTTGCACCTTTCAAAATAAATCCATGCTATTATCCAGATATAGGATAATTGATATCTGGGAATGCGTTACAAGGGGTTCAGATATTTTTCTCAATCTTTGGAGAAGTCCAGCAGGTTTATAAATACATTTAGAATAGAGAAAATAGGTTAGAGGCTTTAACACTTGCTTTATTTAGTTTTACGTAATATACATGTGTATGGAATTGTAAGTCAAGATTTTTCAATTACAGGATCTCTTTATAATATAAAATTTGATAATGTACACAGAACAAAACAAAGCACTTTCCTGACTTATAGCAGGTTTACCCAAAAAAATCTCAGACAGAATTCACAATATATTATAAGGAAATTGCACGGAACTGTAATATATCATGCTTTGAAGTTTATCAGTTGGTCTTTGGCAGAAATTTTCTTTGGTCGCAAAATGGGTCACATTAATAAAAGATAGTATTACATCCTTTAGTTAAGAGTTACTTTGGGCTAAATATGCTTTCTAAAACAGTGCTGGAAGCTTCCTTTGGTTTCCACAGCAGGCAGCAGAAGCAGCCCCATGAGTGGAAATGATGAAGTGATTGATTCCAGTGCGGCTCACAAACCTGTACCGACATTGAATTATCTCGATGGGTGCTCAGGCCGAATATGACAGTCAGATTAACAGCTGAGTTTGAAATCAGATCCACCTACTGTGTTGGTCTTCTGATTGCCTAAAAAGTTGTCAGATTTTTAGCCAACCAGAGACTGATGTGCAGTTATCCGATGAGCACTACATCCAAAATGTGAGAAAGAAGGAGGTAGAGAAATCTTATGTAATGTTAAATAAATAAAATAAGTTTGAATAAGGATATTTAAATATAAAGCAGTGTAAAACAATATGGAAAAGAAAATAATGGATGGCACATAGAAATGGCTGCCTGGAATTTGTGACTAATTTCTGTTACAAATATATCGGGCAGAGAAGAAAGAGAATAGGTATACAGCTCCCTGGTGCCGTGATACATGACGGGTAATTCTCTCTGGGTATATTATATTAATAGGGATATTTGGACTTGAAATGGGTTTACAACCACTGAACAGAGCCGAATTGTGCTATTACATCTAACAAAGCTCTCAGAGGTGATTGGTATTTTCACTGTGGATTTTAAGGAAAAAAGCTGCTTAGCTGGTTGTCAAACAGCTCCATCAACAAACTCAATGAGACCTGCAGCATTTCTATATGGGCTCTCTGAGAAGAGGAAATTTGTAAGCAGCAACATAATGGTTGCAATCAGAAAATATTGGAACAATAGACGCCATTTTAAGTGCTCAGTTATCCAAACTTTCCGTTCGTGTAAACTCTTTGATGCTCCATAGTGAAACATTCTTTTTATATGTGATGTTTTGCTGCTGAGACGTTAAAATGCTGTAGATAACACATACATATAGGCATGTTGCTTTGCATCATATTGTAAACTATATTGAAATACAAAGTAATTTTAACTTTGTTTTCTATAACTAGGAACCTAAAGAGAACTGAAGAGCGGAAACAGAATTTGGAATCCAAGCTCAACAGTGTGGGACAGAAAGTGGCTGAACTTAAAGAAAAGTAAAAAAAAGCATAATTTACTTGACCACATTTTTCAGGGAACAAAAATGAAAATCATGAATGTTAACGAAGTGAAAGCAAGAGAGTTCTATCTAAAGCTGATATGCTCTTTAATTTCAAAAGGTTCCAAACCAGAACTACTGAGGCTGCCAAACTGGAAGCAGAAGTGAATAAAGCTCAGGAGACAATCGAGGCGGCAGAAAAGCTGATTAGCCAGCTTGACGGAGAGCACAGAAGGTGGAATGCACAAGTAGGTTTAGTATTTTACATTTGATTTAATGATTTGGCTTCTTTCACTATGGCAGCCTTCAAATCTGCTGTAATTATTTAAGCCCCATATAGCTTAAAACCCCTGAAAAGATGCTGGTAACCCAGAAGGTCTGTTAATATCAGCACAATGGAATCCATCCTGAAAAAATTCTATGAGTTGGTAAGCATTATTGGCCAGAGGTAATGGCGAGGGTTGTAACTTAATAGATTTTCTGGAGTTTTAGGCTTACTTTCAGTGCTGTGCTAAAATGTTATCACTTATAAGGTCAAGTTCAGAGAGGCTCACTTTTGGGTGAATAGCTATGAGAATTTCTGCATTAGAGATGCTTTTTAAAGATGGTTTGTGGTCGTATGGTTGTTGCCAAGANTTTTTTTTTGGCATTCTTGTCAAATCTACATAGAAATGCATGATTTGAAATGTTTTCATTCTCCAGTTTTTAGTACAGTTGAATGCTGGATAATAGATATTTAAATTGTCAAAATATGCTTGGATCAGCTTGCTGTGATCTGGCAGGTATGTTTTCATTTCATTTTTGGTGAATTCTAGGATTAAGTCTGGCATAAAAAGGAAATAAATATGAAGGCTACATTGTGCAGTAATTGGAATTGTGCTTAGATCCATTTCTGCTACACCAGGGGTTCTGAAGCTTTCTGAATTTGAGGCCTCCCATGACATTAGGCAGCCTGACTGAGGACTTGCTGGATGGGCATTAGCTCTCTTGGCTCTGGCACAGATTTGTGTTGCTCTGCAGACACTCACTGGAAGCTTGATGAAGTGCTTGGAGCCTAATTCCTCATCAGACGAACTGAGCTGCAAGTTATTGTGAGCCTGCCTTTGGGCTGAGAAGTGATCTTAAGGATTCTTGGGTAGATCAGAACTCAGCGAGTGCTGTCTTCTCTGGGGGTACTCATTGGGGGCTTATCTGAAGGACGAGCTCTGTCCTCTGTAGAGTGACCTCCTCTACCTGGAGCCCCGTACACTCCAGGTTGCCCATTTCTTGGGCAATTATATACATCTTGTGGAGTATTTGTTTACCTCAGGCTGCATCTATCTCTGTAATCTCCAAGTTGTTACGTACACATTTCTATATGAATAATAATAATAATAATTCTTGCAATTCATATAGCGCTTTTAACGTCTTCTACACGTCTCAAAGCGCTTCACAGAATATACTGTAAAGTGAATTGACTGTATATTTGTGGTCGAAATGTGGCAGCCAAATTGTGCACAGCAGTGTCCCACAAACAGTCGTGGATTGAAGTGACCAATTTATTATTGTTTTTTTTTTCCTGAGGGATTATTATTAGGCGTGTGGAGTAAGGAAACTTGCTCAAGGTTTCGCCCTGCCGGGAATCGAACCCAGGACTCTCGCTTGAGAGGCGAGTGCTCTAACCACTGAGCTACAGGACTCCGCATGAAGGAGTTAATCGACACAGCATTAGCTATTCCAAGTATTCCCTTCTTAGGAATAAAATCTTGTCTAACTTGAAGCATGTTAATTTACAACCTTAATCCTCTTGTTCTTCACTCATTGATCAAGTTATAATCTATGCCTTTCATTTTGAAGTCTTGGATCAATCTTCTTTACTTTCTATAGTAAATCCGGTGAAGATCTTTGAGATGTTTTGTTGATTTGCTAAGGTGCTAAAATACAATACAATTTATGTTTTTGTAGCTCTATTCAAGATGGGAAACGAAATCTCAAAACACTTCACATTTTGATTGGCCACTCAGGTTGGGGGGGTGGGAGCCAAGAGGGTGGGAAGGGGAAAGATGACCAAAAACATGGTCAAAAAGCTGCCTTGAGCTTGTGGGATTTGAACAAGGGAGTGAGTTGGAGGGGCTCCAGTTCCAAAGAGCGGTTGAAAATGGTTGAAAACCTCTCTGCTGATGATGGAGTGGATAGGATGGTGACATGAAGCAGGTTGGTATTCACCAAGCAAAGGGAGCTGCAGGGTCAGTAGTTGTAGGATGTCAGAGATAGAGTGAGGTGAGACGAGACAAAATTAGCTCTGAGAATTAGAGCCTTGAATCTCAGAATATCCTTCTTGATTTTCTCCATGCTTTTTTCAAATTGTCCTTATCCTTTTGAGGGAATGGTGCCATAAAATTGCAAATATGTGGCCCTTATCAGGCTGGAATAACTTCTTATTTTACTTAGTCAAATGTTCCTGAGTTACAACATGGAATTTGAATAACTTAGTTCATTACTGGACAATATCTAAACGATTGCTAATCAGTTACAAATCCTCTTCCTTTGGAATCTCTGCTAATGAACAGCAGCACTTCATAGTGTTCACACATTTACTCCTTCCAGTTCCAATGTGCATTGCGCTATATATTAGACATCTGTCATTTGTTAGTCCATCTGCTTGCTTAATTGTTGCAGATCTCCTAGAAATCTGTTTATCATCCTTGCTGTTTGTGGAGCATTGCTGGTGTCAATTGGCTTCTAGGTTTGCCAACAAATATACAGTTACTTCACTTTACAGTAAAATCCTGTGAAAGGCTCAACGACATGATAGATTACTATTTCAAACTCAAGAATTATTGCTAGTCACTTTCCCACATTGGTATCAACACTTTGTAAAAGATGTTTTGTGTTCAAACAAATTCATGAATATTAGAATAGATAGACCATTGCATAACTGCTAGTTACCCCTATCCCTGCCCATAGTACTGAGACAGCCCTTGTCGAAGTTACAAATGATGTTTTTTCTCTCTCTGACCTCTGCCACCTTGTCTTCCTGGACCTCTCTGCTGGTTTCGACAAGTTGACCATGCCATCCTCTTCGATCGCCTCTCCAACCTTCATCCACTCAGTGAGACTGCACTCTCCTGGTTCAAGTCCTACTTGACCCACTGCCATCATTTCTTCTCTTTCCACCCCCCCACACATGGTCATGGTTTTACCTTGGCCCCCTTCTTTTTCTCAATTGCATGCTTCCCTCTCTGTGATATCATCTGCAGGAATCATTATATATGTGGTCAATATGTGGTAAATATGATGCTATCTTGTGTGAAGGGCTGTATATAAATGCAAATTGTTGTTGATGTTCATAGTGTTTTGAGGTGAAGAATTGGGCTCTAGGGCAGTAATTTTTATGGATTTTGTTTACAAAATGTAAATTAGATAAATAATGCATAGAGTATTTCTGTATAATTGAGAAAAGTCTATTAATCCCATAATGCTTCATTATTGAGACACATATGAGAACCTGCTCCAATTATTTTCACCTTTCTTTTGCAATTACTCCAAACTTATTACTGTTGAATCAGGAGTCTACCCATTTCTTTTATGAACACTTCAACTGGATGCCCTTTTTTAAGAAAAATAAGTTGCAGTGGTAGATGAAATGGAATGAAAAAAGTTAATCATCTGAGACAGAATTTTAATGTAAAATGCTGCATTTTTTTCTCTTTTTCTCAGCTAAAGGTAATAATAATTCTTGCATTTGATACAGTGTCGCCTTTCATGTTGGGAGGATGTCTCAAAGTGCTTCACAGGATTTACTATAAAGTACAGTGACTATATTTTATGTAGGCGAAATCTTCAAAAAAAGTATTTGAATCCTTTTCCTTTTTGCTGGGATATGGTTCTACAGGTTCGGCTGCCCTCTAATAAGTTGCCAAAACAATGATTGTTCATGTGTGAGTGTTGGTAAGCTATTAGACATTGGGGCAACGTGACTGAGCCTGGTCTCTTCCTCATTCACATATACAGCAATAGGAAATTCCAGCTAATTTTTAAAAAAACAAGCATACAAATTCCTCCACAGTAAATCCTGTGGAAGTTCTTTGGGACATCCTCCCGATGTAAAAGGCACTATACCAAAAGCAAAGATTATTAAAAAATCTTGTCTGCAGTGCTATAAGGGTTAAAATGATCACTATCTGCCAATAGTAATCTGAAGTACCCAGCTGGTTTTACGCTGCACCATTCATTGATGCTGTATTACATGCTGATCTGATAGATTACTTCTGTTAATTCAGATGAATGCATTAATTTAAAATAACTGCAGAAGCTTCACAGGAAGCTAGACTCATCAGTCCATTAATAAAAAAAAAGTTGACTTTTGTATAATTGTAAGCAGATTTGAAACCTGACCTAATGGGATTCAGTTTGTTTTGAGAAAAAAATCATTAATTCAGAAGGTAAATAATAGAAGGCTAAACAGTGCAACATTTGCAAACCCACATTTGTGCACACCATCTATCACTCATTTTTATGGAGAGATGTAGAATTATTCTTTTTTTTAATTTTGTATTATAATATTCTCTTGCCTTGAATGCTCTTTACCACCATTAATCCTCCAGCTACAGTAGTAGGGAATGTGGTGTGTACTTTCTATCTCTGTCATCATCCCTGCTTCATGGTGAGTCAGGGGGAGGCATGATTCAGATGATGTATCAAGTGTCCATTTTTCTCCTTCAAGATAGAGTGCTTTGTTTTCATGTGATACTTGGTTTAGCAGATTGATTGTGAAATGACATCACGTTGTGTGATTGAAGTAGGTAGATCTGAACACAAGCAGCTTGCAAAACTTGTCATTATCTCGGTGAGTAACCATGTCACGTACCACCAGGCATTTAGTCATAGACCCATAGTATTACAGCCCATGAACTGGCTCTTCCACTCATCAAGTCTATGTTGGTGATTTTTGAGCATGAGAAATCTAATCCCACTCTCCTGCTCATTCCATATATCCTTTAATATTCGTTTCAACCATCTAATTTTCTTTTAAAATAATTTATAGACAATTGTATTGCATGAAATTCCACATTCTAATCATACGCCCAACAATTTTTTTCTTATCTCCAATTCCTATTGTGATTATCTTAAATTTGTGTGCTCTCCTGTTGCTGACTCGCCAAGCAGTGACATAATGTTATTGAATCTACCTTGATCCTTTATAATCTTGACTGCCAGGTCATCTTTGGAAGTCGGGGAAGCGGCAAGGGGAAGGTTCATGTTGAAAATGCCCGATGTTTTATGAAGAACTGTGGGAAAACAGCTTCCAAATTACTATTGAAATTCATGGTTTTCCAAAATTATAAATAAGAATGTAAAATTTTAAAATGGTTTCACAGGTAATGCTGGTAAAATTTTGGGCCTTGGTGAGTGAGGTTGTGTTGTGCTTGGCTGTAATGTCTCCCATTGTGAAATAACAGCAGCTCTGAACTCGTACATGAAGATTGGTTACCTGAACCAAGTAACGTAGGACTGCCACTCCCTGTGGAGCCATACTCCATCATGAGTCTCCATCATCACAAGGAGTATCAGGGATGAAAATTATAATAATAATGTTGTCGAGGCATCTTAAAGTATTTCACAGGATTTTACTGTGCAGTGCAATGACTGTGTATTTGCAGGCAGTGAATGAAAGCCAAAGGAATTGATTTTTTTTCTGCTTTTATTCTTTCAGGTAGCAGAGATAACAGAGGAGTTAGATACCTTGCCAAAGCGAGCACAGCTAGCTGCTGCTTTTATTACCTATCTATCTGCAGCTCCAGAAGATCAGAGGAAAGTGAGTTTGGAGGAATGGATGAAATCATCAGGACTTCAAAGTAAATATTTTATATTGATAAACATTCTCTAGTGTCTCATATGTTACTTTTGGCATCTCTGTCAAATTTCACAATTAACTTGTATTTAAAATAACTGTAATCTATTTTCCGTATTTTTTTATTTTTGTAAGTAATGCCACAAACTGGTTTCCGACAGCTTCATGGGTAAATCCAGACTTAGTTCTACACCATGAGGGGTTGAAGCTGTAATGGTTCATAGTTAGGGAATCATTACAGAATGCAAACATAATGGAATTGAGACCATGGCTCACCGGAGCCAGACAGATACTGAACGCACATGGAGTTTACAATTGGTTCATTACTACAAGAGAAAACATCAGTGAACTTCAGCATCACTGGCAGAGACAAAACAATCTGTCTACCCCAGTCAGAGGGTGCAGAATGTGTCCTGCATCACCTCTGTGCTTTCCTGCCACTCACATCCCCAGCCTGATCAAGAACTCACACCACCATAGTCTTTCATGCACCACAACAGCTCTGACCTGGCCATGCGGCAAAGTCTTAGACTTCTTTTAATTATCTCCAACCATGACACTACCAGGTCCCTGCTTTGATCCGCTCCGAGGAAGAATAACCTTTGGAGTGAGATAATCACTAAGCAGATCCTGGGTTAGAAGCCCTCCACAATGCCAGGCCCAAAGCCTATTACAATCATTTGGAATTTGTCAAAGAATGTGTTAATTTGGTACTTATTTGGTACTATATTTGGTATTATAGAAATTGTAAAAGTAATATCAGAATATAATTGTAACACATCTTGCTAGCTGTAAAAGTGGTAGCATTGGGTAGGTATGAATCTTTCTTTGCCTTCTTCCCAAAATTTTTCAAGGTAATTATTCCCAACTGAAGTGAAAGACCATGTCATATCTGTTTCAATATCCAAAGCTACCCTTACTTGTCCCTTGGAGATTTGTCTCAATGTTGACCTGTCTGCTCCCTTTGCTCAGCAGGCTCTGGCCTGCTCCACGTTACCCACCTAGGTCCACCGCACTATCGCCGGTCGGACCTTCAGCCTCTTTTGCCCCCACCCTTTGGATGTTGAATATAGTATTCAAAAGTGTTGGCAAAATTTATATTTTCCTCCTTGTCCATTGATACAAGTAGTTTCTTGAAGAGCTTCCATAATTGCCAGAGGACACGAAGGTTGCAAATGTTACTCCCCTGTACAAAAAGGGGCAGAAGGATAGACCTGAGAACTATAACAACAACAACTTGGATTTATAGAGCGCCTTCCAAGCCGGACGGGGTCTCAGACCGCTTTACAGTAACGGATCCCGGGACCGAGCCAGGGGGAGGAAGGTGACCAAAGGCGCGGTCGAAAAGAAAGGTCTTCAGCAGAGACCTAAAAATGGGAAGGGAGGGAGCGAGACGAAGAGAGTGAGGAAGGCAGTTCCAGAGTTTCGGGGCGTAGTGGCTGAAGGCACGGCCGCCGAGGGTGGAGCGGAGGACTTGGGGGATGAGGAGGAGGCCAGGCCAGAAGGAACGAAGGCAACGGGTACTGTTTTGAGGAGAGAGGAGGTCAGAGAGGTCGGGAGGTGCAGAGGAGTGCAGGGACTTGAATACAAGGGTGAGGATCTTGAAATCGATCTTGATCTTGAAAAGATCTTGAAACTACAGACCAATCAGCCTAAGATCAGTAGTAGGGAAACTTCTGGAGACTATGATCTGGGACAATATAAATTCTCACTTAGAAAAATATGGTTTAATAAAGGACAGTCACCATGGATTTGTTAAATGCAGATCGTGTCTGACAAACCTAATAGAATTTTTTGAGGAAGTGACTGAGAGGGTGGATGAAGGTAGTGCAGTAACGTCGTTTATCTAGATTTTCGAAAGGCATTTGACAAAGTGCCACATTAAGAGACTTATAAACAAAATAGAACCCCCGGTATTAAAGAGACTGTGGCAACATGGATCCAGAACTGGCTAGGAGACAAAAAGCAGAGAGTGGTAGTAAACGGTTGCTTTTCTGACCTCCGGGAGGGAGGTGTGTAGTGGTGTACCTCAGGGGTCGGTATTGGGACCACTGCTCTTTCTGACCTATATTAATGATCTGGACCTGAATACAAGGAGCACAATTTCCAAATTTGCAGACGATACTAAGATAGGAAAAGTAGTTAATGGTGAGGATGATAGCACCAGACTCCAAGAGGACCTAGACAGTTTGGTAAAATGGGCAGAAATGTGGCAGATGAGATTTAATGTGGAGAAATGCGAAGTGTTGCATTTTGGTAGGAAGAATGAGGAGAAGCAGTCTAAGCTAGATGGTACAATCTTAAAGGGGGCAAATGAACAGAGAGAACTGGGGGTCCACATAAGCAAATCTCTGAAGGTGGCAGGACAGGTAGATAAAGCTGTTAAGAAAGCATACGGGATATTAGGTTTTATAAATAGGCATAGAATTCAAAAGTCAGGAGGTTATGTTGAATATTCATAAAATGCTGGTTAGGCCTCAGTTGGAGTATTGCGTTCAGTTCTGGGCACCGCACTTTAGGAAAGATGTTAGGGCATTGGAGAGGGTGGAAAGGAGGTTTACCAGGATGGTACCAGGATGAAGGACCTTAGTTTTGAGGAGAGGTTAGCGAAACTAGGATTATTGTCCCTAGAGCAGAGCAGATTAAAATGGGATTTAATAGAGGTTTTCAAGATCATGAGAGGATTTAATAGGTTGAACCGGGAAAAACTTTCCACTGGCATGTGGGTCAGTAACCCGAGGACACCGACTTAAGATAGTTGTTAAAAGAAACAACTAAAAGGGGAGGTTAGGAAATTTTTTTTCACTCAGCGAGTTGTTCGGATCTGGAATGCATTACCTGAAAGAGTAGCAGAAGCTGATTCAATAACAACTTTTAAAAGAGAAATAGATGGGTATTTGGGGAGGACAGGATTGCAGGGCGATGGAGAGAAAGCGGGCCAGTGGGATTGAGTTGGATTGCTCTTTTAGGAACCGGCGCAGATGTGATGGGCCGAATGTCCTGTTTCTGTGCTCTATGATTCTATGATTCTATGAATTGAGAGTGTCTTGTTACTTGCACGAGAGATAAAAATACATTTTAAAATTATTGGATTGAATGTTGATGGTATACCTGTTTAATTGGTTTGATATCTGCTCCTCTAGAATTTGATCTACGCCGCTTTCTCTGTACTGAAAGTGAACAGCTAATTTGGAAGAGTGAAGGATTGCCTTCAGATGACCTATCCATGGAAAATGCTCTTGTCATTTTGCAGGTATTTAGCTTGTTTTTCATGCTTTATTGCATACATTATTCATTGTTGTTCAAATTAAAAGCTATTGTGTATATTTAGGGCAGTTTCATTGCTGTTCAATTCACATATTGAGAACTACATCTATAATTTATCTTAGTTTTTTAAAATATATTCTGTTACACGTAAGGATTATACTGAGATAAAATCTCTCATCTGGTCACAATCTTATGACAGTTCCATTAATTTCCTGACAGTGTAATATGGCAATGTTATAAACAGTTCATATTGTTTTGGCATTGCATTGTCTCTTTTCTAATCAGTGGCAAGTGTTAATATATGTGTGGTGTGGCGAGGCACCAACTGCTTTGTGTAACTTGTGTGCAACAATCTAAATGTACTGAAGTGTATTACTAAAGCAGTTCTTGAAATGAGCATTGATGTTTGAATCCTCAATCCACCAGTGGACTAAATGGAAAACAATTTGTTAAATACTAATAGAAACTTTTTATGTTACTAATAATACTCCTTGCATTTGATATTGCGTCTTATCATGTATTCGAGACACCTCAAACCAATTCATAGCATATACTGTAAAGTGAATTGACTATATTTTGTGGGTTAAAGGTGACAGCCAATTGCTCATAGCAGTGTCCTACAAACCAGTGGTGGATTAAGAAATTGGAAATTTTTATGTTAATTAAAAGCAGTTTATTCGTTCTAGTTCTCAAAAAGGTTCAATATCTTTAAATTGTTAGTTGAATTCTGAATTTATTCATGAGTTTTTTTAATTTGTTATGATTTTATTTCTGTATTCTTTTACTGTTATTCCATGTAGTTTAATTTTACGTCTGTTGTGACTATTACATTTTTCTTCATTTTTCCATTATGCACTGCTTCACAAATAGACCAATCAATTGAAATTCAGGGTAAGATTTCATCACATCTGACATTTCTTCAGGTTCAAATGTTGCCTTCACGTATTCAGCAGCATTAGATCATGCCGCTTTTAAATTGCTGTATTGGTGTGAAATAGTTCTGAGTTTTGCTATATCTTATGTGAATATCCAAATTATTTCGCTTTAACAAATCCCATTTGCATGTGTGTTACAAAAGCTGACGCCATCCTTTATTGGTAATATCCATAGAATTACTTGGTCCAGTAAATTTAGCAAATCGGATTGGTATTTATTTTGTGTTGTGTTGTGGAACTACATCATCTGCAGAATACTAATTTCTGCTGAGAAAATGCAATCAGTCAACCTGTGCAGGCATCCGATAATTTAAAGTACCATAATAGTGGAATTTATTTAAAGAATAAAGATATATTTGTAAAAGAACTATTAAATTTATATGGTTCTCCAATTAGCTCACCTTAATGCTAAGGTTTAATTGAACTATATATTTAAGGTTCCATTTGAGTTGAAGGTATTACACAATTCAATACGTTTGGTTGTATATAGTTTGTAAAATGGGCCATCGTCTCTGAACTACTATCAAGCATTAATAAGTTGCCAATTTACTGTGCAGGTAATAGTCTCCCAATGAATTTTGAACAATGCATTTTAGGTATATTTTGGATGTTATCTTGTAGTGGGTTGATTATTTAGTTTCAATGGTATTAATTTGTAGTGCCAGTTATCTCATTATTTGCCCTATGGTATTGAACATGCGGATATGAAGGCACATGTACATTTTGTTTGATTTTAATGCACAAATTATAATAATTTGTTATTGATCCTCTTATTTAGAGTCGTGTATGTCCATTTTTAATTGACCCCACTTCACGGGCTACAGAGTGGTTGAAAACTCATTTGAAGGATGCACGTTTGGAAGTTGTTAACCAGCAGGTATTAAATCAATTCTTCATATCTGTCATTGTAGCAAATCTTATTATTAATCACCTTAGAGCATAAAAGAGCAACCATCCTTAAGACTGTAAGAAAACATTGGCACTCATTCAATACTTCGTGCTGTCACTCTGGTAATAGTAATAATAGTGCATTATATATTCTTACCTTTGGAATTCGTAATTATGTAATGTCCTGTTTTTTGCTGTTTCAATTTACAAAAGCAACCTTAATAGTGAGTTAGAATATCCACTCTTAAGGGACAATATTTGAAAATGTTTTTTAGCTTGTATAAATAGAACACATTTCTATGATGGATGTTCTCCATTATATATTTGATAAAAACTATATCTGTTAGCAAAAAAAGTCAGTTTAAAATGACTTGGGAAATATAGAACATCATCAATTTCAAAGTACAGCAATGTATTACAGAGTTAATCAAATACCATAAATATATGTGAGATCTATTTATTGTACAATACAAAATAGATCCCTGGTATAAAGAGCTTCCCCATGTCAAGGATTTACTTACAGTTGGGGTGTGGGTCCTCATATTGACTTGTTCCACCCAAACTATCCGCTCCCTCTGCTCTGCAGGCACTGGCCTGCTCCACATCCTCCGCTCTTCCTACTCTACTATCGGTGGTCGGACCTTCAGCCTTTGTGCCCCACCCTCTGGAACTCCATCATAGAGCCCCTCCACCTCTCGCCCTCCATTGCCTCCTTCAAGGCCCATTTCAAGTTCCTTTTTGACCTTGCCTACAGTCATCTTCCCTCCTCTCTTCCAAGCCCCTTGACCTCCACGCCTCTCTGATCCCAACCTGTAGCTCGGGTGCAAACCCCTCAATGACCATTGTTTCGGGATGTCCTCCCAACGTGAAAGACACTATATAATTGCAATGTGTTGTTACATGCTGTCACATGTGCAGGGTGCAGAAAGTGACCTTAGCAATGATCTGATGATCTGGAAATTGGTGATTTTGACTTCCCATGTGCCAGCCAGTATTTGCTTTTTCTGCTCATATGTGCAGTGAATCGCGAAGCGCTGACGGGCTCTTGTACTGCTGGTTATAACTTTATGGATTGTAAATATGATACAACTGCTGTAGAAGGTTGTAATATGAATAGTTGCCTTTCGCATGATCACAATATCTGTAAAAATACAATCAGCATATGATGGACCCCAGCATTAAAGAAAGCTGCTCAATGTTATATACTTGTTTGTGTGTGTGTATAATATATACATATGTATACACAAGTTGAGTTTGCATAATCTTAAATCTCCTATCAGAACATAAGAGCATAAGAATTTGCTAGGCGAAAGAAGACTAAGGTTCATCTAGTTCGCCTTCCACCATCCTTGCAGTCGCTTGACAATCAGTATTATAACAATGCTGGCTATATTGATAAAATGCAAAATACTGCAGATACTAGAAATCTGAAATAAAAACAGAGATTGCTGGGAACACTCAGTGAGTCAGGCAGCATCTATGGAGAAAGGAAAGTGGCTCAACGTTTTGCCTGACCTACTGAGTGTTCCCAGCAATCTCTGTTTTTGTTTCTGGTTATATTTGTGTCTGGTCACAGCCTTGCTTGGTGTGTTTTGTACACATTTGAGTTCATGTTGCTCCCGCACTTGAAATCCATAATGAAGAGACAGGTGGATGGTTCAATCAGAGTGTGGAATGGGTTGATGGAAGGCGGATGATCCAACGAGAAGAGGCTGTTACAGTACAGTATTTTAATAGCACCCATAGTGGCTGTTATTTTTGTGATTCAAATTCAAAGATAGAACAGTGAAAAATAACTTTTTTTAAAAAAAAAAACCTTATTACAGTGAAATTAATGTAAAATATTGGATTTCTTACATTTTATTCTTGACCTTGAAATTGTGAATGCCTTCAGTACAGTCTGTAAATGTTTGCAAGTGTTTATACTAAAAATTTCCCCTATTGTTATAGTACATATAATGTTCTAATTTTGTACAGTCTGACAGTGTATAGCATCAGGCATGTGTAATTCAAGCCTTATTGATGTCTTTTCCTGTTTTTTGGCCTGTGTAAAAGGGGTGGGTACGACTTGCGCTCCTCTGTGCAACTACACAGGATTTTATTGTAATAAATATATTCTTGTATTAGGAATCTCTTTATATGAAAATGGCAAATAAGGGTATATCACTATCTTACTAAAAAATAATGTTATAGTTTAATCCTTATGTTTTACTTGATTTTTAAGTTCACTTTCTGAGGTATTGAATAGCTAACATATTGTGCTCACAATTTGCAGGATGCAAACTTCATTACAGCGGTGGAGTTAGCAGTACGCTTTGGGAAGACATTAATTATACAAGAGATGGATGGAGTTGAGCCAGTATTATACCCACTGCTGAGAAGGGATCTTATTGCTCAGGGTAAGTGCCTATTTAGTAATGGCTTTTTAATTTCATTTAATTAATTTAATGCTGTTTGTAAAGCTGAGAATGAAAAGCCAGGGGAAGTGGATTTAATCTTATGACTAATGTATATAATCTGAAATATGTGCTGTGATTTGTATAGACTTTTTGGAAGCTATACGGCATGCACATATAATAATATAATCCCTGCATTTGATAGAGATATCACTTTGTGGAAATGTCTCAAAGAACTTCCCATTCTTTTATTGTAAACATTGTTTTGTCAGCCAGATGTCTGACATGTGAAAACTCATCACCGTGCTTGAGAGTATCCAACCCAAACCAGATCCGTGCATTCCACTTATAGATGGAAATTCCAGACATATTTATTGAAATGGAATGCACATTCCCTCTTTCCAGGGACACATCCTGTTTACCTAATTCCAGAGATTATTAGGCATGGGTTGGCAACAACCAAGGCTTGGAGATGCCAGTGTGTTTTGGGGCTACTGATTCAGTCTAACCAGCTAAAACCACATAAATTCCCATTGAATACAACAACAAAATTACATTTGTATAATGCCTTTCACATCAAGAGGATGTTCCAAGGCGATGGACGATCAGTGTTTCGGATCCGAGCTGGCGAATCGCTTTCCAGGAGTAATGGTTTAGTAATTGGTCTGGTCTTTTTAGATCACAGATCACAGAGAATAAATCATGTGGTAGCGCTCAGAAGTCTAGGTCAGAAAATTGTGGGTTCATCCCCCACTTTGGAACTTAACCTCACAAGTTAGTGGACTTCCAATACGGTATTGGGAAGTGCAGCATGGTTGGAGGTATTGTCACGTGGATGAGATGATAAACCGAGCTCCCATCTGCCTGTTCAGCTAAACATTAAAGATCCTATGCATTTTTTGAAAAGAGAAAGAAGTTTCTCCCAGTGAACTTGACCTCGCCACCAGTGCTCCATGTAAATTGTTTGCTCTAAAGTCTGTAAAGTCTGATTGTCTTTATCAATCATCATTTTAAAAACCTGGAGCTGGACTGTGTTCCTCTCAATCTTTTTTCAATGAAAATAAATGTAGCTGTCCTTGAAATGTAATCCACTTGATTTCTGAATCATTCTTCTTATCTTTTAGCCTATTCCAACTTATCAATATTTTTCACGGTACAGAATGTCAACCAATTTTACACCCAATACACCAAATGTGGTCCCAGTAATACTGATATGACATTTGTACTGGGAATTCAGAACTTCTGAGTGTCTTTAGATCTATGCCTCAGTTGCTGAAGACATGATTAATGCTCTTCAGTAACGATTATGCTACCCACTGCATTGATGTGGATGCAAAACTTTGTGCATATGTACTTAAAACTGCCCATAGAACTCTTGCCAGCTTCTCACTGCTGATAAGATTTCTAATGACTGAAAATAGCTGCGGTGATGGTCAGTTCCTATCGGTCACTGGAAATGAATGTTTTGAGCAGCTAGTTGCTTGAAATCTTTTCTAATTTTTAGTCAGTTTAAATGAACCTATTGCAGGTGTTACATGTTGCTACTTGCAAGACTTCCCTTGCCAAGCAGCAATACAAATGTTATTCTGACAGATGTTACTTTTTGGCCAACCGGTTGTCTTGAGCATGTACAAACCATTACCATGCTTGAGTATCCAAGCCAGATTGAGATCTCCACATACATATACTACCAAGATAAAGAAATTTCTCTGTGTGAATGGAACCCGCACTCTCTCCCAGAGGAATGCACCCTGCTTACCCAATTCTGGAGAGTCGTAGGGGCAGGTTGGCAAGGGCAAGTGTGTTTGTCGGGCTACTGCTCGCGTTTAACCAGCTAAAATCATAAGTTTAGCATTGAAAGCACTACTTGTCAAGTTTTCATGTCTTCTAGACGTCTCAAAGCGCTTCACAGAATATGCTGTAAAGTGAATTGACCGTATATTTGTGGGTGAAACGCGGCAGCCAATTGCACACAGCAATGACCCACAAACAGTTGTGGATTGAAAATGACCAATTTATTATTGTTTCGATTTGGAGAAATTATTGTTAGGCATGTGGAGTAAGGAAACTTGCCCAAGATTTCGCCCTGCCTGGGATTGAACCCAGGTGTCTTGCTTGCAAAGCGATTGCTCTAACCACTGAGCCACAGGACTCCACAACTGGACCTGAGTGGGAAGAATCCCTTCTCCCAGTCATCAGCCTGCCCCTCCATGTCTTACGGATAGCTGGCTTGTCATTATTAGTGCCCTGGAGTACCGCAGACTCACCTGACTCAGAAACTGGAATACTGAACCAGAACAGAGGATTGATTCGATTCTGTCATTCTGTTGCTAAGCAGATCATGTTGATGCCAGCTCAACGCCAAGGAGACCCCGTATTGCTCCCATTTCCCCCAAGGTTTATAACATCAGATTGTGAGCAATGCATTGAAATGGTGTAAAAAAAACTCACCAAACTTTCAGTATCGTTTGAATATTGCATTTTTTAAAGTCTAAAACAAATTCTTCATTGAAATATTTGTTATATAAATATACTCTTGTGATACATTGGGACAAATAAGAGGATAAATCAGACTGTGCGCAGGGAAGTGGGGGTGAGCTTGGGTCATTTTGCAATGATTGCTTAAAATGTATTCTATTAATTTGCTGTGACATTGGCCAATATTTCTTCTGATCGCAGATACTCTGAGGAATTGCGTCACATGTTCCTTGTTAGTGATTTACTTGCTCAGTCTTTCATGCTTTATGCAACCCTTTGGTTCACAACCCTATGGTTGTTTGATTAACATACCAAACCTTTGTGAATCGATTATTGTATTCTTTCCTTCAGCTTTCGGAGAAAAATTCTGTGAAAATAAAATACTGATCTAAAAGCATCATTTGTTCCTGATGGAGGATTGTTCATCTGAGTTTGTGATTAACGAACAGTGATCACAGTTTTATTCTCCTGCTATATATAGCATTTAATAAGTGGACAAAATGGAAGCAGAAAATCTAATAATTTCTAGTACCTGTTTTCATTACAAGCTGTAGTAGATCAGGAGATGCAGTTCACTATAAAAAATCTTTCACACACTCCATAGATCCATTTATCTAACTGAAGGAAAGTACCGCATTTTCAACATAATCTGTTTTTTAAATATTTAAATTTTGCAGTGAAACTCAAAATCCAGAATCAGATCGATTGTAGCAATGACCTTCTACCCATGATTTTCTCCATTCCTGACCACATAGTTGGCAGGAACGAGGGATAAAGAGAGAGGCGAGTATTGTATTCATGGACATCATATGGTAACTGATCTCGATTCTTAGAAATGTCTCATTGCAGATTAGTGAGGACCTTTGTACCGATTTTTAAATATATTGTGGAACACATTGTATCTTTAAATAAAGTTAATTTGATTTATGCTGGAAAGATTGTTTGCTTTCATTACAGGACCTCGGTATATTGTACAAATTGGAGATAAAATAATTGACTACAACGAAGAATTCCGCCTGTTCCTGGCAACCCGTAATCCCAGTCCCTCTATTCCACCTGATGCAGCATCTATTGTCACTGAAGTTAATTTTACTACAACACGGGCAGGTCTCAGAGGGCAGGTAAGGAAATTACACTAATATTTACTACAAAATGTATCATACAATATTGTAAATTTTATGTAGAGGTACCAATATTCAAAAAGGTATCAGTATATTTTTTCAACCCCCAACACCATTTTTTCCCTTTTCTGCAAAGGTCTAACTTTCTCCTTTAACAAGGGTGCTGTTGCTCATGTGCCAATCATATTCATATGAGTCTTGATTGTGAGTCTTGGCAGGCTTCTGGGAGAATTGCGACCAAACCCTCACCTCCTCACACAACATCTACAGATTCATTCTTTCCAGCAATGATCTCTGGATTGTGAACAGAAGCTGGATCTCTGGCTGACTTTTCCCTTAAGTTCCATGGATGAAATCAGTAACTCAGACAAGTTCCATGTTCACGTGTATTATAATAATAATAACATTTGCATTTGATAACATGCCTTTTCATGTCGTTTGAGATGTCTCAAAGCGCTTCACAGAATATATATTGTAAAGTGGATTGGCTGTGTATTTTGTGGGCGAAACAAAATACAATACGCAGCAGCCAATTGCGCACAGCAGGGTCCCACAAACAGTCGTGGATTGGGTGACCACTCTTTTTTTGGGGGGGAGGGAGGGATTATTATACCTGGAAAACGATCCGCAGGTCGACTAGCAACAGAGGCATGTGGACTAAGGAAACTTGTCTAAGACTTTGCCTCGCCTGGGAATCGAACCCGGGTCCACTCACTTGAGATGTGAGGGTGCTAACCACTATGCTATGGGACTCCCTGAATAGTCACTGAGTGATACTTTTACTGACTAGGGCTTTTGGGAGAGCGACCCATTTATGTTATGAAAATAAATTGAAATGTTCACTTTCTCAGTTTCCAACACTACATTTATCAAGCATTTTGAGAACCTGTTAACTTTTTTACTTGTTTTTTTTCCAAGCTGTTAGCTGTGACTATCCAACACGAGAAACCAGAACTGGAGGAGCGCAAGACAACTCTGCTACAGCAGGAAGAGGAGAAAAAGATTCAACTGGTGAAGCTTGAAGATTCCTTGCTGGAGGTAAATAGATAAAATATATTGAACTGCAACTTGGAGTTGAAATCAAATTGCTCCAACTCACAGTTGCACACAATCACATTTAGTATTGTCAAAAATTGTTTAGTACGTGTAATATGTAGAGTCAGAGAGAGGTTTTTTAAGTTGAAGTTTGAGTTAGAGAATGTAGCACAAAAGTCGATCAGTCCCACGTTATATCAATCACTACTTCCCTGTTTAGGGGCCATGTATATTGCATGTCCCAGCATCTTTTGGTGTCTTGTTTATGCCCATTTTAAACTTTATTTACAAAGAATACAAAAGCAGGTCTGTTTTTCCTTTGGAAAGTGGGTGAACCCTGCATTGTTTTGTCATGATGATATCTCAAGATACTGATCTAATGCTAGGTTTTGTGTTCTGAGACACCATCCTGCGTGAAGGGCACTGTATAAATGTAAGTGGTTGTTGTTATGTTCTTTTTCCAACTCTTAAGTTCAGAGTAATATCAATAAAATAATGGAAAACGGTGGGGAGAGAGAAATAAAGTAAAAGAAAAAAAAGCATGTTATAGGCCAGAGGAGGATCACACATGTTTGGTTCTTGTTTCCCTGCAAGAAGGGTTAAGACACTTGATAGTAATTAATAGTAATAAATAATAATAATGAATAATAACTGTAAGTACTTTGAGATGTTTGACATACAAGATGCTGTAAAAATGCAGTTCTTGTGCTTTGTGTTTGAAGAAAACAATAGGTATCACAGGATCATAAGGGGTTTGTTTAAAGACCATTCAGTTGATCTGATACTTCCAGAATACACATAATAAATTCCTCTTAACAGAACAGCTGTTTTCTAAATGCGTACAGCAACCTGGTTTCCGCCACCCTTCCTGTCAACCTGTTACAGTCATTAATTACCTTCTGGGTAAATAAATATTTCCTGGTGTTTGCCCTGAAATTGCCATTTTGAATTGTAAATCTCTGTCCTCTTGTTCCGTTGTCTCAGTGCATTCAAAAGTATTTTGCTTTCTCAATACCATTTAAAATTGTATTTAACTCTATAAGGTCCCATCTGAGTTGTCTCCTTTCGGGTCTAATTGTCCGAGTTTGTCTCATCTTAGTTCATGTGAATAACTTATCTGAATTTGGAGGCAGATGGATATTGTGTAGATGAACAGAAAGAAATCTTTGTCTAAGAAGTGAAACTGAACTTCTTGGAGCTAGTTCTATGAATGATGCTGTGAGAATTCCTTTTGGGATTAAAGGAGATGGCATAATTTAGCAAATTGCATTTATATTGCGCCTTTCATGCAGGCACTCCCTGGCACCTCCCTACCTCTGCGACCTCCTCACTCCCCAATCCACCTGGTGCCTCCCCTCGATTGGCACTCACCTCCTGCTCGTCCCTCGTATCCTCTGCCCCACAATCAGAGGTTGTGCTTTCAGCCACTCCGCACCAAAACTCTGGAACATTCTCCCTCAATCCCTCCTCCTTGTCCCCTCTCTCCCTTCTCTCAAGTCCTGCCTGAAAACTTTTCCTCTTCGACTGTGCTTATGGCCATCTCCCCCCTCCCCAAGGCTCGGAGTCAGGCTCCGCCACTGTGAAGTGCTCTGAGATGCTAACCTGCGTGGAGGGCGCTATATAAGTGCAAGTTGTTGTTTATTGGTTGTGTCTCAGAGTGCTGTAATTCCAGTAATGTTAATTGATTAGGAGAAATGCACAGTTACTATACTTGACAGTTATCTGTGAAGTGCTATGAGAAGTTTTGATATTGCACACTCTATATCCAATTCAATGATTAGATATTTGTCCAGCGGCCTGACTAAGAACTCACCCAAATGAGTTAATAATTAGTTAAATGTCCTGGCTAACAATCCAAAGCAAAACATTGGTCACTCACTCCCACGCTGTTTGTGGGAGATTGATGTGCATAAGATGGTTGCCGTGTTTTTCCCACAAAATACACAGTCACTCCACTTTACAGTAATAATATCAATATCAATAATAATCCTTGCTTTTGAAATAGCATATTCTGTGAAGTGCTTTGAGACATCTCGATGACGTGATAAGACACTATATCAAATACAAGGATTATTATTATTAAGTACAAAAATTTGAACTCTATGGGTTCTTTGTTCGAAATTGAAATTTAACCTCAATCATATTATTCATTAAGCACATTATTATCACAAAAGCGTGTGATGTACCCAGTTTATGTCCTGAGGAACCTTTTCACCTCCCCTGTTCTTAAATGTGATGTAGCCAACCTTTGTTATATTCCTTGTTAGCACATTACAAGAGAATGAAATGTACCCATCTATCTGAACAGAGATGGGATGGGAATCAGTTGTTCTCTGGTGGAAGTTATTAACTAGTACATCACCAAGAGCAGAACATTTCACAGTGTGATCTTAATCTGCGGAAAAAGTCTGGATCTCAGCAATTGGCACCACATTACACAATTGTTCATCATGGATACTCAGGCCAAATATACCCATGAAACAATTGTCCTCTTCACTTTGCTGGAGCTTTGAACAACCTTAACCCTTTTATGTAGTCATAATAATTCTTGCATTTGATGTAGCGCTTTATCATATTGTCGGAACATCTCAAAGCTATAGTACAATCAGCAACCACCTGTTTAGTTTCTATAATCGTGAGACTTGAATTTGAATCAGTTCCTTTAGCTGCTGAGCCACTTAAAGGAATTTTTTTTTATATAAATATTCAGATTATTTTAATTCTCTCTGACTCATTGCTGATGTAACCTGCTCTTATTCCAAAATTATGCATTTCTGCTGGGAGCTGACCTAATGAATTTTGACTCCTGTGTTTTATGTAAGTTCTAATTGCTATTGAGATGTTAGATCATCTGCTTTTTTCTGTGTCAGATGCTCATATGCTTCCTTTGTGTAAGAACTGAACTGTCAATGATGTTTAACTGATATTATCTTTTCAGTGTGAAATTGAGATGAGGCTTCAAGAGAGGATTTAATTAAATGTCAAAGGTTTTAGGCTGTGAGAGAATTAAATCAGCAAAATAAATAATAAGAAATTGGAAATGATTGAGTAGTGAAGTGATTAGCCTGCGGCATCATGCAATCATGTAGATAATGAGTCCTTAATAAAATCCAAATAGCTCCGCAGTTTGTTATGATATTGGTTCCAAGCAATATCCTTGCTCTTATATGACCTAACTTTAAATTGAGTCTAGAGGTAGGGTAGTGAACTGACCCCATCAAAAATAGTGTCACTGCCTGCAATCCTTTTGAACCCAACTGCTTAGGTAAAATAAAAATTGGAGTGAAAAATGCAGTATGTGATGTGATCACACTGTGAAACGTTCTACTCTTGGTGATGTACTAGTTAATAATTTCCATGAGAGAACAACTGATTCCCATCCCATTACCAAGAATGAATGTCTCATGGTGTGCTAACTATTATAATGATTATTATAATTATCATAAGTGATAATTATCACATCACATACTGTGATATTCAACTAATTAATATTCCTGTCAAAATATATTTTTACTTAAAATCTGGGGAATATTATTATTATCAAATTGGTTTGGTAGAATCGCTGAGCCTGACCATATACATTAGCTAAATGAATATGCATATGTGTAAAACATATGGTTACCAATGTTAATTCCTTTACACTGTCAAGCTTTAATAACTTCTCCAAGCCGGTTTCAAATGAACGTGAAGAAACAATAAGATGTTCAATTTAATGCCAACACAGCATATTAGAACTTCATTTTTAAAGTGATGGCTGTCATTGAGACTTCCTCTTTCTGGAATTGTGAGTTAAATCTTTTCAATGACATGGACTGATCAGGCTAAATGGTCTGATTTAATGCTGTACTGTTCTATGTTCTTGGGATGTGGATAACATTGACAGGGCCAGCATTTATTTCCTATCCTTAGTTGCCCTAAGAAGGTGATGATGGGCTGTGTCTTTAAGATGCTGCATCCTTTGTGATGATAGTGCTCCCACTATGGTATTAGATGGTGAATTTCAAGATTTTGAACCACTGACGATGAACAATGGTATATTCTACAAAGCAAGAGGACAGGGTGAGATGTGTGAGATGGAGTGGAACTTGCAGGTGGTAGGCATCACTGGTAAATATGCAGCATGGGCCATCTTTGTTTTCTTATATTTGGAACAGTTTGATAGAACCAAACTGGAACAGATTGAGGGTTGAAGACAACAATGCAATGTTGCAGTTCTGCTGACGGTGATGAACCATTTAAAGCTCATTGCTATTGGTTATGGCATTACTGGGGACCACATGATTAATTGATTTTCTAATATGTACTGGAGTGTTTTTCCTAGTTATGAGTCACAGATTAGATCCTACCAATCATTGCAGTGATTACTGCACAATATTAGCCTTTAGTTTATTGAGGATGCCATCATTCACTAACGACATTGAACCAAGATATCTGAATTGAGAAAAAAATTATAAAATAGAAACGCTTTAAATACATATCTTGAAACTGAACAACAACTTGCACTTATATAATGCTCTCCACGCAGGGTAGCATCTCAGAGCACTTAACAATGGCAGAGCCTGACTTCCAGTGGCGGGGGGAGGAACATTTTCAGGCGGGGACTTGAAAAGGGGGAGAGGGGGGGGAGAGAGAGGGCGCGAAGAACAAGCAGGAGGCTGGTGCCAGTCGAGCGGAGGCGCTAGGTGGTGGATTGGGGAGTGAGGAGGTCGGAGAGGTAGGGAGGTGCCAGGGAGTGAAGGGATTTGAACATGAGTGTGAGGATCTTGAAGTTTGTCTGTTCAGTGTTGGGGAGCCAGCGGAGGCTGGCCAGAACTAGTGAGATGTGGTTATGGAGTTTGGTCCGGGTCAATATGCGGGCAGCAGAGTTCTGAATCAGCTGGATGTTTTGAATAGTGGATCTGGGGAGACCGGCGAGGAGTGCTTTTCAGTAATCTAGGCGGGAGGTGACAAATGCATGCAAGAGGGTTTCGGCTGCATTTGTGGTAAGCTACGGTCGGAGGCGG